ATATCACGTAATTGAATTCATTTCGCCCGCAGATGGTTGCATTTTAAGCATTCGCCTTGGTTATCGGCTAACCGAGTTGTAGCTGAAATGGAAACATTATTGGTGATAGCTCATATATGGAAAAAATAATGTAATTTATTCATACTCGGATTCGACGTGACTTGAACGAATCATAGGACCCCAAAAGGGATACCAAAAGGGATCGAAAAGTCACTTTTAAAAACATTCAACACTTGGATTGCACATTGTATGTTATACAATGTTATACCTTTAAATAATTTATGGTATTCTTAATAAAATTTTGTGATAAAGTTGAACTTTTTGCAATTTTAAATCAATTATCTAATAATGGAAAAGTTTAGTCCTCAAAAAAGAATGATTGAATGTTGCCAGCGGTCATTAGAAAACTTTTCACCACCTACATGTTATGTCCTCTTGCAACACATGTTGTATTTATTTTTTTGGTGGTTTAAACCTTAAACTTTAAAGTGACCATTGAATATTTGTGGTAAACGAACCTACCGAAGAACATACATATGTATATATATACAAAAGTCAGTTGCTTTCTTTGAATTGTATTATTACTGGTAATTAAATAAGAATTACTGGTGCGACTTTTGTATGAGAGTCAACAAATAATTTTCTGCGAAATTAAAATGACTTTATTCTTGGAATCTGGGATTTTGTTTTGGGCTTCAGTGATAATTTAAAATGAAAAGAAAATACAGAGTGGTTTTTTAAGAACTTAATTGATATTCACATGAAAGAATATTCCCTATTAAAAAAATGCAGCGCCGTATATTTTTGTTTGGAATTTTTTTCATGTCAAATAAAACATTATGATGCTTAATTCGTGGCCATTATCCTTTAATTTTCAATTGTTTTTCTGTGAAAAAAAGCATTGGTGAAGAGCTCTTTAAAAATATTTCATTTTTTCTCTAACTATTAATATGAAAAATTACCTGTTAGGCGGCTAAGTGGTTACGATTTAATTTTGTAGCTTGTCAGTGATAGTCAATTTTATTCGATTATGTATTATTTGTTTTTTTACTTACTAATTGATTGAATTTGCTGGTCCATAAAAATGTAGATTTTATGAATAAAAACTTGTTTAACTTGCAAATGTCGGCATTCGGACATTATCAATAATTTATGTTGACCAATGACAAGCCCCTTATTGGGCAGGTGCAATAATTGAAATAATAAAATGAATAAATTAATTAGTTTACTAACTGCGCATTAAAAGCTTAAACAAATCGAAACTGAATAAAAAAAAACTGTTTATGTTCAAAAGTGTCAGTGACGAGACAATGGAAAGGAACCGAGAAGGAAACCCAAGTTGCTCCTCTTCTTTGCTTGTCAAATGCAAAATATTTTCCAAGGACATATTGTCAGGACCCCAAGTCAATGTTAATTAATAAACTTTACTCCGAACCGGAGAGAAGCACTTGGAAACTGTTTCTGTTCCAACAGAAAGTGGTGTTGCCTTGCACGAGTAGCCTCAATTAATGGCAAGGATCTATGTAAATTGGCTTAATTTCAATTGACCAACTCAAATCTATGGTAGTTTCAGCTCCAGTGACGTCAAAACTGGGGAAGTAGCTCTATCGAGGAAGCACCAGGGGACTGGTGGCGCTAAATCCCAAACAAATTATCGTAGACACGTTTTGGTATGCAAACAAGATGCCGGCACATACACATCCAGGGATCTGGCGATTAAATTCTGATTCTGGGGTAAATTTCAAGTAAATCTACTAATTCTGAGAGCCGCTTTAAGAACAATTACCCGAGGGGACTAGTGAAGAGAGCACTGGAAAAATAAGGCAATAGAAGATGTAAAGCTTAAGTAAATTAAAAATAATCTTACTTTGAAATAGCGTCTTCTAACCATCTATCTGAGTTTAATTTAATTTTACTCGTTATTTGTATTGGTATATTGACTTAATTTGAACATTTTCTTCAGTGTAAACGATGGCAGGTTTTAGGATCTCAAAAGCCAAACCGGAGACTGAGATTCTGACTGAGATGGGTTCAAGCTCAATGCGCCATGTCCATGGCCAAGGTTAACACGGTTTATTGTTTTGGCCACTGCAATTGGCCGAAATATTTCGAGTTATTTTTGGCTCTCGACTTGTGGCGCAGCTAATCTTGAGTTGTCTGCTTTTGGGGGGATTCAGACTTTTGTTTAGTTTTCCTCGCAGAAAAAAAAATAAATAAAGGAAAATAAAGGGTGGGCTGGCTCCGCTTCAAGTACATTGAGTACATCGAGGCCATAAAGCAAACACTTTTAGTTTGTTGAACTGTGACCGGAGGTCGGGGCTTCTCTAATTCGCTGTCAAAAAGTGCTGGCCCCAAAAATTTAGAAATGCCAGTGCCAGCTGTTGGATTTTAAACTGCCTTGGGTCCCCACTACCACTTGTTATTTTAATTTGCTGAATTGTTCTGCGGCTGAGGACAGATGCTTTAGATATTACAGCAACAGTTTAGCTTTATGTTCGCCCCTTTGAGTTGCGTCCTCTGCACATCAAGGATAACAAGTTCTCAACCACATTTTTCACTTGTGGGCCACCGATTCGAATTTAATTAAATTTCTATTCTCGACCGAGTGAGCGTGCAGCAGCATATAAAGTAAAAATCGGACAAAAATCCGACACAAAATAATATTTATTCGGCATCGCTCTAGCAAGGAAAGAGTTGACCTGACTCCCTGTCAATGGCAACAAAAGAATCAATTGGGTTCATCGAAACATCCAGTCAAGACTGGGGGGCCAAGGGACTCCGGATGGACGGGGCAGGAGCAATAAATAAACACATAAGTCGCCCATGAAGTGAGTCCTTTGGACCGTGTTTACACAACTTTAATTGAAGGCCCGCACAAGGATACTTGAATTGTTGAACTGCTCGACCACATTTTTTGAATAAATTTTTAATTGAACGTCAACTCAAGTGATTTTGCACACACTAATTTGTTTATATATTTTTTTTTTGCAATTTAGAGTGGTATTTTAGTTCTAGAGTAGATTTTACCTAGTTACACTGAACATTTTCTGTCCTTTTTTTATTTCATTAAAAAAGTCTTAAGTTTCAAATGATATTTCAGACTACATATATAAAAAGGACTAAAGTAAAGCTGGTTGGTACTGAAATACATACATTCTTAGGGAATATAGTAAACCATTTTCTACCAGTGCAAGTGTTTGATCCTTGGCTGAACCTGGGGATGGCTTCAAAGAGAGTGGGCTGAACTTTTGTCCTGCTTTTTGATGGCTCGTTAGGTGCAGACAAGGACTCTCAGGGACTGACCAGGCAGCATGCGTGGGGCTAGTACTATGGCTTTAAAATCTGGACATGGATATGGATGCCAAAAGGACTCTTACATTCCGAAAGTTCGAGCTTGCCGTTCAGCCTCATGGTCTGGACAAAAACAGAAAATGAATCGACTACTTTGAAAGTGAAAGTTTTTCGCTCATAAACTGGAAGAGTAATCTAAAATGTCTGCGCGTAATGACGAGGACAATATGCGAGTCCTTCTCCGGAGAACTTGTCATGTATTTAAGTTCAAGCCAAGGAAGAGAAAAAAATCAAGAGAACTCTTCGTCTTCGTCAGTGAGCTTTGTGTGCGAGCTGTTGGCCGTTAAACTGGTTGTCTAGACCGTAAGTAAATTTATGGCTCTGATTAATATCTTTATTGTGTCAGATTATGATTGACTAGGCGGCAGGCCACACGATTTATTGATGGAGATGCCGCTCTCTTCCAGCATCTTTGGCCAAAGCTCCTCGCACAAAAGGCTCTCCCGCCCCGATGATGAATGAGAAGGCGGTCCTTTGTGCCTCCGGCCAACAGGGCGTATGGAATTACATGACCCTGGGCTAAGCACTGTTCAATGGGTAAATATGCATTTGATATATGAGCTGGGGAAAGGTTCAGTAACGAACTTTCATACGGCAACTTTAACCTTATTAGTCAGGTGAAGTGGCAGCAGTTTGTGTGTGAATTTTTCAAGACTCCACTCATGAGTTTCACATGAATTTGTTTTGCCTGCTTTCAAATTGCCATTAATAATTCTGTTAGGCCACAAAGTGAGACAGGCCAGGCAGCCATAACTCCTCAACTCTGTCCCAGTTTTGGGTTGATTTATTTTGTGTTTCTAATCCGGACCTGAGTTCACTCCACGTGCCAATTCGCCGCAGGATAAGCCCCATCTAGCAACTCTTTGGTCATTCGTTTCAATCCGGACTTTCCATCTCGGAAAGCCTCCTTGACTAATGGAACTCCGGCAGCTGGCCGGGTGTAAGCTGAAATGACTTTGTCGGCAGGTGCAAATGCAGTGCTGAGAGTAGACTTGCACTTTAAGAATTATAGGGCGAATGCTTTTAAGTTCTTACGATTGGAAAAAAAAAAAAAATAAAGAAGATGCGAAATGAATATTTAAATTTTTGTGCTTGAAAATCAATAGATACAAGGAAGGAAATTATACTGAACATTAGATTCTACTTTTCATTTCTGCAGTGTAGCAGTAGAGCGTGCCAATCGGAAAGTACAATGTCGCAGGAAATCCTTTGTCTGATAGAGCCGAGAGCAAGGGAAACCTGCTCCCAGTTTTTTCCTCCATATCCTTTCCGTTTTTTCCACCTTACGTTCGATCCTTGGAATGCAGATGCGAATATGCTACTGGCATGCATTGTGTACTCCAAATAACAGAAAACTAAGAGGATTTTACTGTAAAGTTGGCAACACTTTTTATTTATTCACATTATTTACTGGTAGCTCAACACTTAACACTTAATTTATGAGTGCGATGTTTTTGCCTGGCAAAGAAAAAAAGGAGCCAAATGGAGGCGTGGCTTTTTGTCACGACACTTTGTTGCCTCATTAGCCCGGCTTTATGCTTCGCATAAATCGTCTGGGCTGGCCATTCGTTCTATTTTTTTATGGCCTATTGTCCAGTCGAAATTTGCATGCAAATCGCCTCGGCAAAAGTTTCAAAGTTTCTCCGGATTATTTACAGATCAGAAAGTTTATTGCGCTAACTAAACGGGACCTAACTATGCATAACTCTAGATATTGGCCAGTGGCCATCACTGGGATTTGGGCGACCCGAAGCCCAGTCCATCACTGGCTGGATCCTCCGGCTTCTGCCTTCGCTTTCGCCATGGAAACTTGCGGGAGCTGCGACTCACACCAGTTCCTCCGGAGCCGGACAAGGTCTCCGGGTCCGGCAGACTGTGACTGCTGGCTTCGTCCCTGCGGCTAATCACACGGGACAATTTGAGGCGGGTTGCCGGTTGACTGAGTTCGGGCGATTCCACGTTCTGCGGGGGAGTGACCAATAGAGCCCCACTCTTGGTGGCCAAAAGAGCTCTCTTGGCGCGTCCAGCGGAGTAATGTCTGTCCACTGCTTCGGATTCTAATAGCGAGTTGGCGTCCCCCAGGGACGAGAGCTGCGATACCTGGGCTTGGAGCATCCGGTGGGGCACTGCGCTTCCCGGAACTGGACCGTAGAAATCCTGTTTCCGGTTCCGCCGACCACCGCCCACGCCCCCGATGCCGCCCACTCCATTTCCCGGCTGACCCAAGCTGTTGCTGTTTATCGTGGTGGTGGTGGTGGTGGTGCGAATGCTGTCCTGCATCGACAGTTGATGGCTAGCGTCCCGGCAACGGAACTGCACCACTCGATAGGAACCATAGGGCTCGAGGGCATTGTTGTTAACACTACAGCTGGCCGGTTGTAGACGCATTGAACCGTTCTGACGGAGCAGGGCGCTGTAGTTGTGCTGGTGGTGCTGGCTCTGCTGGTGATGGTGGTTTCTGGCCAAACCAAATTGACGCGTCAAAGTGATCTGTGGGGAGAAATCAAGAAAAACGAAAAGATTGTTATTTCGTTTAGAGGAAGGAATAAAAAAAGATAGAAATAAAAAAACTGAAAACTATTTTCAATCCATCACTAGACTCCATTTTAACTGCATTTTAAATAATTCATTTATTTAACGAAAGTTTTCAGGTTGATTTAAGCACCTGATAGTTTTTATAGCATAATTAAAAAGTTATATCCCTGGCTTACCTTGAAAGCCTCGCGAAACTTGTGGCTCATGATGTTGTAGAGCAGCGGATTGATGCAGGTGGAGAGAAAGTAGAGCACGCCGGATGTGTAATCAAGTATCCGGAAGTAATCGTTGAAGGCGTCCCGGCTGATGCCTATATTAATCAGAGAAAGCCCGTACACGGCCATCAGGCGCTGGGCATGAAAAGGAGCCCAGCACAGGAAAAAGGCGACGGCTACAGCTACTGCAAATACGGGTAAGGATAAAGAGCCTATTAAATACTTGTGTCCAGAGCGGAAAAGTTCGTAAAAAATAAAGGAATGAAGGCAGCCACTATCTCTCCTATGTATGTATATTAACTTTTATATATCCCAGGTAATCCAATCGTTTGGCCACAAGTGTTTTTTGGAAGTGAGGCTACAAGGGAAAAATACTGCCCCTACCTGAGCGGGGCTTTAAGATGGTCTCTTTAATGGTCGTGTATATTTTATATTTTTATTTTGTGAAAAAAATTTTATTTAATGAATTTCGTACTTCTATAAGTTTAAGTTGAAACTTGAAAGACAAAGGTTTTTATAAAAGGATGAGACAATTTTCAAGCGAAACCTTAGTTTAAATTAATTGTAATAACTTGACCTTTTGAAGAGCTTATTTCGGAGAATGTCCTGTAGAATATAGCCAAAAGAAATAATCCCAACTGAACTTTAAAGAAACAAGTTTCCAGGACTTGCTTGTATTTCAATTGCCTCCTGTTTGTGTTTTCAATTACGCCATTTTCAAGGTAAATGGCAGAGTTTCTGCTAAGACTAATTCTTGTTTCATCCAGGCGCCAGGTGGCTTCACCTCTGACACATTTTCTAGATGGCCATTTAAAAGCCCTCCAGATACACTGATGCTTGCGTAAATTAACGACACCGCAGAAAAAACACACCCGGGAGCACATTCAGCCCACATGACGTAAGGAGAAGTGAAAGTGCTCCGGGAAATCAAGGGGCGGGTGGCGTTGGGTGGGCGATGACGAATCTCCTGTTTGATGTCGCCAACGCAAATATGTTGACAGTAATTTTCAATTTAAGACTTTCGGCGAAAAAGTTTTGATACACGCCGGAGGGAGGTGTGGGGCGAAGCGGAGCAGGGGCGGGGCAGTACTGCTGTCTTTAATCAATCAAGCCGCCAACACAACTCAACTCACCTACCCAACATTCTGATGACTCGGCCCTGGGCATTCAGTCCCCGGTTGGCGTCGTAGGCTCTCCTCGGTAACGACTGCAGCAGACGGCTCCTTTTCAGCTTCACACCGATCAGGACATATAGTACGCAAATTGCCGTCATGGGTCCGCCAAAGAATATAAATCCCGAGACGGCAAACACATGGGCATAAAAGTCGTTCTCCATCTGGGGGATACAAAGGATATAAAGTGTGCGGCGTTGCGTCAGTTGGTTTTTGAGTTTTGTTGCTTTTCCTTTTCTAAAAATGTATTTTTTTTTTTGTCTTTTCTTTTAACACCTACCGTGCAGGAGTATCCGCCATTCTGGTAGACCACCGAAAATTGCATGGCTTGGGGCAGAGCCAGAAGGAAGGCTGCCAGCCAAATGGCAAATATAAATTTAATGGCGCGCGACAATTTTGACATGGTGTGCTGCCTATAAATGACGTAAAGATTAGGGTATATTAAATGATAAATATTGCAGTAAATTTAATGTAAATGTTGATGTTGAGTGGGGGTGGCAGTGTTCAATCGTGGGAGGAAAAGTGTAACATTTTGACAATTTATATTTCAATAAACCCACATGCAATCTTCTCTCTTTGAAAGTGAAAAGGCATGTAAAAGGCTTTTAATATAAGTGTTTATATTATATGCATGAGCTTAAAAGCAAACTCAAACATTGGCACTTCTGGGCGAAAATATTTGCTATTCATAGTCATATGTTTTAATCACACATCCGACTAAGTTTAACATAAATAATTGCAGCGACGTGTTGGTAAAATGGATTTTATAAAGTTTTGAACATTATAACAAAAAAAAAAAAAAAACGGAAGTGAAAATAATATGCTACAATTTTGCATTAATGCCGCAGAAAAACTTTTGGGTTTCGCAAAAGCCATGTAGAATAGCCAAAAAGTTTGCATTTATACCAACAATTATGCTCGAACCCAACCCCAAAGAAATTATCTAAATAACTTTCTGCTTAACTTTAAAATTGGGTTAGGAATGTCTTCTTGAAGTCCTTCAGCTCTTCCATGTCTGGTTTCGTTTGAGGATTCTCCCAAAATAAACTCATTTGTTTATTTTGTGGAAATAGAAGAAACAACAAAATCTAGCTTGTTTTTTAAATAAATGTTACTTTTTTGGTTTTCCACGAATTTAAACCGAAATGAAGCGTAACATGAGTTTGGTTGAAACGCAATAGCCCACAGCTTAAAATGCAAATCAAATGTTATTTTTTAAGGAAGCATTTATATTTATAGAATTTCAAAGAAGAAAATAAAATGCTGTAGGAATGCAGGATATTCCATAAACGACATTTTGCCTACAGCAAAGATTAATTATATTTAGGGAAAGCAACTGTTGACTATTAATTAGGACCATGAAATCAGGAAAATCGATTCGGCCGCACTATCCAAGCTTCATGAAATATTTTAGTTGCCATGTTGGCTTTTGTTATTATTCCCCCAGCCTGTCTGTTAAATTATGAATAATTATGCCTACCATATGTACTATATCTATTTACTATCGTTTGTGACAGTCCTTTGTCAGGTTTTTGTTTTATCTTTTTGTGGTAGGCTTAATTTAAACATACGCCACTTTGTTAATTAACTTTGCTGGCCAACAACTACAAATAATGATAATAACACAATAAATATGACTAAATAAACGGATTTGATTAGGTAATTATTATTATACGTTTTTTTTTTTCACACTCACCTGAAAGGATGGCATATGGCGATGTACCTCTCCACTGTGAAGGCGGTGATTGTGAGAACCGTGGCATTGGCAGCCATTTCCGAGAGCACACTTCCCATGATGCACATCGCATCGGTAAAGGGATACATGTCGGGAAACCAAAGGTTGTACAGCTCCTGTGGAATGCCTGTGAGATATTTGAGTCACATTACTCATACGACACGTTGACCCAACAAGGTGGAAGCTCACCGGAAAGCAACAGTATCAGATCGGAAACCGCCAGGTTAAACAGATAGAAGTTGGTTGCCGTGTGCATAAAGTTGTTTCGCGAGATAACAATGCAGGTGATCAGGTTCCCCAGAACGCCAGCCACAAAAATGAGGGCGTAGCAAATGGTGAAGGCGGTGCGCAGGGTCAGGGACTCATCCCCCGGAGAATCCGATGCCATTGTGCTGGCATTTGTCCCGTTGCCGGAGCCCAAAAGATTTGAGAGATTCTCGGTCGTTATGTTCAGCAGATGGGCAACATGTGTTAGGAATTTGTCATTCTTCAGGAGCAACAGCTCGGGGCTCGCGCTAGGATTCGCCGGTAGTGCTATGTTGGCAATGGGATTGGTACTCTGATTGGGACTGGGCGACACATGAGCCATGAATGATTGATTGAGGCCATCATCGTTGCTGTCGTTGGCGATGGTGATGGCGACGCCCTGCAACATGCTAGCTGTCGGCTGCTGTTGTCGATTAATTGCGGACTCGATCCGAAACTCGAGACCCTCGCCAAACCAAACCAAACACAGAACCCCCTCTAACCAAAACAAAAGCGAGAAAAAAACCAAATCAGACGCCTACTCCTATCAATGCGTTATTAATACTGTCTGGCGTATCCTTTGCGGCTGCGATGGTGGCACATGGCCGATAAGCAGCCTTCGACGACAGGCCCAAAAATTGCGCACTCGCCTGTGAAGCAAACAACATTAAAAGTCATTAGACTCAAGGATAAATTTAAATTGAAACCCCAGCCATTCTGACATAATGGCGTCAGGTGGCCAGGAATCAACCAAAGAAAATGCGTTTTATTTCCGAACATAAAAGAGACACTCGACTACTGCCACTCGACAAGTGCCACTTGTCTCTATTATTAGTAAACATCTTAAGCTGCATCGAAAACAATAAATAAACAAGAGATAATCAATCAAATACTTGGAAATTACTTGAATGTTGTACATTTATGTTTTATTCAATACAAGAAAACTTAAGAATTCGATAAACATAATCTAATGGTTTATCTAGCAATTTTTATTTTCAGGATTAAAAATATTTTTAGGTCAAAATTAACATCTTCTAAAGATATTTCAAGGACTAAATTTTTCTCTCCGTGGAACACTTGTCACTTGGCTCTATTAATAGTAAACATCTGGAGTTGTGGCAATACAGATTGCTGGCAATCAATACAAATATAGTTGGGACTGGAAAAGTTTTTCTATTTTCTCTCGGACTTAGTCCTGATGAGTGAAACGATGCCTGATTGCATGAGTGGGAAAGTTTATTCTAGTATTGAGCAAGAAACCTTCTACTTTCTGTAAGCAAGATATCCCTTAAGGAATCTCCTGCAAATTCACTTTCCAAACTTTAAAGAGGTCTGCGACTTACGGCTAATATTTCACGCATTATGTGGCCAACACGTTTACCATTAATGGCGAGGGCTTAGCTCTGGGGTTAGAAAAGTCAAAGTTGAAGTTAGGAAACAGCGTCTCACGCTTGCTGCCAAGTTGGATTATTGGCTTGAAGCCAGATTTCTGTTTGATGTGTCTAATTAATTATGTTTCCTTCTCGTTGGAGGTTCTTCCTGTTCCGAAGGCGTTTATAAAAACACTGGAAAGTATGCTACGCATTCCGGCTAAGCACCGAGTCCGGATGTTATTGTATTGACGTAAACTAATTGGAGGAATTAATTGAATTGCCAGCTCAGGTGTGAAAGTTGATTTAGATATGATTGGACACGGGTCCAAGTGTACGTTGCCCATTGCAATTATTCCGACAAATTGGCTGAAAACCAATCGTAACACCGAGCGTAATAGGGTTAGCAATTCAATTTGGGTGAGGGTTCTTATTCGAATGAACAAGTTCCCACCGCAACCCAGTTGCAGATGGCCAGGTGCACGGGTTGACAATGCCCCTAGCTTTAACATTTTTTAATTAAACGCTGTGGTTGCGGCAGCACAAGTTAGCAATTTGGGAAATCGTTTCGGAGTTTCTCCAAATTCTCGGAATCGAAACGAGTCCTGAGTAAATTTTAATCTACACAGCTCTGACATTCACGAGTTGACTGTTGATTCTTACCAAGGTTAGATTAAATAACAATAGCAGCGTAGCTGTTTTGTTTCTTTTTTTTTTCTATCTATTGTGTCTTTGTTGAATACGTATCCGTGTCCGTATCCGTGTCACAAAGGTGTGTGTGTCACCTTTTATGCGACGCCCAAGAAGGAGTTAAGCATGGGGTCCCAGAACCCTTTTGTTATCGTTAAAACGGAATCACTCAACGGAAAATTAGTTTAGATTCTTTTTTTCGGATGCCAATCAATTGGATTTCGAAAGAACACTTTTTTAAAACCATTTATGTAGATTCTTTCCACTCTCATTTTCGATAATATAAATTTAATTTTTTTGGAGCTAATAATTTTTAAAAATTTGCATCTCAAACTGATTTTTCAAAAACTCAAGTTTTGGCCAAGGATTTCGGATCGCGCACGTCCGGATTTGAGCGAAGTCGTCGTCAGACTGAGTTGCCTTGCGGCAATCGTGGCATCGTTTGGCTGCCTGCTGTTAGCCGCCTGTTAACCAACAGCAGTTCTTGGCCAATTCGCTCTCTCTTTGTGGGCCAATGTATGTGTAATTGTGTGTGCCAAACATTTGGTCTTAATTTCATTCATAAATTCATGCACTTCACCTTGACTTTGTCTCCTGGTTTCGTCTGCCCCACTCCAAGCCGTTCTAAGTTATGTCTTACTTGGCGGATGAGTAATGTCGCAGGCAGCTGGTTATAGAGCGTGGCCGTAAATGGTAGTCAATTCAATTCAATTGGACTGGCTAATTGAAATTGCAAATGGCCTAAAAGCGCTCGCACTTACTTTTAATATTTATGGCCAATGGCCACCCCCCTTAGCGAGTTAACACAACCATAGAACAATCAGTGTAAATGAGGAATCAAAGTCGTTTTGCCATCATAAAGTAGGATAATAAATGTGTTTGTTTTGCAGGACATGAACCATAGGCAGGGAGGCGGCTCCTGTGGCATTCCCCTTTACTCGGCATTCCCAACCGCATATTAATGTCGGCCCTTGTCCGCAGATTTGTGGATTTGTTTTCATTTCCCTTCTTTCTGGCTCCTTTCCCGCCCCGAGTCACGAATTTAATTTGAAGAACTTGGTATTCTCGTCCTCGGGAGATTGGGATTCTGCGTTTTGAGTCGAATTTGACATGGTTGTCTGGTCGCGGTAAATATGCAGAGTAGCTGGAGCGTGACCACAATCCGGATTTGGCGGTTTGCTTAAGAGCCTTTGGCTATTAAGAAAGTGTCTGAGAAAAGATTTTTTTTAAAAACATTCTAACCACAGTGTAAATAAAGCTTGAAAAATTCAAAGAAATCAAAACCAAATAATAAGAAAAAAACTAATATTTATTTATTAAGCTATACATAAGAGCTTATATAATTTTTTTTTAAATAAATGGACTTATTTAATACACAATTTTATTTGTGGTGTATAAATCTGGGCATCAAATACTGATTTCCGTCCCACACACTTTGATCTATCGTAAATGCGATTAAATGCGCGTTAAATTAATGTAGCAGGCAATAATCACTGGCCACAATCTGGGTGCAAGTTGATTCCCTGGATTATTCATGAGTTTCCCCTTGAACACTGAGAGTACGCACATAATGAAACCGTCAAGGCAATCAATATCTGAGCTTCATTCATTCACTGACCTCTACTCGTTGCGTATACGCAACGTGTTCGACTAATTCCACTGTGATTGCCCGAAAGCCGGAACGACTCAATGTGCGAGTGGATGTGGATGGTACTGATTAGCATAATGCTCCCCGACTACTAATAACACACATGTGGACCACCAGCTGGGAGACAAAAGATGCCCGAGTCCTAATCGAAAAAGGTCGACCACAAATTTGTGGGCACAGCAGTTGGTCGGTCGGAGTTCTGGGGATCTTGTCTTGATTTACGACTGCAACGACACCAGATAGCTCCTGATTAGCCCTGATGCCAAACGAGGGCACTGCAAATGCGGTTTTAAGCACTTTCGAGTGCGTCATGTTATTTGAGCTGCGGCTAATTAAGTGCAATTAAACTAAATGCAAGTGTCCTTGGCCTTTGGCTGGCGTAAAAGCGAGCATTGAACCTAAATAGGACCTAGGACGAAACTGTCACTTTGCATAGTTGGCTACGAAAAACTATTTGATACTTTCCGGCCCACGCACTCGCCTCGATTCAGTTTTAACTCGCATTACTCATACAACCCGTTGGCCGTAGTTTATGGAAGGCACTCCGCCATCATGTTCGAAATTGGGCATCTTGGCGGACGACGGCATGCCAAAGAGGGCAATTGCCGGGCTTTTAACCAAATGAAGCCCAGCACAGGCACGCACACCTCTTGCCAGTGGGACTTTTTTATATTTTGGTCGTTACTGGCGGGAATTCAATTATTTGAAAGGCTTTGCAGTGCATGTGGAGCTTGGGCTTCACTAGCAATCGAAGGTTACAATTAGCCCGGGCAAAGAAATTTGTCAACGACTTTTGGAAAGCGTGCTAGAGTTCAATAAATTTGAGGTCGCCTAAAAAGAAGTAAAGTGGTTATATTTTTAAATACTCTAACTGATAAAGATTGTTTGCAAAAATACAAAAATAAAATATTGTTTTATGAACACTTTAAATCTTTATATTTTTTAAGAAACCCATTTTACATAAATCTTCTAATTGATCAAAATGTAAAGTCCAAATCTAAATGACTGCGCCAAAGTAATTTGCGATAAAAAGTCTGAAAGACTCTTAAAACAAATGTGGGCACTATCTCGTGATGGCAGACAAGTTTCATGCTTAATTTTTGGAGCTCTCTCCGAGTGAAATAACATATTTGCCGGGCTTATATGGAGGTTAGGGCAAGCGGTGAGCTTCAAACGGGTTGGTCGAACTGCAAATGACTTTCGGCATGCCCCTGCCGCGTGCAATAAAACTAAATGAATCGGAAACTTGCACAAAATTCAAGTAAACTGCTGACGAGGATGCCGACGTCGACTGATGACAGAGTCCTGGGCGACGGCAGAACTTCAAAATGCCAAACAAGAGTTCGACTCAAAAGGCGCCCCCGAATCTGATGTCATGCTCAGTGTTCATAAAGCGCAAAGCAAACGAAATTCTTTTCCTCATCCTCCAGGTTGCCCTAACATCGCCCCCTATCATTGCCGTTTCCCATTGCCCTTTTTTCTCGGCTTTCGTCAACAATTGGCAGCCAAAGTTTTGACTGGGAAAGACTCTGCAGCACGTGCTTCGTATTTGCTTTGCCTTTGAGGGTACATGAGATTCTTTCCAAACAGAGATTAACATGGACATGGAGCAGGGCGCCCTGACAAAGGAAAGCCACCCCAACCTACCCATAGAGCTCTTCTTTTTTTGCTGTTTGTTTAGGACCTTGTTTTGATTAAGTGCCAAAAAATTGTTATGTATTATTTGCATAAAAATTGAGAAATTGAATGCATGCAATGGTTTTGATTTGTTTGGACTTTTTTGTACACATCGTATCGTGTATAAATAGATATGGCTACATTTTCTCGGCCTCAATAACGCACTAGCCGCAGGGAGCTAGGAAAACAGTGCTTTTATGAGCCTCAAAGCTCTGATAGATTTAGCCGCACATGGTCATAAAACTAAGACCCCGAGGGACTAATAAAATCTCCCTTTGACTGATCATAAAACCACGGAGTCATGTCGAATTTTGTCGGCTTGATGGCCGCAGCTCAATGGTGTACAAAGTATTTTCTCAAATTAATTTTCAGCAATTTAATGCCGATGTCAAAGGATTGTTGACACTTTTGGACAAATATCTGGCAATAATAAAAGTTTCCTCCCATGCAAAAACCAATTCATTTAAATTTTCAATAAAAATTGTTAATACTTTTGGGCATTGAAGCAGCTAAAGAAAAGCCCTTTAAAAAAATCCCTTTGTGTAAATATTAGCCTATATAGTCAACCTTCTGCTAATAGCCTTCACTTAAATGGATTGTGGGCGCATTGGATTAAGTGGACACGAAGGTCGGCATTTGCATTGTCCTTTGCCTGTGTTAACATAATAATCAAACAATTTGCCGCCCGGCCAAATTAATATGCCACTAAATAAGATAAAGTGCATGGCACTCCGATATTATTTGCATTTTTATTATCCTTGCCCTCGAACCCAAACCCTTGTGATATGAGAGCGCCGTCGCAGAGAGCCCCGAAAAGCAACCGGTAGTTGTGTTCTGTCGACGTCGCCGCTGGCTTCGACGCCGGCATCGCTGTTGCGTCGCTGTTATTGCCATGGCCCGAACGGGCTTTGTTCGCCCAGATTTTTTGGCCAAAACTTAGTCATTCGGATGCTGCGGCCAAATGCTGTAGCCGCTGGCGACGCACTCGATTTCAAAAATATCTCGAAAGAAATCCCAAAACAAGCGCGCTTTAATCGTTTTCGATTCCAAGAAGTGTTCTATAAGATCGGATCGGTGTCGTTTCGCTTATTATCAGAAAAATTAATTAAAAGCTTGTGCTAAATAAACTCCGTCGGTGCCGTCTGCCTCGTCAGTCATTAATCAACGTTTAGCACATGGTAAAAGCTGCTTAAACATAATGCAATAAAATCAACAGAGACACAAAATTATATACTATATTATCCGCCAAGGGGGAGGGGGCTAAAGCAAAGTGCAACGTACGAGTGCCAGCACAACAGAGTGACAAAATCAAAACAGTTCAAAGCAATAAAAAATAAATGCATTCAAAAGAATGTGGCAGGCATCGTTTGATAAATTTAAATTAAACGTGTTTTAAATGCACAAACGATAGCCGGCCGAGAGCTAAAAAGATAATTAATTGTCATTAGGTTGAAATGAAAAACCCCAAACAGGAGCACCGAAACAGTTGTGAACAAGTTGAGAATAAATAAAGAATTATCGGGCCAGAAGAATCTCCAGATTGCCTCGAGACTGACAGCAAACATTGACCCGTGCCTCCAGCCACGAGCACCGAGTTCCGAACCGCGAGCCCATTAGACCAAATACAGTGCAAAATCTATAATATTAAATGCCGTATGCAAAATGGCTACCCAAAAAAAAAAAACGACATAAAAAATGAGAGATCAAAAGCAACAAAAAAATATAAACAAAATGCTATTCGAACTCAGACTTTATGGGCATGGGCGGTGCATAATTTTGGTGGGATGCTACACAGTTTCGATCGATACCGCGAGACAACCGACATCGGACAACAGACATCGGACACCGAGACGAAAACAGAAAAATGAAAAAATGAAAACCAGTTTGATTGAATATACAAAATAATAAAACCAAATTCGACAGCATTCTTTAGCCGTGCATATATTGTAGAAACTTTTTTATGATAATGATAATGAAAACGTCCGAAAACGGTCAACAGCGGTCAGCAGTAAAACAAAACCACATCCAAATTCAAATAACAGCAGCCGAAAACACTCATCATGAATGGAATAAAACTATGTTAATGTTATTAAGTCACCCGGTGTCCATTAGGAGTTCTTCTCTCGAGCCGGGACGACCTTGAGTTTGGGTGGCATTTAATTCGTTTGGCAAACACCCGGCAGCAGGCCGGGAAGTGTGCCAGGTTGAGCCCTAAAGCAACTTTCTTAAATTCATCTCGTGTACACAAATATTTTGCCTAAATGCCACTTAGCAATTCAAATTAATTTTCAGCATCCACTTGCCCTGAGCCTGGTCTTCGCCTAGGACACGCCTGACTGCCGCCTGCCAGTTTCTCAGGATGCCAGGTAAATAATGTAGAAAGCGCCGTGTCTTTAAGGATTTGACAGCCTAGGGTGGACTTCCAATTTAATTTTTTCTTTTTTATCAGTTAATACATTTAATCAAATAACAAAATAATATTTATTGCATGTTTATATATTAAAAAACAAAACAAACCAAGCAGTATTAACACATAGTTATTATTTTTTGCTATGTTGACGAAGAACTTTCTTTTTTACGATCTTTCACTTTCAATAATTAACTTATCACTTTTGTGAGTCAAGAGAGGTTCACCCTAAACGGCTGTCCACCCTTAAAACAAACAAACATACCCTAAACACAACATTTTCCTGAACTCATAACAACAGGTTGTGAGTGGATTGGTCCTGGCCTAAGTCGAAACTGATGAGCCCAGCTTCGGGAGCATTATGAATACATTACCATTAAGGAGGAGAAAATCGATTGAAAAGACATAAACAGGAATCGAAAGTTGAAAAAAATTGGAAACAAAATTTAATAAGAAAACATACACACATACAAAACAAACAGATTCAGACACAAATACAGAGAGTCTTTTCTCCATGGCAGTCAAGATGCTGCCTAGTAACAGTTCCGGCCACTTGCCAACAGATCTGCAACTGTTTCACAATGAAAAATTCTTTTTAAATCTGACCCAAGTGTTAAACATCTCGGCCGACAACCTTACGAGCCTGCTGCAGGGGCTGGAGCCGGAGGAGCTGCTTCCCACGATGTCACCAATGGCACCAATGTCTCTGCTCGCTGCTCTTAGTGTGGGCTATGCCCTCATCTTTGTGGCTGGCGTTTTGGGCAACCTCATCACCTGTATTGTGATCTCCAGGAACAACTTTATGCACACAGCTACCAACTTTTATCTTTTCAATCTGGCTATATCCGACATGATCCTATTGTGCTCAGGTGAGATGAAGTTTCTCCATCTTTGTGGTGTAACAGGGCGTATGCGTAATGTCAAAATGGTTTTTTAAAACATTTTTTTACTTTGTTTTGGTAACAATCTGCAAAGAAAATAATTAACAACAATGTGATTTAAGAGATTAGTGACTTTTAAAAATGTTACCGAAAATCTTTCTGTTACGGCTAACGTGGCGTATGAGTAATGCCACAAGTTCTCTTCATATGCCTTTTAAAAAGTTATGGAGGAAAAAAAAACATAATTATTCAACATTAATTCCCGAAAGGGACCCTCATTATTGTGTTTAAAATGTATGATTTCATCATTAATTAATTCATTCCGTTTTAGGCATGCCACAGGACCTGTATAACCTTTGGCATCCGGACAATTACCCCTTCAGTGATGGAGTCTGCATATTGGAGAGCGTACTTTCGGAGACAGCGGCCAACGCCACTGTCCTGACGATTACCGCTTTTACCGTGGAGCGATATATTGCCATTTGTCATCCTTTCAGGTGAGTGGAAGCCCATCAAGAGGATGTCCATCCCCATGGCCCTTTTCATCACTCTCCCACACAGCACAATTTCCATTTTCCCCGACCAGAACTAATTGGTTTTCGTTTCGATGCAGGCAACACACGATGTCGAAGCTTTCACGGGCCGTAAAGTTCATATTTGCCATCTGGATAGCCGCTCTATTACTGGCCCTACCCCAGGCGATTCAGTTCTCAGTGGTGGTCCAGGGCATGGGATCCTCGTGCACGGTATGATTGATGGGTGGTCTTTAATCGCTGTCCCAATTATCGGGCATCCGACATAATTAAGTAATTGAGTTGGGCAATTAAGGGTCGTAAGTGTGATACTGTGAAGTGTGTCTGAGTATATTAAGATTCTGAAATTTTTTTTAATAGGCCTTAAAATGTATTTCTTTTAAGTAATTGATTCAAACTGAATTTTATAAATACTTGCGTCGTATTTGGTTTCTAATTAAAATAATCTAATACTTGTAACAGTTAACAAATATTCTCCTTTTTAAACAGTTCAGTTGTTAGAAAATTACTGTCATCTAGATCCTTTTTGAGGCGTAATTGGTTTAAAACCATTTCTTCGATTCTCTCAATTACTTAAAAGTGTTGACTTTTATAGACCTATCAGAGAAAATTCTCCATGGTGCTTGACTCAATCTAAAGAGATCAAATTTATGGCTTTGGGCTTCCGCCACAGTCATTCTCATATTACTGCGCCTGCTTACTTATATTTTGTGAAATATATTCTGCAGATGAAAAACGACTTTTTCGCGCATGTGTTTGCTGTGTCAGGCTTTCTTTTCTTCGGCGGACCCATGACAGCCATATGTGTGCTCTACGTGCTCATCGGTGTGAAATTGAAGAGGAGCAGGCTGCTGCAGGCGATTCCCCGGCGATGTTACGATGTGAGCCGAGGTATCAGCGCCCAAACACGAGTCATCCGGATGCTGGGTAAGGCATAGCTTCCTGGCTGTAGATAACTTATGGTTGCATCATCTTTATTGCATTTTTCATTTATTTTTTATTTTATTTTATTTTTTGTTAGTTGCCGTTGCGGTGGCATTCTTTATCTGCTGGGCGCCCTTCCATGCCCAGCGCCTGATGGCGGTCTATGGCTCCACCTCGGGCATCGCGTCGCAGTGGTTCAACGATGTCTTCAGCATCCTCAACTACACGTCCGGAGTGCTCTACTTCCTCTCCACGTGCATTAATCCACTGCTCTACAACATTATGAGCCACAAGTTCCGCGAGGCTTTCAAGGTAAGATTACCGCAAGAATTTCATTTTTTCGTTCCACTTCAGCTAATTAAAAAGTGTGGTTTCTTCAGCACACGGCGAGAAATGGAGTGCATCCAATATTTAATATTTTGTTTATGTAAATAATGAGTAAATTGTTTTTCCCTCAGGTAACCCTTGCCCGTCAATTTGGGTTGAGTGGCAAAAATCAAGGACGTGGCCTGCCTCACACCTACAGCGCCCTGCGGCGCAACCAGACGGGTTCCTTGCGCCTTCACACGACGGTGAGTAAACACTGAAAATATATTCAAATCATGATACTGCCAAGTCACTTCATATTTTGTTTATATTTTCCAATAAGTTTCTGTTGAATATTGGAAATATTAAACAATTCAAAGGTCTGAGGTTAAAAATATATTTAGCTTCGTTTACCGAAAATCTTTCTGATTATATTTATCAAACTATTTGAATAAAATTAGCAAAAGCTTATTGCTTAACGTGAATCATTATCTGGTTTTTTTTTATAGAGAGATTGGGTTGGAAATAAAACTAAATAAAAGAATTTTTTTAATGCTTCAAATGCAATTTTTTAGCTCTGAAGAACCCTATTCCATTGTTGGGAGTAATTAGCAATAATATTTTTACTGCCACTTTCCTAACCATTAGACTTCTTCATCTTTTCTTTGCAGGACAGCGTGCGAACCACCATGACTTCCACCACAACCACCACAATGCTGAACGGTAATGGAGCTGGAAGTCAGTCCCAGAGACTGAACCGAGTATCCTTGGACAGCTCCCAGCTGCAGGGTCAAAATCGCAGCCGCCAGGATCTGTTCGACAACCCCCGACGCATCCTGCAGTCTCAGATTTCTCAGCTTTCGTCTGTGGGCGATGCCCATTCGCTGCTGGAGGCGGATCTGCCATATGCCGATGAGCAAATGCATCATCAACAGCATCCCACTATGTGCTCCATTGACGAGCTGAGCTGCCAAAATGACGACTCGGGACTGTCGCGGTCCCGCCTTAAACTGACACGCATCACCCGTCCAATGGGGGGCGTGGCAGCGGGTGGAACGGGGGCAGGATCGCTGGGTGGTGACGAGTCAAGTGGGAAAGTGCGCAAGGCGAAAGCGAAAACGCTCAAGAGCTCGAATGCTCTCAAGGGTCTCAGGGCCAAATTCAATTGGCGTGCCAGACGCAAAGGCAGCCACAAGCCGCAGGCGAGGGACGCTTCGGTCGCGGAGGCAGCTGCGGTTCCCGGGACGGGGTGTGGTAACGACTCCTCCGACGAAAGGGCCGCTTTTTGAAGAGGCCCGGAGTCCATTCCATTGCCAGCTACACACACTCAACTGTGATACGAGCAGCAAGCGCCTCTTGAGCTTGTTTGTGTTTTTTTAGACAAATATTCCAGCTCCGGGTCAATTCTTTGTCCTTGCTTTAATTTAGAGTTTAGCTCAATAAGTTGTAATCGAGTCGCAATAAACTATTTAATTCAATTACCAAAATGTAATTAGTTTCATTGAAAAAAGATACACGTTCTTTCAATAAAATACTGTTTAAATGAAACCGTAGAAAGTTGCCTTAAATTTGTTTGGGAATATGACCTTAAGTTTCTTCGTTTTACGATTCATATTAAAGCGTATTAGGCAACCTATTTAAGCAATAAATATGGTCAATTAAAAGAAATTCTATATTTTATGTTCAACACGTTTTTGGCAAGCCTCTTTTCTTGATTTTTCTTTTAATGCGGCTATAATTTCACTGCCTGTGTATCGGATTAAAAACAGCTTCATTCATATCGAATACATGATTTCATTAGCATCACCCACAGCGTAGAATCATAAAAATATATATGGAATATATACACTGGCACATATAACCTATCCCGCAGAATGGCAGGAAATTCGCATTTCGATGATAACATACGAGTGTATCAATTAGATTTTATGTTTCTTTTTATTGTTTACTACGCAGCACGCGCACATGATTGGCTCCTATTGAAACTAAATCCGACGTAGCCGGATTCTGACCTTGGACACCAACTTTCTATTTATTTATGTTTTTATGATCCGACACGAGGGGAACATACTGGCTAGCTGAAAATCCAATGAAATGGCGGATGCGGAAATAACTAACAATGTGTCAATGTTTGTGTAATTCCGTTACGGGCTGATTTTATGTCCTGATTTAATGTCAAATGTGTTTATGCTTTGCATCTCGACGAAACTCTTGTTATTGACATTATCCTGGCCATGGTCTAACGCCGAAGTCATGACGTAAACAGGACGTACTGCCAAATGGTTTATGACTGAAAGTGATGACATTGAGTAATCGATTAAGAGGCCGCTCGAAAGTCAATCAGAATCACTCCAATGGCCCAAAACCGATACGCAAAAACGATGACAACGATGTTCCATCCGGCACTATGGGAGCCCAGGGAGTGCACAAAATTCGATTCGCCATCCGCTGAGTTATCGCCATCATTTGCACAACGAATGACAATATTTTGCAGTGGCCCAGGCTGTTCATTCATAATCTGACAATGCTGTGCCATGGAAACGATTTATCTTTATAGGCGAGAGCTTTGATTCGATATGTGTCGTAAATTGATGTTCCGATTTAAAGCCAAATATCTGTTAGTCGTAATATTAAAGCGCCATTCAAGCCAGACACGAGCCAAGGTCACCCAATTGACTTGTCTGGGCGGACAGCTCTCCAACTATTAAACTAATGCATTCTACGAGTCGCAATTGAGACGAGATAATGAACAACGGGCCGAATCGAGTAGACGGCCAACTTCTGGAACTGTAACAGCTGCAGGCGTTCAAATTGGCCATCCTACAGGAGTCGGTTACCAGTGCAAGCCATAGCCTTCTCGTTTGGCCTTTGTCTATGCCCCTGTGAGCCATAAAAATTGCCCCTTGTCTGCCGCACTTGTTCACAAATGTGTGCACTTGGAGAAAAAATATAGAAAAGTTATGCATTTAACGTTAGGAGAAACGTTGGGCTAAAACTGGCTTATAAAGAGAGCTTTATGATATATTCAGCACTCACTGAAATCAATCTGCTTACTGAGTATAATATGCACTTTAGGGTAAAACCAAGTGCCTTAAATTTGTTGAGTGCCTGGATAGTTGGCCCTGGGCCAAGCAAACTTATTTCCCTCGTCTAAAAATAAGGGGCTCAAAGCGAGTCGTTTGTAATCAAAATAAAAGCAACTTAAATTAAACGCTTTGAAATTATATTCCCTGGAATTACTTTTTTCTAGCTTTTATGAATGCTTTTTTGTTTCTGTTTTGGATTTACAAAAGGCCTTTTAACGAAACAGATAATTTAATTGCAAATAAAAAGAACACAAACATGATTCAAAAATGTGTAAATAAAGAAATTGGAAAATTTGTTGCCTTAGACATTTTTGCCCGTCTTGTAAGTCGATTAAACCTGTTGAGGAATAATATTAATTGCCATTCAATAATTGCTAGCAAATTTCAAGACCTTCATTAACCGATTGGTTTATCGATATAATGAGCCCTTGAATAGACGAGAAAATAGGCCAATAGACCGGATTAACCCTTAAACCTTTGTGTAAATATGGACGAAGGACCAGAAAATAAGCCAAGGTCCTGCATACTTTATTCGGTATGAATGGAGTGTGCTTTTCCGGACCGTCTTCTGGCCTTACCCATTAATCTCAATTTCGATGGCAAACATTCAATCAACCCAACGACGGGGGACTTTTGTAATTAAAGAGACATTAAGTGCTCGTTAAAATTAAAGTGGCGCTTAAAGGACCCAGCAAGAGGACATCTGCCACAATTGCCATGGCTCCTTCCTCCTCTTTGGTTACCGTGTGCGAAACTTAATGGCCTATGCAAATCGAGAACTATTTACATTATTGTTTGAAATTACAGCGTAAAAAATGCGCAAATGGAGCATGGAAAGACTTTTGTTACTAGAGTTGAGACTATGTATACAGGGAAATGGTTTTATCAGAAAATTAAATTGCTTTAACAAATTCAACTGTGAATCGTAAAAAATAGTATTAAGCAATCAATGTGTATCAATGAAGCAAGCATTTAAAATCAAAACAAATATTTCACTAAGGAATTTCACTCATCCAATCGTATTTTATCTAAAAGCTTGTCTAAATCCCATTTAACTATTAGTGTTCGCCGTTCTATTTATATTTTGAGGAATTTTTCCAAGAGTCTGTTTGTGAATGCCAAAAAACAAACTGAACGAAATATTTCAATCATAAAACAAATTTTTCTTTGGTATGAAAAATAGAAATACTGACAACCATAGACTGAAAATCGATCAAAATCCAATTGAAGATATTTTCAAGTTGAACCAAAGTCGAGCCATTAAAGCGACTATTTGCCAAATCACTTGACCATCGCTGGCATTGGTTGTATGCAGATTATGGCTGTTAGTGCTGTCCTGACTCCACTACTCGTGTCTGCCTGATCCTTGTTGTTGGCGTTGTCGTGGGAAAGTGCATAAAATTTATTCTGCCTTGTCACTGGCAGTAAAATTGTTGGTAAAGAAGTGTCATAAAAAGCCTTTAATGGCGCGACTGTCTGTAATTAAAATCCCACACGCGCCGCCGCCTCGAATCTCCTTCGGCATAGGCATGCATGGCGTATACGTGATGTGAGTGAACTTTAAGCCAGCTGCCCTGCCCGCTGATGCGACTTTAAAATGCAGTTCAAGTGCTTTAATTAAATTGTTTCTGTGATTGTATCGGTTCGTTCGTCCTGCTCCATATCTTCCATTTTCGACCACTTTATGTTAGTCTGTCTAACATTTACATTGGAGCTCGGAACATTGTCTGTGGCCGGAATATGACACTTAATTTATGGCCATTTGTTTTTCGCTTACCAAACAGGCTCATAAATACACAAAAATGCCACGCCAAAAAATAACAAAAATCCAGTAACAAATGGCAAATGCCGGTCGCTTAAATGGAGCAAAAGTTGACCCTCGTTGCATTTGATAGTTTTTCTCTTATGCAACTTTCTCTGATGGAAAAAAAGGTTATAGATTTAATTTAAAGCAGACACGAAGTTAACAGTATTTAACAGCACTCCAATTATTTCGAAACTTTTCGTGTGCACACGCTGCGGATACTTAATTTTCCTGAGGGTAAATAATGGCAAAACCATTTGAGTTTCGTTTGAATTTTGCGATTTGGGAGCGTAAGCGTAAGCAATATCCGTTAACACGTTTCCATTGCATTGCTTCTTTGAATGGCCAGCACCCATAGTTTGTTTATGCCATGCGCCAGGCATTTGTCTTGGCACGGCCCGATAAGCTGCGTTTATTGGCAAAGTTTCGATGGGACCGAACGGGGTGCTGGTCAAACGTTTATTTGAATTTATATCCCAGCAAATTGTGCGGCTGTTCCTGCTGCGCTGGTTGCATTTTAATTAGAAACTACCAGAGACAGGATCTGTGTGAATGCCATCTAAACTTTTAATCTTACACTACAGAAAATTCTCAACTTAAAACAACACTTTAAAAATGTATTAAAAAGAAAGTATATTGCTTTAATAATATTTACCTTGAAAGTGCACTTTTCCGTGCATAAATATCTCTCATAAATCCTAGACTCCCGCCTTTCCACTGCCCACAATATGACATCTTCTGGTCACGCCTGTCCAAGCCGTCAGACAATTGCGGTGGGCGCTTCATTCACACGAGATTCATTAACATTTACAATCGCTTCATTTTTAATGAACTGACAAATCTGTGCGGCTTCCCCGACCTCTTGCCAGGCAATAAATAAATCTGCGCACACACACAACATTTTTGTCGCGGGCACATAAATCTTTTTTTTACACAGAAATCTTTCAGGCGTATTTATATGCAAATTAAGATGTTTACAATATTCCCGATGGCTATACTTTGATCTGGGCCAAAAATGAGACGCGATACCCTCTGCTAAGACATTGGCCACAATGTCGGCACACAATGAATCATAATTTTATTGACGAATGAGGTATTTGACTCTAGCAGCGCCAGCCGCGTCGGCAGAAGCGACAGAGCTTCAGTTCCTTGGAAAAAAATCGGAAACCTGATTATAAATAGAAATGCATATAACAGAAGTCAATTATGTTTTTGTCCGTATAGGAATATTTTATATAATTTTCTTACATGGGGAATTTTAGATGCTCTAATTTTTAAAGTTCCTAAATCATTAAAAAATTTTATCTTGTTAAAAGTCTTTGTAGAAATTAAGATCGCGGTAATAAGTCTCATCCCTAGCAAATAAACGCTTCCAGGATTGACTTGACTTAACAACTTGTTTTCCGTGTCGGCGTAAATCAAATGCCACTTTGTTGTGCTGCCAACACACCACCCATTCCGTTTATAGTCTTGGCTGTGGGAGAAATTCAATCAAAATATTATTGTATATCGTACAAATGGAAACCGTCGACGTAGTCGTCACTCTTTCTCGGCACTCGGTGCAATGTAAGGGAGCACAATGAGAAGTCCCACCCACCTACCAACCACTCCGCCTACCACCCACCCAACACCCACAGTGTCTTGTCCAACGCCCCTTGAATGCGCCATATAAATGAGCAGTAAGTGACGAGTGTGTTCTGCGAACTGAGCTGTTTTTCATGGCTTGTTTACAATTAATTAGGATTGTTATGTCGCCATTCGATTCAATAATATCTTTGTGCTATTCCTTATTTTTATAATAACCCGTCATAAATTTGCGGCCTTGTTTTGGTAGCTCTGAGCATTAAAACGGATTCCGCCAGCCATTATGGCCCACGTCACGGTCATAAATTAAGGATTGATTTTCCATTGATGCGTTTCCTTTTAATTTTCTTGGCAAGCTTAACTCTAAAAGTTCTTATTAATTAACAATTTCTTTTCCCTTTCAAACTTTGCCAATTATTCTGTTTTATTGCAGTGAAGCGAAAATGTTACTCTTCCGACTGGTTGCATTTGTTGCATATTTTTTTTTTGCATGCTAATTAAGAAATGAATTTCAATCAGACTTCTAAAACCTGTTATTAAACCAGAACCAGAATGGTGGTTCAATATTGTTGTTTTGGACATTTATAAACAGTTTTTTGGCTTGAATTCAGCACTCGATTATTTATTTTTGTAATCTACAAACTAAAAATACACTTCCGAGAATGGATGAGAGAAATACCTCTTAAGCTTATATTTTATGGGTTATGTATCATAATTATGAGCACCGCCATCTATTTTTACGTTGCTTAATTTTAAACTGAGTTTCCGACGGCATTGATGGTCACACGCCTTTAAAAAACGTTGCTGAATATAAATTTGTTTATGAATAATTGATAACCCGTGCCATTTGATGGGTCTTGTTTTTTTCGTGAGACATATTTACTTTACTAAAGAATTGTGTGTTTAACTTCGAATGCCTAACTGCATACATTTAATCAAATTCGAGATTTTTATCAGAAAACTAGTTTTAAATAATTTTTTTAAGGTTTTTTATTTTATTTTAAAATTCTTATTTTTATCTGGACCTCGTTATAAGAAAGGGGAAAGGAAAAAACCACAATGAATCGAAAAATTCATTTTATTAATACAATTATTTGTCAAAATACCAGTTTTTATACATATCGAACATCTTTGTAATAAAATTACTCAAATAAAGTTTTTTTTTTAAAGCAACAAAGTGTTTGCTTATAAATGTACTTTGGTAATGGGAAATCGCCTGGGAAAAGGCGATTGAATTGCAGTTTAGTAGACAGACATACTCTGCGTATTCCTTTATGTCAGCTTCGATTAAACTGGCTTTTCCAAGTATAATATGTAACATCTTCGCAAAAATACGTGCAAAATGCCTAAAACAACAACATTTTCACGCCCTCTAAGATAAGAAACAGGATACAATGACTGGGTCTGGGAAAAAGGTGTAAGGATTTGTATTGTGCAAATACAAAGATTCAAAGTCAAACAGCTGAAATTGCAGCAGCCCGCTTGACTTGGGCACAAGTCCCAAATGGATGCTTGAGTCCGTACGTGCCGAGTGGATCGAACCTCGCAGGCGGCTCGTGTGAAACTGGGCGGATTGGAAGGATTTCAAGGAGTGCGATGATAGGTAGTTGAGGCGGTTGTGGGTGGCTGACAATGGAGTGCCAAACGCACTTCTCGACATGTTTGGCATGCAGGATATATTGGCGTTAGAGTGAGCCTACTGAGGGTTTCAATTTTTTAAATAATTGAGCAAACCATAAATATTAAGTATCGGGGATAGATTACTGATAGATTACAGTAGCATGGTAACATTGCGTATGAGTAATAAAATGGTCATTACTTTTAGCTATAGTACAAGTAAAAACAATTTAGTAAAGTTCACCCTATAGCTGAATATTTTCAGAATTTCCACTTGTTTCAACATATTTAAGATATAGCTGCTAGCACACTCTCCTAATTGCGATGTATGTGCCTGGCATGGCTGGCTCTTAATTAATAAAGTGTTATGCAAAGCAATCAGTGCGGGTTAAGTGGTTGAGATTCCGGCAAAAATTTGCAGCCTATAAATCCCATTCAATTTTCCCATCGATTCGCTAGGGCGCGCCCTAAACTGCTGGCCGCGAAAAGTGTGCTACTATATTTTACGGCTTAATTGTTCCAGCACGCCCACCTCAGAGTGTGCGAGTGGGCGAGGCTGTAGTCGATTTAGTGAAAACGGCACAGCGTCCATTTGAATTGCAAACATGGCTCATACATATAAATGAAATTGAGAGTTTATTGCACACTCACTCGGATCGAGTTGGCTTTATTTTGCTGGCGTCGCCTTTCCACAGAATTGCTTATTTATTTCATATTTATGCGTTATGACGGTCCCAGTGTGCCATGCGTGCGGGTGCGTATACGTGATATGAACAAAGACGTATTAGTGAATTTAAAATAGGAGCAGAAAGCCAGCCTTTTTAGCCAGGCCAGTAAATTGAATGCTTCAATTGCTTTTAGTCTACGCTATCCATCGAGACAAGTGATAGTAAATTCGCACAAAATGGTACGCACTCAAATTTATTGTGTGGTTTGCCCAGTAAGGGTTATCTGTGTAGGTCTGGGCCGCTTATTGTTGTTGGTTCTGTTGTTGTTGTGTGCGTAAAAATGATGAAGTTCATCGAAACTATTTGACAGCCTTTGACTTTTATGTCGCATAAATGATGTCCTTCCATTGATGGGTAAAGGTCCCGACCCAGACACAAGTCGTTTCGGTCGCCGTCCATAAAAAGTGGAGCATTTGGGCGTGTGTCCCGGATTAGCATCTTGTATCAGGCATTAAGGAGTTAACAATATTGTGTAAATACTATGAGTGGAATGGGACTTTAAAACCAAATAAGTTTGTCTTTCTATTTATACCTCGAGAAATGTGTCATGAAGAACTTCATTATTCATTATTATTATGGATGTTCAGTTGATTTATGGCTTTTTATTTTTATAACCTAGACTGAAGCCTGAATAAATGAACTAAAATAATAAGCTTACCAAACCTCAACACTCATGCTAACAATTTAAAGTTTACCCAATTATTTGATGCTAAAGGGCAATCCTCAAGCATAAGCTACCTACAAAGTTTTCACAAAACGTACAAGAAAATTTTGAATTAGGATCAAACTTCTGCTCAACTGGGTGCAACCAAAAATGAACTTAAATTCCAAGCCATTAGGACGAATTATGAAAACTTTTTGTGGTTGCATTTTGTCGTGGGTGCCACATCTTGCCAACATATGGTGCAGTTTATGAATTAAGAGCCATTAATTTCTGGTTTCGCTGCTCACTTAACTAATTGCGTTTTCCAAAATGAAACTGAATTTGCGGGGACACTCTTCTATGCTAATTAGTCATCCGAATATTCATGTTCTGCCATGCACACCCACTCGCAGTTTTAGTTTTAAGCGAAAATTGGACAAGTCCGGGGCTTTGCAAGTGCCGTCTAGACTTTAAGCCAAATTGCAAGCGTGTGTGCCAGATAGACATCTTAATTGCCTGGGATTATGATGAATTCGGATTCTGTCTAAGGACAAGTTTTTCGGGTGTCGTTAGTCAGCAGGCCGTTGAGCTCGCTATTTGAAAATCCTCAAATTTAACCACTTTTCTTTAGTAACAAAGTATTTTTTTATTTTTTTAGTTCAGGGTAAAGCTTACAAGTTTTTTTTTCTGAATAGTTTTCCGCAAATAACTAATAATGCATCGTGTTCTAGTTATTATTAATTTGAACTCCAGCTGTGTTGACAAAGTGCACGGGCTTCGAAAATTTATTCAAGCTAATGCATTAGGTGAAGCAACCTTTAAAAATCTAAATTTATTTAAACTTATTCTTTTACTATTAATTATTCCGTTTTATTTTTATGTAAAAATTATCCTGACTAAATTGAAAAGATTTATATTTCCCTGTTATATAAAGTTATTCACATTTTTTTTACCACACACCTTAAAAAACACCTTAATTTTTTTTTTTTAGAAAACCATTTTTTTTATTTAGAAAACACCGCCTAACGTATTGTAGACTCGTGGGCAGTTCTTTTCTGCGATCATCCGGAACGCATTTTTCGAGGTAGTCGTTACAGTCTCGTTCTTTGACAAATTATTCCACAAATGTGCAACATACGAATTCTTTATGGCGATCATTGTTTCCTCCAGTTTATCAGAATCAAAGAAGTTCTGCCACTTTGACCAATGTACGGGATAAAATGCATCAGGTCTAAATACCTTAATTCCTGAACAGTGTGCCAGTCTCAGGAACATTTGTGGAACTTGATCGGTTTGGCACAACTTCTTGGTCACCCGGGTTACCACACCCGGCCCGTTATTGATCCAAATGCTTCCATTGAAATTATCCCGTAAGTCATATACAAATTGTTTCGCAATATTATGACCTGTAGAAGTTGCGGCAATTTTTATTATGGCAGAGTTAATGGAACCCAAGTCCTCTGCACCGACGCAGTTTGATGGCAAATGCTCCAGATTTCGAAGCACAATTGCATCCATATCGAGGTATATGCCCCCGAAGCGGTAGAGAGTCATAAAACGTAAAAAATCCGATAGATGAGAAAAGAAATATCTTAGGAGGATATTCATGGAATAAGTTGGTGTCTATAAGAAGATTTTTCATACTTACTTTGAGGTGAATATATCGCCTTTTTCCAGCCATGATTCAAGCGGAGTTCCGGCAGCGAAGCTCCAGATATTTAGACTTCGAAAATGCACATTAGCGTAGCTGGATACGACTTCTGCTAATGGATCTCTACCGCCCGTTGGCCTGTAGGTTGAACCAACAAACATAATAAACACCTGGAAATTGGGATTGTGCCGAGCCGCAGATTCGATGGCACAAGCTTGGCGAGGGCCCAGTTTTGGCCTTCTGATCGGGTCGTTCACGTCCGGATGGTACATGGTTTCGATGAAAAATATGCTCTGACCGGGAGCTGGCATCTGATCTGAAACCAAAATATCATCGAGCTGGCACGTCCCCTCAGTGTCACTACAATATTTTCCATAGAGTCTAATAAAAATAACCTTTGTAACGAAAAATTGCAATATCGTTATAAAAATTATTATTTTTTTATGCTGACCAAGACGGTAACGCATATCAAGTTCAGGTAAGAAAGATTAGAGAACGAACTGCAAAGATGACGTGTAGGTAAGTGACTGACGGCCACTTCTAGTTCTCTTTATTCTCATTGCAATAATATTGCAATTATTCTCATTAAGAAAACGAAACAATATTTTATTTAAACACCAGAGTCTAAAGTATTTAACAAAAAAGCTTTCAAACTGGTTCAAAGCTTGGATTAAAAACGTTATTAATTATATATTTTTTTTAAACCGATGCCTTTATTTCTTTCTAATGTATTTATTCTCTAATTTATATTTAATATAAAATTATGAATGATTATTAAAAGTATGTTTTAGATATTTATTTTATTTGCTTAACCCTTACAGAGAGTATTATAATTTTGGGCAAAAGTGTCCAAGGCAGTGAAGGGTCTCCGACCCTGTAAAGTATATATACTCTTGATCAGGATCACCTCCTATTCCTCCCTTTACGCGAACTAGTCAGATTGATTGGGATTTGGTTATTGGTGATTTTTGAGACAGTTTTGTTTTTTCTGAATTATATTTTTGACATAAAAATAAGAGCTTCCAAATTTTATTAGAATCAACCACTTTTGGTATTTTTGAAGATGAAAGCTTGTGTTATTTGTGGACAAGGGAGATACTATTTATACTATTAACAACTTTAATAGGTATTGCAATTTCTTACCCTGCCTTGTAACCTGACAATAGTACTCATTAAATTGATCGGATTAGACGGACGCGACGATATTTGCACATAAGGCACAAGGCATTAGCTAAATTCAAGCCGAACTACATTCGTATCCGATAGGTGCTTAGGAAAGCTTCTCTCGATAATTACCTAACAAATATCGTGTGCGTCTGTTCTTTGCGCAACTGACTAGACAGTCAAATACATACCCTTGCAAAAGGTGTTTTAGAAGACAGCAGCTTGAAGCTCAAAACTTTATAAGGAATTAAATTGATCTTCATATACCAATTATATGACGACTCATTCTTATATTTACAAACAAAATGTAATATTAACATCGAGGAGCGTATTGACTACATGTAGTTCAAGTAAAATTTTATTCGGACATGTTTCGGAAGAGACCTGTCCCATTCAATAATAAGAAAAATAAGCAGCCAATGAATTTTTCCAATCTATATTTATCCAGACTGAGGAGCTGTAAACAGAAATTTTTTTATTCTTTAAATATTTTTTTAAGTTGTACAAATATTAGATAATAACACTGAGTTTTTGCATGATAGGTCTGCTGGAATTTTCTCGTTTCAGATGATCTGCACACTCTCATAAATGTAGTCAGAACGTAATGACATGAACCGGCTTCGTAAAATAATTATGTTTTTTATTACATATTTGACGCGAAAACCTTTTTTATGGCTATTTTCGCAAGCCTTATTATACGTTCCGATTTTGTTTTCGTTATACTTGATGGTTCGAATAAACCAAGTCACCGAAGAATTTAATTCAAAAATAATTACAGGATTTGAGGAAACAGGTAGGTATACTTTTAGGAATCATTTTTAACATTTAAAAAATATTGTGTACATCTTTTTTCCAGCCGAGCATAGATTTTGGAAGCCGAATGACTCTTACAACCTGAGAAACTACATTGAACCGTTTAAGGACACGGCATTGATTATGCCATCTGGTCTATGTAAACAAAAATCATTACTGACTATTTTTGTGGCGTCGCGTGTAGATGGATTCCAGACGCGAAAAGTAATACGAGAAACCTGGGGCAATACGTCCCGTTTTAACTATCCAGAATTTAACAAAATGCATGGTCACCTTAAAGGATTATATTATCCTTTATTAGAAAGTCGGTTGGTTCTATATGCGGAGCACTTAAGGAGGAAAAATTATAGCCTGTTCGCTATGGTTGAAATTGTATTCATAGTTGGGCGGAGCACATCACCAAACCCGGACTTCATCTTGAGGCAACTTCAGCAAGAGGCGGATCACTATAATGACATCATTCAGGAGGATTTCCTCGACACATACTACAACCTTACTCTGAAGTCTGTTTTAGCCCTAAAACATGTCAACAATAAGTGCTTCAACAGTTCAGCCTACTTTCTTAAAACGGATGATGACTGTTTTGTAAATGTTCCAAACCTAATACACATTCTGCTCGGTGGGACTATTCCTGCTTACAAGTCGCATCGCAAAAAGCAAGATAGACTTACGGCAACCAGAGGAGTTTTGATGGGACACGCGTTTAATAAAAACAAACCAATTCGATATTGCTGCACAAAATTTTATGTGCCCAAGTATATTTACCCAGGCTCCATGTTCCCAAAATATTTGTCCGGTTCGGGGTATCTTATGTCGATAGATGTGGTTCGGCGATTGTATGAGGCTGCCTGGAGTACGAGAATGATTCACATTGAGGACCTCTTTGTTACGGGGTTATGCTCTTTAGCTGCTGAAGTGAATCCGGTAAAAAGTCCACTATTTATTTTAAACAACTCACATAAGACCTGCTTTATAAAAGGAAGTGTTGTTCAGCATGATGTTGGGATCTCCAGAATAAAAAATGTATTTAATAGATTTACAAATAATAAAACAATCTGTCCGATTAAATCTTCCGTTCCTATAGTTTAATATACAAGTTGTGTGTTAGGAATTCTAAAAAATATTTAAATGGTAATAAGCTTTACTTACATGTAATTTTTATATCTGAAATAAACAATCCTGGATTTATGTGAAAGGGTTCTGCTCTTCAAAACTGAAATAAGAATGAAGGTAAGGACTTAGATTTTCATAATTACGTTTGTTTAGAATAAGTACACATCCTTGCAAATAGTACAAATTAATTCTTTATTGAAGAGAATAATTTAGGCTCTATAGAAACACAAGCAATCTATCATTTAACACAAAAATGGCTAATTGGCTTTTATTTTTATACCCTTGCAGAAGGTATTATAATTTTTCTTCATTAGGACCACCTCCTGAGTTTATATAAACACGTCCGTCTGCCTGTCTGTTTCTAAGCGTACTAGTATCTCAGTTTTAAAGCTATCGACTTAAAACTTTGCTTCTTTCTTTTGAACGCAGTATATAAGTCGGAACGGCATCGGCCAACAAAATCTTATAGCTGATAAGAGTTGGTCACAATACACCCATTACTGTGAGCCATATAAGGGAAACCCCATTTTCAAGGGATCCCATCATGAAAAATGGACAAAAAATCTAAAAAATATTTTGTCTCAGGGTTTTGATGCAGAATGATGGTGAATCCATCAAGAAATCGTTTGAGGTACTCTACTTGGGAATCGGATGAGAATTGTGGAAGATGTAGCCATCAATGTAGGCCATATAAGGGAAAACCCCTTTTCAAGGGATCCCTCATGAAAAATGGATAAAAAATCTAAAAAATATTTTGTCTCAAGGTTTTGATGCAGAATGATGGTGAATCGATCAAGAAATCGTTTGAGGTACTCTACTTGGCAATCGGATGAGAATTGTGGAAGATGTAGCTATCAATGTGGGCCATATAAGGGAAAACCCCTTTTCAAGGGATCCCATCATGAAAAATGGACAAAAAATCTAAAAAATATTTTGTCTCATCATTCGGATGAGAATTGTGGAAGATGTAGCTATCAATGTGGGCCATATAAGGGAAAACCCCTTTTCAAGGGATCCCATCATGAAAAATGGACAAAAAATCTAAAAAATATTTTGTCTCAGGGTTTTGATGCAGAATGGTGGCGAATCGATCAAGAAGTTGTTTGAGGTACTCCGCTTGAGAATCGGATAGGAACTGAGGAAGATATAGCCATCACTGTGGGCCACATAGGGGAAAACCCCATTTTCAAGGGATCCCATCATGAAAGTTGGACAAAAAATTAAAAAAATATTTTGTCTCGGGATTTTGAAGCAGAATGGTGACGAATCGATCAAGAAATCGTTTGAGGTACTCCGCTTGAGAATCGGACGAGAACTCAGGATGATATAGCCATCACTATGGGCCACATAGGGGAAAACCCCATTTTCAAGGAATCCCATCATGAAAATTGGACAAAAAATCTAAAAAATATTTTGTTTCAGGATTTTGATGCAGAATTGTGGCGAATCGATCAAGAAATCGTTTAAGGTACTCCACTTGAGAATCGGATGAGAATTGGGCTATCACTGTGGTCCATATAGGGAAAACCCTATTTTCGAGGGATCCCATCATGAAAAATGGACAAAAAATTAAAAAAATATTTTGTCTCAGGATTTTGATGCAGAATGGTGGCGAATCGATCCAGAAATCGTTTGAGGTACTCCGCTTGAGAATCGGATGAGAACTCAGGATGATATAGCCATCACTGTGGGCCACATAGGGGAAAACCCCATTTTCAAGGGATCCGATCATGAAAAATGGACAAAAATCTAAAAAATATTTTGTCTCAGGGTTTTGATGCAGAATGGTGGCGAATCGATCAAGAAATCGTTTAAGGTACTCCACTTGAGAATCGGATGAGAATTGGGAAAGATATAGCCATCACTATGGGCCACATAGGGGAAAACCCCATTTTCAAGGAATCCCATCATGAAAATTGGACAAAAAATCTAAAAAATATTTTGTTTCAGGATTTTGATGCAGAATTGTGGCGAATCGATCAAGAAATCGTTTAAGGTACTCCACTTGAGAATCGGATGAGAATTGGGCTATCACTGTGGTCCATATAGGGAAAACCCTATTTTCGAGGGATCCCATCATGAAAAATGGACAAAAAATTAAAAAAATATTTTGTCTCAGGATTTTGATGCAGAATGGTGGCGAATCGATCCAGAAATCGTTTGAGGTACTCCGCTTGAGAATCGGATGAGAACTCAGGATGATATAGCCATCACTGTGGGCCACATAGGGGAAAACCCCATTTTCAAGGGATCCCATCATGAAAAATGGACAAAAAATTAAAAAAATATTTTGTCTCAGGATTTTGATGCAGAATGGTGGCGAATCGATCCAGAAATCGTTTGAGGTACTCCGCTTGAGAATCGGATGAGAACTCAGGATGATATAGCCATCACTGTGGGCCACATAGGGGAAAACCCCATTTTCAAGGGATCCCATCATGAAAAATGGACAAAAAATTTAAAAAAATATTTTTTTCTCAGGATTTTAATGCAGAATGGTGGCAAATCGATCCAGAAATAGGTTAAGGTACTCCGCTTGAGAATCGGATGAGAACTGGGGATACTGAATACTGAACAACTGAATAATGATGCTGATATAGATACTGAACAATCGGGAAAAGTATTAGGTATTTAGTTAAAATAGCAACTTTAGTATTTTTAAAGATAGAGTCTTCGGACTTTTTTTTTAATGTTTTTTATTGTAATAAATTTGTTGTTTAACAAAAATTCGTATACGGATCGGCCTACTTTATGCGATAAATATTCAATCTTAGCCGCAAGGGTATATCATTTCGGCTCCGCACGAAGTTAGCTTTCCTTTCTTGCTTAATAACATATTATATTATCATTATTGTTCATATTATGCCATATTTCTTGTATTTTCTGGTCTTTTAAACTATGGATAATGTTTCCCCTAAAATCGCAGAAGTTCTGAGCACTTAGTAATGAAAATAGTGGGCAGTTCACGGGATTTACTTGTGCTCTTAAAGAACAAAGCCCTGTGATAAAAACATCTTCCAGAGGCACTATTTCCGTATGCCAGGCAGCCTCGTACAACTGCCGAGCCACATCTCTGGACATAAGGTATCCACTACCAGATAGATGTCTCGGAAATACTTCTTCTGGATAAATATACTGTGGCACAAAGTACTTGTTGCACATATCACGGTTTGGTTTACTTTGGAAAAGCTTATGGCCAAGTAAGACTCCGCTAGTTGCAGTCAGTCGAAACTGCATCTTGTGGTGAGCCTTATATGCGGGCAAAGTTCCTCCGAGAAGAATATGTATTAAATTTGGTATATTAACAAAGCTATCATCTTTCGCTTTTAAGAAGTAAGCTGAGGTATTAAAGCATTTGTTGTTAAAATGCTTGAGCGCCAAGACCGACTTTAGAATTCGGTGTTTAAAGTTATCTTCGAATTTTTCCTGGATAATGTCATTATAGAGATACACTTCTTGCCGAAGTTTTCTTGTATTTGCATTTTTGTTATCTGATTGACCAATTATAAATACCACCCTGACAGAAGCAAGTAGGGTCTCATCGTCTCCGCTAAGATAATCGGCATATAATCTTATGCGATCTTTTAAAGGAGGATAATAGAATCCTTTGAGACGCCCATGCATTTTCAAAAATTCTGGATAGTTAAAATTCGACGAGTTTCCCCAGGAGTTTCTTATTCTTTGGCGTTGACGATATCCATTTATAGATGAAGTAACGAAAATAGTCACCAGTGAATGTTTTTCACAGAATCCGTGAGGCAGAATGACGGAGGTATCCTCAAACTTTTCAATGTAGTCACTTAGATTAAAGGAAGAAAAGGGCGACCAATCATTATGTAAAGCTAAAACATAAATAATTATTTAAAGTTACAAATTGAATTCAAGGAGTACCTGTTCGTCCTGGTAACCTTAATACGCGTGAAAAACCTTTTTCTGTCATGTCATATAGCTGAGTCAATGAAAATGCTATATAATATATAAAAATATAAAAACCAAACATTAAATATTTTTTTCTAAAGGCTAATTCTATTTTCTTAAATTTCATTATTTTGTGCCTATTGAACATGCTGTGATCGTAACTGGCTTTGAAGTGAGCAATTCTAAGCTGGTAATGCATACTGACTGAATGTCATGTGCAGCTTGCAAAGTTTAATATTTAATATTAGTTTAACAAATAGCTACCTTGGGAGAGTTCTGTGGTGTATTTTTCTATAACCATGTAAGTATTAAGTAAGTAAAGAATTTATCTAATGTGTATTGAGTCGTTTTTATGCGCATTTAGTAAGGTACCAACATAGACCAATAAGGGACGAATAAGTATGTTTATACGGGGCGTATGATCAATATTCAACACAGGCATATGGCGTTTTCAAATTTATGTTTAGGCTATGTTTAAATTTAATTGAAAATTGTTGATTTACATCACCATGCTGTTTGATAAAGGCATATTATATCATATTCCGATTGACGTAAGCCTTTCTTTCATTTTATTTTCTTCTATTTATTGAATATTGACGTAACTCTAGTATAATATTTATTCACTGAAGCTTGTTGCACCTAAAACAACTCTCAGGGAGGAATATAAAAAGCCGACGCTTCAAAGGCTTTGTAGTTCTGGTTCCAGCAGAGTAAAGCAGAAAGCAATCAGCGATCATGCAGTCCTCCACTTTCCTGATGGCCCTTTTGGTGGTTGCCCTGCTCATGCTGTGCAGCGCTCCTGCCACTGAAGCCACCTTCTTCCTGATCGCCTGCATGCTGCGATCTCCTCTCTGCCCATGGCGAACCACTGCCTCTTCCAGTTCCACTTAGGGAGCACGCAACCATGGATAAAATAAACCTGTTCTTGACCGGACCTCTTTATGAGTTTTCATGAATACCAATAAAATAATTTTTTGTTGCATTGAATCTATAAAGTTTTAAATGTGGGAATGAAAACAAATGAAACCAAAATTATTGTTGTTGTCTAGTATTTTCTTCAAAAATATCGTACGCATTCACAATTCTTCGTTCACATTTCAAATGCAGTTGGCGCATTAGGTTGCTAAGACTATATGTTTATAACCATTGGTAGTTTTTACATTGCTGCTATTTTACAGGGTGCGCTAGGATGAGCGTTTGCCACTCATTGGATGCGGTTAGTGACGGCCGACTGGTCAACATAGTTGGCCAGCCAAGTGCCCACCGACTCCTTGTTTAGTGTCAGCCATTTGATGTTGGCCTTGACCGTTTCCAAAGCTTGTTGACGGGCCGCTGTTCCGGCTCCAGCCTCAGGATATTTGGCGAAGAACTGTTCCATCTCCTCCAGCTTCGTTTGCGTAGAGAAGCGAGCAGTAATCGTGGGGATCAGACGTCCCAGAGTGCGTTCGTTGATACCGAAACGCTCCACCAGTTGTTCCCAGTTCTCGCGTACGTAATCCCATACCAGACTCTGGCCCACAGGATTCTGGGAGATGTAGCCCAGCAGGGTAAAGTAGTCCTGACGGCGCACGTTGCTTTCGTCCCAAGCCCAATTAATGTATCGTCGCAGCAACCAAGGCACCTGTGTAGCGCACAGTGCGCTCATCAGCTTCAGTTTCTCTTGAGCATCAGTTTCCTCCAAGTACAACTTCCACAACTGGTCCCAGACTGCCTCCGTGTTGACCTGCTGCATGCCGTAGTAGTAGACGACATCGCGGACATCTGGGCTTGGCCGGGTCTCTGGACTGGCCAGCCACTGGTTGAAGAGAGTAGTGGCCTGTTGCAGTGAACTTTCGTGACCGAGACTGCAAGCCGAGCTCAAGACCTTAATACGCAGGCGGCTAAGTGGGAAGAACAGGATTTTGTGAGTTTACAAATATAAGTAAAAAAATCGTGTAAAAATCGTACTTTTCCAGGTGATCGGTTCCCACGGTGAAGGTGACCTTCTCAACAATGGGCGTCAGCAATTTGCGGGCATAGGTGGTAAAGTTACTGTAGAGATCCGTGTAGTAAAGACGGTTCCTCAGAGAGGCCAGCGAAGAGGTGCCCACACTCCAGGGTACGTAGTTCTGCTCATTCTCTAAATATGTGCTTAGGTCCAGGGCTGTGGAATAAGGCAATTGTCCGGCAGCAGCCAGGACATTCGCATCGTGCAGCAAGTTTGCACGATCAGCAGTGCTGAAGGAGTCTTGTGTGGTTTTCAGGGCATTCAGTAGAGATGCCCATGTGTCGACGGGGTAGTTCACTATATAATAACCAACCTGGTCTTTGTTAAACTTAATCCAGTTAACCTCTCCGGGCAGTGTAACGGTAACCTCATTGTCGTTGTAGTTGAAAATTGTGGACTGCACTTCGCTGTTCAAGCTGCTCTGGTAGGTGATGGGAATAGACCACCGGTAGCTAAGGGAAACACAAATTTTATTTAATATTTATACAAAAGGGGCTTCTATATTTCACTTACTTGAAGGAAGAGGCCTCCGCTTCGGCAGCATAATCATCCTCGTTGGCCAGGAAGCGCTTCTGGGTAAGCTTGTACGTGAAGCCAGTTTTCTCCACCTCCACGACTGGCAGACCCATCTGCTCCGTCCAGGTTTGCATGATCAATCTGTTAATAAAAAATGTCATTACCACTTCATAGTAATAGTATTGTATTGGGCAACGCACTTGACATCGAAGTCGAGACCCTCCTCTTCCTCAATGGCAGTGAGGTAATCCTCCGTGGTGGCAGTGCTATAGATGTGACGCCTCAGGTAGCGGCTGGTGGCATTCTTCAACTTCTCCTCGGTTACAAGATTCTCCAGCATTCGCACCAAAGCAGCTCCCTTCGAGTAGGTGATCGTATCGAAGTACTCGGTAATCTCAGCCGGGCTCTCAATCGCCTTGACGATTGCATGGGAGGCCAGAGTAGAGTCGATTGTCATCACCGGATGCAGTTCCTCGATCACAAACTGATTGTCCATGTCCCATTCTGGATGCATTTGCGTCACGCCCTTGTATTCCACAAAGGAGGCGAAGCCCTCATTTAGCCAGAGGTCGCTCCACCAGTTCATTGTCACTAGGTTGCCGAACCATTGATGAGCCAATTCATGGGCCACCACGACGGCCACACGCTGCTTGTTCACACTGGAACTACTGGCTTCATCGTAAAGCAAAGCTGTCTCACGGAACGTTACCAGACCCCAGTTCTCCATGGCGCCGGAAACAAAGTCGGGTATGGCCACCAAATCTAGTTTGGGCAGTGGGTACGAAATATTGAAATAGTCAATGTAGTAGGCAGTCACACTAGCTCCAGCCTCCAGGGCGTACTGGGCCTTTTCTATTTGGGCAGGAGGCGCATAAACCCTCAGCTCGATGCTGGTTCCCTCCACAGTAGTGGTTTTGTAAGCAAAGTCAGACACCACAAAGGCGGCCAAGTAGGTGCTCATGGGCACTGTCTCCTGGAAGGTCACCTCGGTAAGATCGCCATTGACATATTCGCTATCCACGGGCATGTTGGACAGCACATGGTACTCATCTCCGGTGGGACGGGCTACCGTAATGGTGAACTGGGCCTTGAGAGCGGGCTCATCGAAGCAGGGGAAGGCGCTGCGGGCATAGGTGGGTTCAAACTTGGTGCTCACAATAGATCTGAAAAATGAAAACAAAAATTTAGAGTTAAAAACCATGAATTGCAAGAGGTATAAGTGTTATTAGTAGAGAGAGGGGCTTAAGGAGTTAAAGGGTAAAAAATAACCCAGTTAGTAAGTTTCAAAATTATGCTGTTAATTTTTTGATTTTTTCATAAGTAGCTTGGCTACCTGGTGCGGTTCTTCAGTTTATCCTGATATGCGCTCTGGTACATTCCCGTGATTCTCTCAGTCAGTGACCCCGTGAAATTCAAGCTCAGTGAGTAGTTTCCAACGTCCAAAGGCTGCTCGAACTCCGTAACCCAGTACTCGAACTCCGGGTGTTCAAATGTTAGCACGGGAGTAATGTTTTTTAGAGGAGCACCCGAATCATCTAGGTGCTGGACTTCCACGGTGCTGACATTCAGTCGGTCAGTATGCACGGGTATAAAGGATATTGGTTCCAGCACCTGCAGACTGATGCTAATGTTCCCGGAGTAGATCTTCTTGTCCAGATCCGGACGCAGGTGCAACCGGTACTTGCTGGGCTTCAGTTGTTTGGGTAACCGGAATCCCAGATTCTGGAGCACTTTGCTTGCAGCTTTTACGGCGGGAGCTAAGGTGGCCATTTGGCGTATTTTTCCTATGGCTGGCACTTGGGTGGTGTGAACGCGGTTATCTGGTTTTGTTGTGCGATTTAAAAATCAGTTACTATTTGGAATATCAAGCTTTATTTACTATATTATCAGTCTTAGTAAAATTCTAAACTTTATGATGTTGCCAAATCATGGTACTCACGATCTGGCAACTCTATGTAAAAGCTAACAGCTGCTCATTTCGATTTCGAATTTATTTTCGAATTAAATTAAACATTTAAAAAAAAAACTATCAAATGAGAGAGTCTTGGATAGCCTTTTTCTAATTTTACTTATTTTTATATTATCTAAAGTAAAGAATGAAAACGTGCAAAAAGTGGTACGCCAGTCTCATTTAATTTGAAAATATGTAGCAGGAAATATTTAAACAGAAATTGAAAGGAAAAAAATATATATATATGGAATAGTGTAGCTGAAAGACGGGATTTAATATTTTAAAAATAAATTATTAAGCCCTTAAGATTTTTATTGAGTCTGGTAGCATTATTATGGCTAAGCTTTATGGTTCATATGCTACATTTTCTGTACCATAAAATAAGCGCGCCAAATTCAAATAGGACTTTACAAATTTCGAGTTTTTAAACATTTTTGAGCCTAATATTTTATAAAAAAACTGACAACTAAAAATAAGGTAATGATTACTGATACAAAATTTAATTAATTGATTGTCTTTTTGCTTTGTTTTTCAGATTTTATACGATTTAACTGATTTTAACTGACTTAATTGATTTTTAAACTGACTGAAGTCCTAGAGAACCCCTTCCGATTCCTTGAACTAACCTGAAAGAACGCTTAAAATGGGTTTTGTGGACAGCAATTGATCCCGGTCCACGTAAACAGTTCGAATTGTGGCATTCAGGGCCATCTGGGAGCTGTTGGCTTGCTGCTGTTGCTGCCTCTGGTGCTCATCGGCTATATTCTTGCCCACATAGACAAGGGCGCCCAGCAGGAAGCCGCACAGCACGAGCAGGAAGACGCAGAAGGCTGCGAGGGTGAGGATCGTATTGCTGGGGGCCTTGTGGGGCCGGTTGGTGTCCTTGATCCGATGGTTATCGTCTGTGGAGAGACTGCTGCGCGGGCGTACGTTTTTCGCTGCATACATGCCGATGCTTTTTTCTGTTCCTTCTTATTATTATTTTTACTTATTTACACTGGGTTTGGTGTTGAATGACTTGTTGCTTATACCATTAGGCTTCTGGTACTTTTATTTTATCATCTGATCTGATAGTTTTAAATTAAAAATTTATATTTAATTATAATGGATGGAACCAAAAATAATTTTTTTGGTAGTTCTTTATTCCATTTAATTCACTTCACTTTAATTCACTATTTAACGGGAAATTGAACGCGATGTTAGGCTGCTCCAAATGGTACAACTTCTTCCGATCTATTGTGTCATCGGCCGGCTAGTAATTCGAGAGCATCATAAAGTGCCGCGTACCAAATTACATTTGTAGCCGCTGCCATCATCAGTTTTTATAATCTCCGAGCTACTTATAAACAATCTCGAGTTTGTTTACTTGGCTTTTATGGCAGCGGGGCCAGGTGGAAATGGGGCGGGCTACGGGCTCGCGGAGGAGGAGGAGCAGGTGGCTTCCCAGCTTCCGTCACATTTCACTCCATCTCGAGGTGGAGATTGCCTCAATTTTGTCTCGCCGCGGATCAATCAGATGGCTGTAATTTATGCCCCACCTCCCCGCCGCACGGTCACGTAATGAAGTTGGTCATTTCTCGAAATTGTTACTACAAATACTCGATGCCATTTTTAAGTTTAGTTGCCGTTGGAGTTGGGCTGGCAAACCGCAAGAGTTGCGATACAAATCCCCGGGCTGGTTGCAATGATACCACGACCACAGGCCACTTTCTACAGAGGCGTTGGTGTCTGTACACGTTAAAATATGATATCTGATAACTTGAACTAAATCGATATTGGTTTGCAGATCTGATTATATCCATGAAGTCGGAATCAACCAAATAATTGATTGTTAACCCGTCGAAGCATAGCTTTACATGCCATGTAAGTCGAAATTCAATAAGGATGTCTGATTGCAGTGACAAGATATCTCTTTTTTCCGTGTACAATTGATGGATGGATGGCAAAGGTTGTTGGCTTTTTGCCTGTCAATTTGCCAGATAGATTGCACAAATCTGAGGAGTCTGTGTGACGGGAAGACAGTGCAGATGCCATGATTAGCAATGGAAATGAATTAAATTGGCCGACAAGCCAAGAGGCATGGCTTTTGGGAAACTTTCAGGACATAAGAGAAGAATCAACATGTGGATGAATTATAATTGAATTCAGCTTCATAGACGCCTGGGCACTGTTCATTGCAAGTTGTGCGAAATGAGGAATTTGAGGCTGCAGAATATGCAAATTTTTGTCAGTCAATTGTCTTTGAAGACCCTCCCGGACCCTTCCCCACAATGCGGACGATGATGATGATGATGTAATGCTGACTCAATTAAGGCGCGCTCATCGCACAAAAGCCACCGCACATCGGCAGTAAACAAAGTTGCATGACACTACCTTATGAGCGGTTCAAATTCAGCCAGAAGATCTGCAGACAATGGAAGTTTGTCTCGACAGTATCTACATATATGTATGTATATATGATATTTGTAGGTAGATCCGACTTCCACGAGGCAATCGGACACGCCCCATTGCATCTACGTGGATGTCTTCGCATTCTGAAGTTGATGAAGCGAAGATCGTGGGGGCACATGTCACAACATAACTGTTCTCATGCCTCGCTAATGAGTGGCATGAATTTCACTTCTAAAAAACTGGAGTTGAATGCACTCGAAAACGATAACAATCTATGAAAACTATATTAGAATTGGTACATACATTTTTCACATAGTTTATACCACAAATTTCATTCAAAAATATTAGAAATGGAAAGCTTTTATTTGAAACACGTTCTTCAGCCTTTATTTTTTAAGGTCATAACTTTCACAACACACCGAGGCGCTGGAGTAATAGCAACAAAAAATGCAAATCGCTTGCCATTTACGTGACAAGTGCGCCCCAAAAACACCCAAAAAAAATAAAAATAAATAAAATACGGAGAGTAACAAATTTACAACCTATAATATCCGCTGTGGGATGACACTTGACAAAGGTCGAATAAACGTGCCTGCAATTTACGATATTCCCAAAAGGAAAAATTAAAAAATAAAACAATAACTAAACGTTGAAATAGGTGGACAAAGACTGCCACAATGATTGCCACAATTTGCATGTTTGGGGTTAACGGTATGCGAAATAAATTTACAATCAATCAAGGAGTTGCATAACAACAGAAAACAAAGGGTATATAAAATTGCGAAACCTGCAAATTATATTTTATATAAATTAGGAGGAGAAAATTAAGGAAAAGTGTTGCCTGTCAATGAACTTGTCAATAAATTACAAAAAAAAATCGTGAAAGTATTTAATTATCACTCCCCAAAAGGTGTGAAATTTTTATGAACTCCTCAAACATCCATAAATTTTATTATAATAACCAAACTAATATATATGTGGCCCTTAGAAGGTTCTTTCCCACACTCTTCGGAGAAATTTTCTATATCGCCCCAAGAAGAACAAAAAAGAAATCAGTGTCAATGAAAATGAAAAAAGGTTTGACCACCAACTGAACTTTCAAGAACAAAACAAAACCAGAAACGAAACGAGAGGTGCGGAGAAATACTACGACAACAAGTTGTTTGCCAGTCAATGATGTCGACCCATTTCGTTTCGGCTTTTGGAAGAAAGTAATTTCTCAGCGGCATTGAGTAGCCGCAGCATTGGCCACAGTTGTAAACACGACGCATTTCTTGAACAGCAGCCAGTCGAGATACACAAAGAAAAAATATTCCGATTGAACCATAAAAATAGATATCGTAAAGAATTCAAAGAATGAAATTGGTAGATAAAATCGATATGATAAAATCACCTAATCTCACTTGAAGAATTCAAAGTCTTTGGAGAATAACTGAATAGACAGGTAACCAGATCAGATAACTTTTTTTGTGACGGGTAACAATCATTGGACGTTAATAAATACGTTACACCCATTTTTTCTCAATGCAGCGACAGTGGCCGATTTAAGGCCAAGAACTTGCGCGGCAAGTGAACTATGCATGCATTTGGCTCCAAGCCTGTTTGTCGAGGAGAAAAAAACAACCAAAAGGGGGAGCGGTGCAACCTGTTTGACTTAGCCGTGTGGAGTTCTGTTGGCCAACACGATGGCCTGCTGTTTATCTCGGCCTCCTCCGGTTGTTGAAAGTCAAAGTTGGCATAGAATCCGGTGATCACATTTCAGCAAATATTAAAATTAGTATTCGCATCAATGCGTCCAATTAGAACACAGCACCAACCACAAAATCTAGCTGGCCTAACGGACTTAATGACAATGACAGTTGAATAAAATTTATATCAAAAGTAGATCGTTCGGATTTGAAGCTTTTGGGAGCAGATTCAACGGTATTCGATTGATTGGGGCTACTTATTATCTATTATTTTTGTCACATTTTTGCACAGTCTTTCACTTGATTTACAGTTGGATTCACAGCTTTTTCACAGCGATCTAGCGGCATTAATTGTCACTTTGCCAGGCCCCGAAAGAATTAAATATATTCCCTCGGCTAATTTGATAACGGCAATTGCCGGCCAGTGATTATACTTGATTCGAAACGGAGGCGGGAAGATCTGAGCCTGAAGAGCGAAGGCGGAAACTGGAGACGAGTTTGAGATCGGATTCAAAGCGCTATACCGATCTGCGACCGTCGCGCTTAGCTTTGAATTTTTGAATGCCCAGCCGTTCGGGTCTTCACACATACGGCATGCGAAGCTTCCCGAAGCTACAAACTCCCAAGCCGGGCATTTAGATTTCAAAAGTTTCAACTGAAACCGAGATCAACGCGACGGCGATCGTACAGCTTTTTGCTGGAAAAGCTCTCTCTTCAGCTGAGACCGGCTTCGAAAAAATGCCGGGCTCATGGGGGTATTCTTAAGAAATAAATATAAAAAATATTTTCTGCGGCTTATTAATAGAAATACTATCTGAATATCAGACAATTTTAGATAGTTTTCATTTGGGGTATTCTTTACAGGGTTTGACATTAAATATACTTACTTTACAGTTCCTTCGCTGCCGGTATAGCTGCTAAGGTAGCTGCCCGTCAGACTGCTCAGGTCGCAATCGAAACTGGCCGACAGGGTGTAGGCCTTGTTAAGACTCAAAACCTCCCGCAGCTTGATCATAAGCAGTTCACGGGTCTCGTCCAGATACCACTCTTCGATGGCAATCCTCATGCGGGCCATCATGTTTAGGATACTGATGCTGTGCACATTGAGATCCTTGGCGTGCAGGACAATTAGATTGGTAACATTGTTCAGCTGGAACTGGATGGAGACGGTTCCCTCGCAGGCTCCCGTCTGCAAATCTGGCTGATAGTACAGCTTGTACTTGATGGGCCTGAGCTCCGTAGGAAGGCGCCATTCGATCTGCGAGGTTATGAAGATAACTCAATATCCATACGTTTGGCAATATGAACTGGGGCTCCATAAAGTCAACCAACAATGCGAGAATGGTAAAGCGATAGGGGGTTTAGGGTCGTAAACAAAATGGAATTTGCTGCAAAAGCTTAATATGAAATTGAATCCCTGTCATATTGTGAAATGAGGAATGTGAGGGATAAGTTTCACACTTTATTTATACTCCCCAACATGTTACTCCCATTTTCTTTACAAATTCCTATTTATCATTCCTAAATAAACATTCAATGGTTTTTAAACGTATCTAGTGGGTGTGCCAGTTGGTAATTGTTTTTGTATATAATCCTCTAGAACGTCCAATTTGCGTTTGGCCTCCTCCAGTTCTGACCACAAGTTATCCGTGTGAACTATGACTATCACAAGAGCCACGATTAAACAGGTGGAAAGAAGACCAAAAAATATGGCAACTCGTTCTGCTGTGATCAGATCTAAGAAACATATAAATAAGTCCGAATCTGGCCAAAAAATGAATATCCTTTCCAATAGATACCCTTGATTCTCGCGTGGTGGCCCATAATGGCAATACTTCACTGCTCCTAGGTCTCTATTAGACTGTCTTAACAATACCATAAAATTAGCTAAGCTTTAGACGGACCAAAAAGGTATACTATGATAAAATAAAAAAGGCGATAAGCACTTCAACTGACCACTATGACGGGGAATTTGATAAAATATGAATTGGTGGACATGCCGACTTTATGATGACCAATGCGGAAATTTTTGCCTTTGGGGGTTTTCGAGTCCAACTCGATTAAACATTAAAGTTAATGGTCGCTTTTCTTAACTGATGAGTCACTTTGAGGAATATATTCTTTCAAGTACTTACCGCATCGGGATCAGGAAGTCCTGTTGGAAGTTCGGGGTAAATGGGAGCTACACTGGTTGTGGTGGAGCTGCTACTGCCTCCGTCAGGTGTAGTTTGTCCGCCAGGTGTGGTTCCACTACTTGACGTGCTGCTACTTCCTGGATCCGGAGTGCTTACCTCACCTCCACCTCCTGGAGTGGTTCCAGGAGTTGTTGGGCTTGTCGATCCAGGATCGGGGGTCACAGGACTTGTAGTTGTGGTTGTGGTGGAAGTCGAAGTGGTGTCTGCCGTCAGAGCATCTATCTTATCGAGTGCATCCTGCAGGTCATTCTCCAGATCCGCATTTTGAACGGCCAGCACAATGGTTGACACACAAAAGGCCGTTGTGGCCAAGCCCAAAAAGATGGCCACTGCCTTGACCGTCAGCCCTGAGATTAAACCAAAATTATTCGATGCCTATGCCTGGTAAATAGTCCTACTCACAGGCAACCATTTTTTACGAGATCCTTTCACCTTTCAATATTCTTAACGGAGAACTCACTGCTGCTTCCTCTGGGCTGGAAGCCAAATTGGAAACTGAATGCATGCTACGAATCTGACCCCATAATTTGGACTTGATAAACCTGACCAGATTGCCGGCCGATATCTAGGCTATATAATAACTTCATGTCCAGATAAATATGGTTTTTATTCTGGCCATAAGGACTGTGGTCTTTTACGACACTACGTTTACGGCAAGCCCATATATCGGTTTATATGATCGGACAGTTTCCAGAAAATTACGCACGATCATGGTTCGGACCATATAGTCGTAATACACCTATCTGAAGTAATTTCTGGGAGCCATAGAAATCGCCACAATGTCGGATAAATTGAAAATATCATGGTTTTGTTTATGGTTTAATTTTGGAATTTCATTTTATTGAACTTGAACGGAAATGTTGTCGTTTCTTATGCAATTCTAGTTAACAGTTAATTGGGGTGTTTTTATTTGATATACAATATATTTTTACAATTGGTTTTTCTTGGTCAAGAGCTAGCCCGTTCCATTAAGCCAGTTGTTGATGTCATCGCGGTTACTGGCCAGCCACGCAATGTTGTACTTGATCGTCTCCACGGCCTCCAAACGGGAATTGGCGCCGGCTCCGGATTCCGGGTATTTTTCAAAGAAGTACTGCACCTCTTCCAACTTTATGGTGCTGGCAAAGTTCTTTGTAATTTGCGCGATCAGTCGGCCAAAGTTGCGGTTGTTAAGACCAAATCTGGCCGTGAGTTGAGCAAACTGCTCCCGGTAATATTCCCAGACCACAGGCTCTCCTACAGGATTGGCGGCTATTGCCTGCACGCAAGTGAAATAATCCTGGGAGCGAACAATTGACTCATTTTCAGCTCGTTTAAGGTATTCAAAGAGCCACTGCGGGTCCTGAGCAGCCGCCAACCCTTCCATCAGTTTCGACTTTTCACTGGCATCAGCTTCCTCCGTGAAGAGAGTGAAGAGTTGCTCCCAGGTTGATTGGCTGGTTGACTGCTGAATTCCGTAGTAGTAGACGATCACCCGAAGATCAGGCGAGGGTCGATTGGCTGTGGGATTCTCCAAGAAGGAGTTGAAACGCTGGGCAGCTTGTTGCAAACAATCGGGAAGACCCAGGGCACAGGCAGCGGACAAGACCGAAACCCTCAAGCGACTGTAAGAGTAAAAAAATTGTTTAAAATGGATATTGGAAGATATTCAAATCTTGGGACATGGCAAGAAAAACATCCCAAAATAAAACGTCAAAATATGTAAATCTTCTCTTACTTTCTCAAGTGGTTGTCGGCATCCACAGACCAACCAACATCGTTGTACACCCCATTAAGAATGCTCCTGGCATAGGTTAGGAAGGTAACATAGCCATCGCTGTACATAAGGCTGCGATGTAAGGAGATCAACTTGTTGGCGGCCACATACCATGGCACAAAATCGCGCTCCGTGCCCAAATACCCGGTCATCTCCAGGGGAATCCTGTATGATAGTTGATTGGCGTCCGCCAAAGCAAATGCGTCATGGAGCAGATGGGCACGGTCGGCCACACCGAGGCTACTTTGGCTCGAGGTCAACTGCTGGATAAGACGGTTCCAGAGCTCCTCCTCGTAGTTGAATACAGCCATGACATATTGGTGATAGTTCAGCTTGATCCACTGAGTGTTATCGGCAGAAATGGAATATGACTCTTGATCGTAATAAAAGATTCCGGAGGTCTCTTCAGATGAGGAACCCAACGAGTAGGTGATCGGCACACTCCATTTGTATTGGAACTCGCTGTCGTTGGGGGCCTCTGCATAACTGGCCGGGTTGGAGAGGAAACGCTGCTGGGTAACCAGGAAGCCAGTGTCTGTCTTCGAAACATTCAGTACCGGATAGCCCATCTGTTCGGTCCACGTTCGCATCAGCAACTTGACATCAAAATCGGTGACAACGGCGGCCACCTCGGAGAGAAAGTCATCTGTCACGGTGTTGGCAAATTGGTATTTCGACAAATAGTTGGTAACCGCCTCCTCGAACTTCTCAGAACCGACCAGATGCTCCAGCATTCTGATCACTGAGCCGCCCTTTTCATAGCTAATAGTGTCGAAAATGGCGGTGATCTCATCGGGAGTCTCTACCTTCTGGACAATGGGATGGGAGGAGAGCTTGGCGTCGTACACCATCACTGGATGGAGGGCAAGTATCTGGAATTGCTCCAACTAGAAGAAAGACACGATGAGATTGATATTCTTTAGTAAAAGTTATATTTTCTTACCATTCCCCAGTTGGAATGCACGGAATCGACTCCCTTGTATTGCATGAAACGGGCGAAGCCTTCATTTAGCCAAATGTCATTCCACCATTGCATTGTGACCAAGTTTCCAAACCACTGATGGGCAATCTCGTGGGCCAAAACGGCTGCAATGGACTGCTTGTTGGCAGTGGAGCTAGAGCTTGAGTCACAGAGCAGAGCTGTCTCCCTGTAGGTAACCAAGCCCCAATGCTCCATGGCATTTGAGGAGAAATCAGGAATGGCAGCCATGTCCAATTTCGGCAAGGGATAGGGCACATTGTAGTACTGGATGTAGTACTCCGTCACAGCTGCTCCAAACTCCAAGGCGAAATCCACTTTGTCGATTTGGTGGGATGTGGCATAGGCCTCCATGGTGAAGTCATCGCCAATGCCATTGGCATTAACAGTGGTGGACTTGGAAGCAAAGTCAGACACAATGATGCACACCAGGTAGGTGCTCATCGAAACACTGGTCTCGAACAGGGTCTCCGTGTACTCTCCCAGGTTTGTGGCTTGCTGTAAAAATACATTTTTAAAATTTTTAAGAAAAAATAAGAAAAAGCGGACGCTTACCGATTCCTGCATGTTGGATACAGCGTGGTAGGAGCCAGTGGGATGCACCACCGTGATGACGAATGTGGCCTTGAGAGCCGGCTCATCGAAGCAGGGAAAGGCCTGGCGGGCATAGGTGGGTTCGAATTTTGTGGTTGAAATAGTCCTGTACAAAATAAATATTTAAAATCAAAAATCTATACTTAAAAAAATGGAGTGAAACGAAGAGAGAAACTTAAAAAGCTGCATACTTTTAGGCTTTAAAAAATGTATTGAAAATGTAAATTACCTTTGATTTCCGGCTTCGTTTTGGTAGGTGCTGCTATACAGACCCACCAGCTTGTCCTTCATCTGGCCATTGAACAAAATGCCCAGCGTGAAGGTGGCATTCTCTGCTAGCTCCGACGACAAGTTTACGATCAAGAACTGGCGCTCCTCCTCCAACTCGTAGCTCTCGACTTGCAGGTTGGAGGTGTAGGTAAAGACACTTGTGATTTCCAGCAGGTGGGAGTGGAGAATAATTTGGCTGGTGGCTGACACCACCTTGATGCTAATCTTCTCTTGACCGGTGAAGTTGCCTGTTTCCAGATCAGGATGCCAGTAAACATCGTAGTGCGTTGGCACCGCAGACGTGGGTAGACGGTAATCAATCTGCAGGATGTGAGATTACCACATATCAGATGGCATTATGATTTATTTCACCTTTGATTTACTACTTACGGTATCTTCCCGCCTAACCCGACTCTGATCGCCACGACTTAGGTTCTCGAAAATATCTATCTTATCCTGGACATCACGCAGATCCTGCTCTAGTTTGGCATTCTGCACCGCCACCACTACGGTGGCAGTGGCAAAGGCCACCACCGCCCATGAGAGCACCACTTGTAGCCAATAGCTGGTTAGAAAAGCCATCTTTGCAATCGCACCTATCGCGAGCGACTAACTAGCTGGAAAAAGCCTGTGAACTAGCGACCCAGCTCTCAGCACCACCGCGTTGCCCAATAGCTCTATCGGGCACTCGAATCGAATCGGTTTATGTTCGCCAACGCGATTGCGATAATAATTGGCCAAATAGGCACGATTATGGTCAGCAAGGCGATAGGACAAATCCCACAGAGCCATTGATAACTGGGATGGGGTAAAAAGGTGTACTAGGAGTACTACCTACACAAGCCACCTGATAGCTCTCAATGAAGTGGTAAACAATCTTACAGTAGTGCATTTAGCTGGTGACGAATTGCTAATCAACCATGGCTTAAATTTTGACTGGATTATTCCATTCCCCACCTCACCAAAAAACACCAAAATCAACACTTTAAAATCGTAATTTATCAACTTAAAACTAAAGTGGGTACTTATTCAATCAAAGTGACATAATAAATTCCCCAAATAAAAATTAGTCACTGTAATTAAGAGTCTTTCACATAAATACTGATTTCTCTCGATAAGATTTTATCAGATTTTTATCGTCCTTTTATCCTGCAGCTCCGCCCATACTCATTTTTATCAAATCTGAACACGACCAATAGATTTCCTTATTTTTTAAAGGTACTTCACAAATTGCAACATAAACTGAAAAATTTCCATTGCTTGTAAATTGTAGGCATTTATTATGCACTAATCAGTTCTGTTCATCATTATTAGTCATAAACACATTGCCGGTCTATTGAAAAGTGCAACCTGTTATCAGATTGGAGGCCAACTAGCTAGGGATAATTGATTATTTATAGGGCAGTATTTTTCGTTTTCTCCACAACTAGCTTATCTTTATTTCAAGTTGTTCGGCATATTTTTCGCTTTATAATGGCAATTATGTGACTAAAAGTTAAATGAGGCTATTCCACGTATCGAACTACAGTTGCTGCTTGTCCAGCCAGGCATCGACGCCCTCGAGGTTCTCGGACAGCCACACGATATTGTTCTTGACCGTCTCCAAAGCTCGCACGCGGGCAGCAGTTCCCGCTCCGGCTTCGGGGTATTTGGCAAAGAACTGCTCCATCTCCTCGAGCTTGGTTTGGGTGCTGAAGCGAGCCGTGATCGAGGGAATCAGGTTGCCCAGGTAGCGCTCGTTTAGGCCAAAACGATCCACCAACTTTGTCCAGTTCTCACGCACGTAGTCCCAGACGAGCGACTCGCCAACAGGATTGGCCGAGATGTAGGTAAGGCAGGTAAAGTAGTCCTGACCCCGCACGTACGTTTCGTTCCAGGCGAGGTCAATATACTGCTGGAGAATCCAAGGAGAGTTCACGGCGGACAGGCCGTACATTATCTTGGACTTTTCGCTGGCGTCGGCCTCGTTGACGAAAAGTTCCCAGACGGTATCCCAAGTTTCCTGATCGCCCACCGAAAGCATTCCGTAATAGTAGACAGTCTCACGTACATCGGCCTTTGGACGATCGTCGGGACTGGCCAACCAACTCGTAAACTGCTCTCCAGCTTCTTTAATACAAGATTCCAGGCCCAAAGAGCACGCTGCACTGAGAGCTGTAACCCGAAGGCGGCTAAAAATAATAGGGGTTATTATAATTATAACACTACTAACCCAACACTTACTTGTCCAGATGATCCTCGCCCACTGTCCAGGTGAGAGCGGTGTAAATGGGCTCGATTAAAGCTGTGGCATATTTCTTGTACTTGGCATAGCTGCTGGTGTAGTAGAGAGTCCTCTTCAGAGATGTCAGCCGCGTTGCAGCCACGCTCCAAGGAACGTAGTCCGTCTCCTTGTCCAGGTACTTGGTCAACTCGAAAGCCGTCTCATAGGGCAGCTGAGTGGAATCGGCCAGGGCAAAAGCATCATTGAGCAATGAAGCCCGATCTCCGGAAGTCAAGGCACTCGGCTGGGTCACCAGCTGATTGGCCAGCGTGTTCCACTGGTCAGCCTCGTAATTAACTCGGAAATATCCAACCTGATCGCAGTTCAACTTGATCCACTCAACAGGCTCTTGAAGAGTTATTGTGACTGATTCCAGAAAAGAAATCAAAGAAGAGATTCAGAGATTAGAAGTCTGGGGGATCTGCGGATCCGCATACAGATGGCACCACTTACTTTCGCTCTGGTCGTGGTAAAACCAGACACGCTGCACCGTCGAATCGGCACTGGTGATGTAGGTGATGGGGATCGACCACCGGTAGCTGTAATGTATGTGCGAAAAATTGCGATCAGATATGGCTGATTTTGGCAATAAGTTCTGCTCACTCACTTGAATTCCGAGGCTTCGTGCTCCTCGTCATAGTCGTTCGGGTTGGACAAGAAGCGTTTCTGCGTCAATTTGTATTCAGTGTCGGACACCTTTTCAATCGTGACCACTGGAAGACCCATCTGCACAAAAAAACACTCTAAATATTTGCCCAATTTTTATGGGGCATCAACGGGGTTACCTGCACCGTCCATGTAAGCATAATGTCTGTGACATTATAGTCCAGATCTAGCTTGTCGATCTCCGCAAAGAAGTTACCGGTCTGGGCGGTTGAGTATTTGTATTCATTCAAGTAGTTGGTGACGGCCTGGCGGAATGTGGTTTGACCCAGGAAGTCCTCCAGCATTCGAACCAGCGAAGAGCCCTTCGAGTAGGTGATGGTGTCAAAGATCTCGGTGATCTGGTCGGGATTCTCTACCGTCTGGATAATGGGATGAGAGCCCAGAGTTCCATCCAAGGTGAGTACACCATGCAGGGTGCTTACGATGAACTGGTCCCGCTGTTTTTCGAAAATAAATAAATATTTAAGGTGTTCTTGTTTTATTTATTTGTCGGCCACTTGCCATTTTCCATTCAGGAAAGACGGCGTCCACGCCAAGATATTCAATAAAGCTAGCGAAGCCCTCATTTAGCCAAAGATCGTTCCACCAGTTCATGGTGACTGAAAAGAATGTTAATGATAACCTCAATTTTGGAAGCACTCTACTTTTAAAGTATCTCTTATGTTCGACCATTTTCCGATGAACTTTTACACTCCCCTTTGGATTAAATAACTTACCCAAGTTACCGAACCACATGTGAGCAAATTCGTGGGCAATTACGCTGGCAATGCGCTGCTTGTTGGTCGCCGAACTGGTTTCCGCTTCGTACAAGAGTGAGGTTTCGCGGTAGGTGACCAGGCCCCAGTGCTCCATGGCGCCTGAAACGAAATCCGGAATGGCCGCCATGTCCAGTTTCGGCAGGGGATACGCAATTTGGAAATAGTCGATGTAGTACTCGATCACTCCCTTGCCCACCTCGGTGGCGAAGTCCACTTTGTTGATCTGCTCTGGGGTGGCGTAGACGCCCATGGTGAAGGTTTCTCCAATGCCCTTGGTGTCGATCTCCACCTCCTTCGAGGTGAAGTCCGAGACAATGAAGCAAGCCAGGTAAGTGCTCATGGGCACACTCTTGGCGAAGCTGACCTCCTGGTATGCTCCCTGGTTGACAGTGGACTCCACATTCATGTTGGACAGGGCATGATAGTTTCCTTCGGAAGGATGCACCAGGGTGATGGTGAACTCCGCCTTTAGGGCCGGCTCGTCGAAGCAGGGGAATGCCTGGCGGGCATAGGTGGGCTCGAACTTCGAGGTGGCTATCACCTTGCGAGTCTCGTCCTCCTTTAGATACGAGGAGCTATAAAGGCCCACAATTTTATTGGCCATCGATCCCTCGAAACCAATGTGCAGCTGTACTTCCCTGCCCTGTTCCAGTTCTTCGCTCAGCTGGAACACAACAAACTCCCTGACAGAGTCAAAGTACACCTCTAGAATCTCTAGAGTATTGCTTCCCGTATTCTGCAGAGAGTAGCTCGGAATGTTCAAGTTTAGAGAGTGCAGCACTATCTTATCGGTGGCTTCTAGAACCGTAATTGTAATAGTCTCCTGGCCACTAAATTCGCCCGTCTCGGTGTTTGGGAACAGATAGAGATCATAGTGGGTCGGTTTTAAGGTGCTCGGCAGGCGGTAATCGATTTTTTCTTCGGGAGCTGGTGTGGTCCCAGGAGAGACTGTCGAGCCAGGGGATGCAGTGGATCCGGGTGAGGCTGTACTCCCAGGCTCCTCAGTACCCGAACTACTCGAAGTACTAGAGGTCGTGGGCCCAGCTGTGCTCGTGGTAAACCCCGATTCCAGAAGATCCAGCTTCTCCTGGGCATCCTTCAGGTCGCTCTTAAGGTTCGCCTTCTGAACGGCCAGGACGATGGTGGAGACCGTGAAGGCGGTGAGCGCCAGGCTCAGGCCGATGGCGACCAGTTTAGCGGTAATAATCATGGCTAGAGACTATCAGCTAGCTCTAATCCAACACGGGACGCGTCCAAACCGAAACTAAGCACAGTTCCAGGCGGCAGAGCGACAGGTAAGGTTACCTCAAGTGGGGCCGTATATCTTAATTGGTTGCGTGCGTTGCAGATTGCTAATCTAATCGCGACGAGTCGATGAGCCGCTTCCATGGTATTAACCAGGCATCTATGTGCATATATGTGTATACCTATGACAATCACCCAAATTTATGGACCCTGTCATGGCGCTTTGATTAAAGTTAGAAATGCCAAAGATCTGGCGCGTTTTTCCTCTTCCAGTCGGAATTCCAAGCTGGCCGCTGAGCCAGCCAAAGGAACTCCCAGTTCCAAAACTGCCCATGTGTGATACGGGATTCTGGTATCTGTCAGATATATCTAACCAATTGAGCAATATTCCAGCTACCTGCCTGCCTCCATCTCCCTCCCGCACTTAGGCCGTCCCTTTTGGTTTCTGATTTACCCGGCGCTAAGGTCCTAAAAAACCCTTTTCCGGTGCCGTGCATACGAGAGACTTTCGACCTAATTAGAGAATCGGTATTTTCATTGTGTTAAAACCCAAAAACCGAAATTTCCGTACACGTTTTCGCAAAGCCTGGCATTTAAAGCGATTATAATGACTTTGACAGGGGAAGTTCTGCGTATCATAAATGCAAATTTATTGCAACTAATGAACTTTATTGAAAACAATGTTTGTTTTCTTTACCTAATCGAATTATCTTTCAAGTGCTATGACAACTACATTATCAAGTGAATACTTTCAGGGTCAAATCGATTACGATTATATAGACTACTTTTTCTTTTCGTAGACTATCTATATCTGACAGAGATTGTTTTGAGGGTTTACGGTTTAGAGTCTTATCTATCCTATCGTGAAGTACAGGTAAGTCCCATGTTGTTTTAAAATTATCTAAAACAAAATATTTCCAACCATTACGACGAATTTCCCCTATCAATATCTGCATAATGATGTTGAACGTCATTTGGTCTAATCCGAGGCATTAACTTTTGGCAAATCTACGAAAATACCAACAATAGCCATGCCGAGCGGTTACTCTTTCCGCCGACTCACCACAAAGCGCAATTAATTTCCCAGATTATTTGTCATATGTTTTGTTATATAATTGGCTTGGCCAGTCCAAAACCCAAACAAACCCGAGTCCGTCCAGGCCATCCGGGCATTAATGTTGTGCAGTGAGAATCCCGGAAAATCCGGAAGTCTGAATGGAATTGGCTGGGATTCATTCATGAGCACGTCGGGCGCCGTGTGGTGCCTACCTGCCTAAGCGTGGGAAAGTTGATGGCAGCAAGAGCCATCCTTCGGGCCAGGACTAAAGGAATCCGAGCAGGTAAGCACAGGAAACTGGGCTGCTCCGCAATTGCATCGCGGGCTGCCAGTGGGTTTTTGTTCGTCCGCCGGCGGGGAGTTCCTGCTTTCCAGTACCTATAGGTATACCCCCTGCCCTGGCCGTGCAAAATTTCCAAGTGGAAAATGGTAAATTTCCGGTTTTTTGACCAGGCCCGAAATTCCCACGGACCAGGGCACTCATCCCATGCCTTTAAAAAGGATACGTGCTCCATGCATGTCATTCAGTCGAGCTAGCGACATCAGAGACATCACACATCAGCCTACAAAATGCTCTTCACATTAATTCTATTTTTGGGAGCAATCACCTGTGGACTGGCTGCCGTTTTGGAGCCACTAAACTACTACCAGTACACCCAGTTCCAGGCTCCGCTATCCTGGGAAACCATCGCCGGCAATGGCCTCAAGTTGGCTCTGTCCAGTTGCCAGGAAAGCTTTCAGTGGCAAAGGTGGAACTGCCCTGTCGCGGATTTCATCAAACGACAGACCATTCCCGTAAGCGACACACCAAACCGAGAGGATGTCTACGTGGCGGCCATCTCCATGGCAGCCACTATCCATACGTTGACCAAGGATTGTGCCAATGGCGTCATCGCCGGATGCGGATGCACTGGAAATGCCTTGGGCGTGCCCTGTGCCCATGAGCCCGAGAAGGCACTGGAACTCTACGAAAAGCGCGTTGGACCAGGATCAGGAGCTGCCGGCCACAACCAAATGGTAGTGGGAGCTCTTCTCAAGCAGTCTCTGGAGCAGGAGTGCCGCTGCAAGCAACCAGGACCAGTGGCAGGCGAATGCCTGGAGGAGGAATGCGTGGCCGTGCTGAAACCCTTCGAGCTCGTGGCCCAGGAACTACTTCAAATGTACGACGATGCCATCCAACTAGACGCCACCAACAGCAACCTGAAAATCATCTGGGAGAACATCCCCCTCGACTCGCTCGTCTTCATGCAGGATTCGCCAAACTACTGTGAACCGGAGGCCTCTGGCCGATGGAAGGGCACCCGCGGACGTCAGTGCTCCAAGAGCGGCAGTGGTTCCCTCGAGGAGCGTCTCTCCTGCCAACAGTTGTGCCGAGTCTGCGGCTACCGGGTCCGCTCGCAGGTCGTCAAAACCGAGCGTCGGTGCAATTGCAAACTGGTCTGGGGATTCCGTCTCCAGTGTGACGTATGCGTCCAGCATGAAAGACAATACTCCTGTTACTAAAAGTAGCTCTAGTCTATGATGGAGAACAGGACTGGGGCGCTGGTCGAGCCTCACAGAGAAATTTTACTAAGGATTAAGTTAATTTATTTGTTCCAACCCTTTATTTATTACCACAACAATCGCTATTAATAAAAACGTAATAATTTATATAATACATAATTGTCTAATCACTTTTCTTTGCGGCCATGTGTCATGAAGTATATTTACTGGCACGAGCCACTACATTGGGTGGCTTTATTGGCCTTTTTGCAGGTGGTGGAAGTGGGCCTCTAAAAAAATAAAAATAAAGAAACAATCTTTTAAAATCATTTCACCATTTTCCACAGACTTTTACTTTATTTCTTCCCTCTTTTTGAAATGATAACTAATTCAATCAACGCGATTTCTATGTTTATTTATTTCTCCGGACCTACTGCCTAAACCGAAACTTATACAAATGGGAGGGGATGGGCGCCATCTAGCTTATCCAAGTGGTGGGCTTTCCCTCCACCCGGTAGCCATTGTAAGCGGCTGCTGCCGAGGAGGCAGCGGCGGCCAGCTCCGACCTCCGGCTCGGCTCACCTGCCCAGTAGGAGGGCACTTCATAGCTCTGAACCATTTTGTTGCCGTTCTTGATGGCCGAGATGATCAGCAGGAAGATGGCCAGCTTTCCCACGAGAATGGACTTGACCAAGAGCAGCTTTAGCTTGGTAACCAGAAATGGAACAATGGCTGACTGGATGAGGAAGGGAAGTATGAAAAGTGGCAGGACCTTGGTGATCATGTCATACTTTTTGCCACGACCTGTATATAAAAGATTAAAGAATAAAAATAACTATAACAAATATTTTGTTTTAATTTTGAACCCACCTTCTTCACTGTTATCCAGCGTAAGCCAACGGGCTCCTATGATATCCTTGAGGTTCTCCCCATCCAGCTTCACATGCACAATATCGTTGCTCATGTCCAGACTTACGTTTAGTCCTGGACCCACATGATATCGCTGTATGCTCTCATCCTCTGGAGCTGCCTCTGGCTGGTCTGTTTCCGTTTCCGCCTCCACAACCTCCTCCCGCCGCTTGTTGCGATCCTTGCGCTTGCGTTTGCGTCGCTTCTTTCCACTGGAGGAAGTGCCCTCACCATCATCGTAACTGGGCGTTTCGGTCTGGGCCTCCAACAAGGCCTCCGCGTTTGCATCCTGGCGAATCTCCATGGCCAGGGTGTCCCTGGGGTCCATCTGCTCGGGGGCCATCGTGTCCTGGGCCTCGTTGCCAGTCATTTGAGGGGCACTTACGCGATCCCTGAGTCGCTTTTTGTAGTCGCTTGTGGTTTTGTTGCCCATATAGGTGCTTTTGTAGTTTTTGTAAATGCCCATGAAGATGTGGGAGTTCTTGCGCACCGCAAGTTCTGGCTTCTCCTCCGGCTCGTAGCTGCTGGCCAGGCCACGGGCCTCTGTTGCCTCTGAGGTTACTTCCTGGCTTTGGGTTGTACTAGTGCTGTCCTGGCCAAATGCCAGCGAGGTGCAGAGCACACTCAGCAAAAGGAATCGCACCTGGCTGCTGGTCATCTCCAGGCCAACTACTCTGAATTAAGTAGATCTGACTGTGAATCTGTTACTGAATCTGCGTGTTAGCGCCGCAATGGTCAGCCGCAAAATGTGGCACGATGGCTGGCAGTCAAGCGTTTTATCAACTCCGAAGAAAGCAGATGAAAAGCAGCAGAAAAGCATTGGAAAAGCGGTAAGAAAAGCCAAAGCAGGCTGCATTCTGAGACATTGGAATTGAGCACAGTCAAGTCGAGAAGTTGCCGTTGTAGCAGCAACAGCAACACCAGCCGCAACCTGTTGCAAGTTGCAACAGTTGCAGCTAGAACACGATTCTTGTGCTGGATCCTCTTCAATTAAATTGGATGTCTCTCTTTCTGGCCTGCAAAAATACAAGAAATGGAAAAAAACAAACTATCTGGAGTAGGCCTGCAATTTCTCAGTGATCTCGCTCATTGATTTCTTTTAGCTTTAATTGCCCCTGGACCTCTCGATACCCCTTGAGCCGATCCGGGCATTAGCCATAAATAACGCCGGCTCTCTAAGTAGCCTGCTAACGGTTTCTGACTCCATTCTTTACCCCACGGACTCAGACTTGCAACCGAGACGCCTCCAATTATCGCTGACGGCGATCGCATGAGAAAGTTGTTGACAAAATTGGCGCACACCGGAGCGGATCGGTGTTGGAGTGATATGTTTTATCTTCGTCGGGCGGGTGTTTAGACAGAAAATCCAGAGTAGAAAGTAAATTCTATTCGATAGCCGCCTTAAAAATCCGCTTCACTCATTTGGTCTCCTAATTTACTTTCACGCAATTAACAAACAAATCTTCAATTGCCATTCGACCATATATGCGCCATATATCGATTGCAGTAACCACTCTTTTATTTCCCCAATAACTCTGGGGTCCGAGACTGGTAGCCGTGTTTATTTCCTCCATAGACCGATAACCAATATCACAAAATACACACATTATAGGTAGCAAGATAATCTTATCATTTAGCCATAAAATGTGGGCTAATCCATTTTGAATAATACATAGTTTGAGTCAACCAAAGTCCGTACAATAAATGATTAAGCGCCTACCAAACTTGGTCTAAAAAGTAGTAACATTTATTTAACCCAATATATATTTAAGAAAAAATTGCTTAAAATATTTGTAAAACTCTTATGTTAAAGTTCCTGATGTGCCATTTAATTTATTACTCACCTGAAGAATGCATTTCTTTCGATTTCCTTCAACGAAAGTGAATTGCAATGCTTTGGGCCTGGCCTATGGGCCATATTTTCATCAATGAAATACCGTTACTCAAACACTGTTGCCATTTTTAAGTAAAAGCACTGATTATAAATTGAAATGCAGTACCTCATTGTTAATTAGCTGATAAATCATTATCGGCCGTCGTTGACGAAAAATGAAAGCGAATCGATCGGTGTGATGGGTTTGGTGGGTCGGGGTGACCACTTGGGTGCCTGCCCTCAATATAGACACGCGTCGTGAAAGAATGCCCATGTTCCCTGTCCAAGTTCCTATGCAGCACACCGCCAAATGCGTTGGAGCCCAAAAAAGGGCCCCTAGACGGCAGTGAAAATAATGACAGACAATATGCATATTCAAAGAAGCTCACTGCCAAAAAACTATAAAAAATTATAGTTTTATTGTGTCTTAAGTCCAAGGGCCTGGTGGCTTTGAAGAATTCTTTTTTTTTCAGTATACCCAGTAAGATTCGGAATCCATCAGAGGTAGCGACTGTGTAAGACATATGGCTGCGGCACGATTTGCTTGTTTTGGCGCACGTTCGTGCCACGATGCTTGGCCGGAGAGTGCGATGTCCGGCTGCCGAATTTCAAGTAGCCGCCCAGCCAACTGGCCAAGACCCTCGTCGATAAAAGCCAATGTCAATGCGAGCCCTCTATTCAATAGTCAGTCGGTGTCGAAGTCGAGCAGTGCGGTGCAGTGTCATACGGATTACCAGATATCCCATCTTAAAGGACTAAATCATTATCGAAATGGCCGCCAACCAGAAAATTGTTTTAGCTTTTGTGTGCCTTTTTGTGGCCTGTGATTTGGCGATGGCCCAGCAGCAGGCCTCCAACAGCTCGGATGCGGATTCGGATGTGGCTGGTTAGTGCAAAGGAATTATAATTTCAATTTAAAAATTACTTAGCATTGAAGTGTGTTTTAAAATTGTCTTTTAAACATATGGCATTGTTTATTGTGGATACAAAATATTTTCAAACGAGTTTTCTAATGACCTTTGGTTACCAAACTTTTCCAGAGAGTCGTACCTTTGGCCACCACTTCCTGCGTCGCATCAGCTTTGCCCTGGTCCCCGGCGCCTTTGTCGTGGGCGTGATCACCACTCTTCTGGCAGCCTTGACAGTGGTCTCCATCAAGGGTCTGGGTGTCGGCGTGATCTTACTGATTCTGGCCATCGGGCAGATGCTGTCCCGCGCTCTTCCCGTCCAGGCAGCTGCCGCTTATGCCGCAGCCCCCGTGGCAGCACCAGTACCCGTGGTCTATTCCCACTCCCACACCCAGCAGCCCGTCTGGCTGGAAAAGGAGTGGTAGAAAGGATATCTCCCGATCGGAAGAGAAGTCCAATCCGAGCGAGCTGGTAGCAGGCCAGGATTCAAAGTTACCTCAGCCTCAGCGAGCATGCAACCAAATAATAATTTAAGTCTAGTTTAAATTATTTATTTAAATTATTTATTTATTACAAGTAAATTATGGCAAAAAAAGAATCAGAAGCAGAGAATTTCCTTGATGTCATCCATATTCATCTAGGAAATTAGTCAGCTCAAAAAAATGAAAATAAAATGAGAAAGTAAATCATAAAATATCCTCATTCCCGAGTTCAATGATTCAAACACCTATCGCAGTTTTCAGCTGAAAGCGCCCAACGATTGCGTATATTTTTCAGCAGCCCTCATGGAAAGTGAAATTTTTATTCTCATTATAAATTCTGTTCAGGGTTTGTGTGATTTACGGTTCTTTTAACTACTCTTCCGCAGCGGATCACGTATAGAAAGTCAATCGATACTCCCAGTTCCAAAATAATCGAAATGGGTCACACTTAGTCGGAACATCCATATCGCCCACTAACTAGGTTTGGATTTCTCCAGCTTATTATGCCTCATTATGGAAGGAGACTAATTAATTAACTCTCACTTGATCCATCGTCACTTAATTTAAAACGAATCACTTTTCTAGTCAGCTAGACGATCAATCATCTCGAATCCGGCTTCAATTGTTCCACTTTGCCATAATTTTCGCAATTTTGCTCTTTGTCAACTAAATAATGCAGTCGTCTCTTAATAGTGTTCAATTAATGCACTTTAAGAAATTTCTATCTTCTTTAATTATATGAAATTTTTAACTATAAATGGTTTTAGTAAAGGAAAATGTTTATATATGATATGGGAAAATATTATTTAACATATGGGTGGAATATCTCCCAATAACTTAACAGTGCTTCTCTAAAAAAAACACTAAAAAACTATAATCACATTTAAATTAATGACTTTATAAAGCTCAAGAGATTAGTCTTAAATGCCACCTGCTTCTTTAATTAATCTTTTCGGTTATTAGGTGTTAAAATTTCTAATGGTCAGCCAACATCTTGATAAACCTCCATAAAGAACGAGGAAATAACTCTTACTTGCCGGCGCATGGCTGACACAGTTAGCACGTTTGAAATATGAGCCAGGTGCACCAGATTCGCTGCATAAATTCTACAAGTAGAATAGAGCTGATTCTGGAGAAGATTAGCCCGACATTGGTGACAGGCTAGCTGCAGAGCAAGGAAATTCGGCTGTAAACAATCGAATGTATCGGCCATAAGTCAAGCAAGTGGGTCAAGTTGGTGCTACTTGACCCGCTAAACTAAATCGAAGAGCCAGCCAAGCGTTGGCGACCAGAAACCAGTTGGCCGGAGGAAAGTAGTGGCCAAGAATTCGCCATCGCCGTCGGATGGGAGAGACAGTCGGTCGGATTAGGATGGCAGCATGGTGGCTGCTCGGAGCCAAGTGGTGCATTCAGTTTTCCACTGTCACTGCTGCGGTGCAGTTGTGTTGTGTATCCAGTCGATTGCAGAAAAACAATAAATAAAATGCATCCCACCATGAGTAGATCCTTATCCTGGCACATCCTTCTCGGGTTGTGTCTGTGTCTCCTCCTCAAATCCCACTTAATCCACAGTCAAGTCACCGAAGACACGAACCCGCTGATGACGGGCCGCGCTCAATCGGCGAACAGTGTGTCATACTTTAGGGCGTCGATTCCAATGCGGATCTACGAGTGCCTCCGCGAGTTTACTATGCTGCACTGCACCAAGTTGTACGTGCTACAAAAGATGGAGGAGCGGCGCCAAATGCCTAACAGTGGCAATCTTACCCGCGATTTCGTGGACCAGTTCTTCGGAGAGGAGACCCAAATGGGTAGCCTGGTCAGCCAAAAGTACCAGCACATGTCCCAGAAGGAACTCAACCAGAGGCTGGTGGTCAATTTCCAGAGGTTCTTTAAGCATCGTGACCTGAAGTTACACTTCCTCCAAGGAATGCTTGTCAAGATTGTTCCCAGCAAGGATAACAAGTTGAAGTTTTCGCTAAAAAAGAGTGAGTTTTCCCGAAGCTATCAACAGAATTTTTAGTAAATAAACAAAGAGCTTAAATTTAAATAGATATTTAAATATCTTAAGCATTTGCTATTTTTGACCAAATTTATTCTGTTGTTAAATCAGACATTAGATTCTTTCTTTTTAATGTTTTCAAGTCTATAAATTATCTAGAACAATTAAATTTATTCTTTTTATCCTTAGCTATTTATTAACTTTCACAAATTCTCCAATACAAAATTAATGTCTGTTTTTAAAAAACTGCAACAAGTTTGGCGAGTAGCACACGATGGTTTGATCATCTCAATAAATAGTATTGAATTATTGTCATTGATAGATACTACTAGATTTAATTGAATCCGATTAAACAACAAAAATTAACCTTTACTTTTAGCTCCCAAATCCAGGATGGGCAGAGCTCGCCGCCGCGAGACCGAGGAATCGGAGCTCAACCTTTTGAATCTGCCCTCGATTGGCGGTGGTGGCGCTACCAGCGGCAGCGTTGAGAACTACGAACCTGAGGCGGAGGGCGACTCCAAGCAGCAGGGGATTTTGGGGGGAGTTGGAGGCGTGCCAGGAGGAGACGGTGGCGGCAGTGGACATCTGGGCAAGCGCAAGAAGAAGAACTCGTACAAGGTAACAATGATGCAGGTGGCCGTGCCCATGCTAATTTTTCCGGTGGTGCTGCTGGGCAGCCTCCTGCCCTTCATCCTGCCCGCGCTCAAAATGGCCACGATCCTGTCGCTGGTGATGAATAACGGTGCCTTTATGGCCGCCCTCCTGTACGCCGCCCGCACCCAGTTCAACACCCACGAGGAGCAGCACATCAGCTATAGTTAGCTATCCTTTTGACATTATCCTTCTGGCCCTTTTCTCCAATAAAGGCTGTCCTTGTGTTGTGGTTTCTATTTTCTAATCATTGGATTTTTACTATTATTTTTTATAACACGGTGTGTGTTGTTTAAAAATTTCCATCTGAATCCGATCCGACTTGTTTAAACTACAATAACGTCTATATATTCAAATTTAATTAGTGGAAGTATGGTGGGCAGTCAGTTATTTTCCCATAACGGAAAGTTTGTTGTGGATAGAAGCTGCTACATTTAATCACAGACTTAAAAACAAAGTAGTTGATAGAAAAACGTACATCTCTTAGTTCCCGGAATATTCAAATAAGGCTGGCTAGAACATCACTCATATTAACAAATGACCCCGAGGCTTTTGAGGGTTTTTAGGAAGTTCGGAAGCAAATTACTAAAAGTTAATATTACTAAGCTATAAATTTAAAGTTATTTATACTCAAAAATTCCCAGGAAAAAAGTATATTTCAAGCTGTTTTTGTTTTTTAGGTTTATATAATTTTTTTGTATAGTTTTCAACAATAGTTGGATTGGATTCGAATGTACAATTTTGGACCTACATTACTAACACAATGTACACACACATAAAAGTCGATGCTTAAAGTAAATCTTAGCAGGTACGCTTAATTCTAGAACCTCTTGCGTAAATATACATTTATCATTATATATATATATATAGAGATAGAGATAGGGAGAAGGTCCCTTAACGACAAGTGCCAGACAGGGGTGGCTGGAAAGTGTTTTAAGTGCCGATTTTTAGTTTTTAACTCTCTGTTGCTGTTTTCGCGAACATATTGCTTTAACTAATCTCGAATAGTTTTCAGTTTTCTTGGTTGTATTTGGAATTGAAGCCATTGATATATAGATGTTTCTAGCCGACATCAGGTCTCACGATCGGACTCCCCCATTATTAGTTTTGGATTTAACATTTCATTTTAGTTTCCTTGAAAAACAGTCACCTCTAATGCGCAGGCAGTATGGAGAATAGGCAATTAATATAATTATTAAATACTGCAGACCCGATGTGGCGCTCTTCTATCTACCCCACTCTCTAGTCCTGTTTGCACTCGGACTCCTTGTTCACCACATTGGCTCCCTTGCGGTCCTCCTCGCTGATGTCCTTGTCGTCCCATCCCCAGATGGCGTGCTCCTCCAGGTCGTGATTCAAATGAGCCACCAGCTCGCTGGTTGGCATAGCGTTGTTGTTGTTGGCATCCAGCAAGGCGGCGACATGAGAGCCATCGCCAGTGCGGAGCACCCGCTTGTAGACCATCTCCTGGGACACAAACTTCAGGTCGTAGGCTTGTCCTAAACAATTGGAATGAGAGTATTAGCAAAAGAAGATCTATCTGGTGGCAGGAAGTAACTCACCGATCTTGGCCATCAGATCAATGAAGGCAGTGGACCAGTTGAAGCTGTAGGTTCCCAGCTCAGCTGCCTTGTAGTCCCAGGGGAAGACGTGGTGGTAGTTGTGCCATCCCTCGCCGATGGTCAGGGTGGACACCAGCTTGTTGTTCATCGCACTAACGTTCACATCGTAGGGCTTCATGCCGTAGAAGTGGGCGGCGCTGTTCACCAGCCAGGTGAAGTGGAGCGACAAGCAGAACCGGAGCATGGAGCAGGTGAAGAAGCACACCCGGAGGGAGCTACCCATCACATAGTAGGGGAAGATCATGGGCAGAACGAAGCAGCAGATGGGCATCACGACAAAGTAGTATCTGGGTGGGTAATGAAAATTTAACATTTTAGTTGGGTTTCAAATAAATCCTTGACTGAGCTTGTTTACTCACTTCTTCTGGAACATAACAACGGGATCCTGCTCAATGTCCTCCATGGAGATCTGCTTGCCCTTGGTGGTGACGTCGGGGTGCTTCTTGCACATAAGCCATCCCATGTGGGCGAAGAAGAAACCGCGACGGGAGTTGTGGGGATCGGCGTGGGTGTCGGTGAACTTGTGGTGGACACGGTGATCGCGAGTCCACTCCCAGATGCTGTTCTGGAAGGCCAGCGACTGGCACAGCATCAAGAAGATGCGGAGCGACAGCTTGGCCTTGTAGGCCTTGTGTGACCACAGACGATGGACTCCAGCCGTGATACCCAAACCGCCAATGAACATGGTGACATAAACTGAAAAATCGAAGTCTGAGTTAGTAAATCGAGAGGATTGTACCCTGGCCAGAACTCACCAGGCAAGAGCTCCAGATAAGCACTCTCGGCGAAGATCAAGTAAAGTCCATAGAGGGCCATCGAGTGGAGGATGACGAAGAGACCCACGTTGAGCCAGACGATCTCCATTTCGTAGGGCTTGGCAGCAGCCTGCTTGGCTTCGGCCACCGTTTCCAGTTTCTTCGAGACCTTTTGGGTGGGCGTGGGAGCGGCAACAGTGGCGGTAGCAGAAGGTGTGGCGGCCATCTTGTTGTTGTTGCCATCGGCAATGGTCGTCTCAGCCAATATGAAAGTGCTGCCTATTATGTTGGGTGTCATCTAGAAAAAGCAAAAATAAAACAATAAATAAATGTATTAAAGAAAAAACAGGGTTAAATCTTTCAGTGCAAATAATTTATATTTATTTTTTCAAGTGTAGCATTTCTTCCTGATTAATGGCCTGTCGTGTGAGCCGCCTTTGTCCCCCTATTCAAATACAAATCAACCTGCCGGACGCTGGATAGGTGCTCCTCCAGCTCATTGACATGCGGGGCAGGCAGGCTACTCTCTAGCCCAGAGCTTCGCTTAAAAGGCATCCCATCCAGCTGCACGACTAATTATGGACCAAATTGAGGTGGAGGTGAGTGCCAGTTGCCACTGGCAGTACAGCCAAGAGATCCGAGAGCCGAACAGAGGCGACCTTCGCCAGCTGGCCAGATTCAATGATACTCGAAACTGATACAAAGATAGCAAGCCGGAAGCGCGAAAAGAGAATTCCGAATTCCATATAAAAACGAACGAAAGAAATAAATAAAATAAAAATACAACAAAATCCCCGCAGAAAACCATCAATAATTTGTTTTTATGTTGTACACGTTGAATGAAATATTTGCATATCCATTCTTTACAAACGTTTCTTGGTCATTGAAAACCAGAAAAGGTTGGTCAAGAACCCTAGCCTCAAAGTCCAAAAAAACCCGAAAAAACTTTGTATGTTGGAAAATTGTGGAAGGTTCTAAATGCTAGGAAATCATTGAAATACTGCACATTGGCTGCACTTAGAAGTACCATATACATAGTTCATTAGCTATTGAGGTAGACACCAATAGGTAGTGGGCATTTGAATTTTATAACAACTAAGTGGAACAGCATTAATTCAATTCAGTGGCAGAGTTCAGTGCAATGCATCACCCCCTTGTGTGCCATCGTGAATCACATATGCAATTTTGTTAATGGAAATTTTATGGTAGCGGGTGCATCGACCAATGTTGGCCATTTTGCCCCGAGCTTCAACTCTTGAGAATTGACAACCGGTTGACCTCAGAGATGTTGCATGTATCTCGTATGGATTCAAACAAATCTATTCTTATTGGTGGAGTATTATTGCTGGCTTCGCTCATAGATTTCAAGCCATTAACTTGCCTTGTTTCAATGTCAAGTCGTGTGTTTTGAATATTATTCGCCAAAGTCTGCGGCGGGGCTGTATAATTCAGGTGTTTAGGCACTTCGATGGCCTTAGGCCACGGTCGATTTGTAAAGAAATGTGTAATTGGAAAAGTGTAATTCACGAATGGCTAATCACATTGGAAAATATTGTGTTGAAGACATTGGATATAATGGCATGCAGGTGCCACGCGCTGCCAGAATATAACTCGTTTTCTAGGGACCATTCAGCCAACATTGAAATCTTGTGCCCAGCTCTAGCACAAGACTCTGATGAATCCGAAGCTCAATCATCCTTTACCGGATTATTAGCATAGTTAAGTAACCGCGCCAAATTTATGTATAGAACTGCTTTTGTTTCGGGTTCTCCGCCGACGAATCAAGGTTGGCAACGGGTTTTGGGGGGTTTTGGCATGGCTTAGGTTTTTTTTCTTTTATTGTTTCTATTTGGGTTTTCGGCTTGGGGTGTGGGGTTCTGAGATCGATCTCGAGAGACACTCAAACAACCACGTCACAAATCGGTTGGATTGCCAGACAGCCGAGGCAATTGTAGAAAAAATACTGCGAAAGCGTTCGGTACTGTTCGGTTATGGGACCTGACTCAAATCTAATGCTGTACTGTGATTGATACCGCCACGGTAGCTCCATTGATAGATTGGATTTGTGCACGCCACTGGCGACGCCTGGCGCATACAAAAAATTGTCAGACTATCCACTGGGTCTGGAGCCCAGAATCAAGCAGCAAAAAAAAAGGGGAACGTGACTCTGGTCTGGTCACTATTCTCCAAGCCCACGCCGCTGTTCTGCAGTCGTTCTATTATCCCGGCTTAATATGCTTATAGCTTATGGCTGGAGCATTATGCGTGGCATCCATACTCATTATCGCTTACTTTTCCAGCATTCGCAATTAGCACTTGTCGCCAAGACCAAAGAGATTCTACTCGGTTCGATTCTATTCAATTCATGGAATCAAACTCCTCGAACTCAGTTCCATTCAGGCTGTTTAAGGCTAGCATAATTTTAGTATTATGAGGGCTACGTGAGGCGTAACTATCTTCTAATTTGGTCTTGCGTCAGCAGCACCTTTATTGAATTCTTTTCATAAACAAATTTTACTGCTTTATGAATAGATGAATCATATTGAAGTGTCTTTCGATCATGTTGAAATTCGACTGGTTGAATGTGAAACTTTTACGATAGTTTCGAGATCGTTTCCTGCTTATCGACTTCCGCAAGCCAAATCAAATCGTCTTCCAATCTTAAACCTTAAAAATTTCAATTTCTCAGCTATGGATTTGAAAATTTTATTTCATCTGCATTGCTATTGTAAGGTTCAAGCATCATTAATCGAATTTTCATTTGAAGCATATCAAATGCTTTTAGGGCACAAACTTTTCTATAGTTATATATATCACACTCACCTTTAAGGATTGAGTTTGGAAAAAAATTGAAGGAAATCCAAGAGGTGCACTAAAAATCCGTTGATTCGCTTTCGTTCACAACACACTAGATCACTTTTCGCCACCAGAGTTCGTTTCGATCGTATCTTTGTCCTTTATAAGGATTCGCGAGGGTTTGCTTATGGTATGGGGGTATTTGAGGTTTTTGATTCTTTTGGGGGTTTTGGCCACTACACACGGCACGTCCACGAGGCGCGATGAATGCACGGCGTATGAGGGATCTGAGCGACTGGCAGTGCTTTTTAAGCGCCTAGTTCAAAGAATTCGCACGGTGACACGGCGACGATCGGTCGTTAGAGCCAAGTCGAGCGGATCGCGATAGTGATCGTGAGTCGAGTCGAGTCGGGTTGAGTTGAGTTGCTTTGAGCTGGGTTCATACGAGAGAGCAGTCCGTAGTAGTGGTGCCTCATTTGTTTACCAACACCAAAAATTCAATAATCGTCTGCCTCTCAGCCAAGCCGGCTTCGACTTGCTACCGAATGGATTCTTGGGTCGTCTCAGATTGAATCGGATCAGATCGGATAGGTTTCGAATCTAAGGGGGCCGGGGTCGTTTAAGCGATACTTCTTGCTGGTATGGGTGTGATAATATCCGGCGCGTGGCTAGCAAAGACAGACTTTATTTATAGCCCAGACGTTCTGACTGGATTTGGGATAAAGCATATGGGATAGTGTATATTCACTTGCACTTTCCAAGAAAAAAAAAGTAAAACGGAAAAACAAACATGGGGTAATCCCCCAAATGGCCCCGCTCACGTACGCTCTCTCTCTTCAAGTAGTTTGCAAAGTGGATCTACAACATTTTGGCCAACTTGGCAGGTCAAGCAGATCAAACTATCGGTCAAGTAAGCCAGGCACGTCTTCATTTTCTCATCTTTTTGGCTATGTGAGGTTTTTTTTCTTCGGGGGGGCCTTGCACTGTCCACTAATGAAGTGCTTTGGAAACATGTTTCCGAATCGCCATTATATTATATAACGTTCTTAATTCACTCCGGATCTGGGCCATATATAACCCGATGTATGTCATATGCCAAACATTTAACCAGTTTGCCACCTCAACCTTGCCTCCTTATCGACTCCATGCATATTCAGTTTATATTTTGACGAACTGGTCACAGATTCTAATTAGTTTTGTTCGCCAGACATTTCCCTGCCTCGTGGCCGACATTTAATTGCTGTTTAGTCCGCCCAAATATTTGGCTGGCAAAGTGACATTAGCGATAAAGATGAGCCAATTATTGGCTTGGCCGGCTAAGCTCGGCTCGTTCGACCCTTTCGGTTCTTTTGGAATTTTTGTTTGGGGCTAACTGGGCAAACAGCCATTACCGCATAGCAGCTTAGCCGGGCCAAGTACTGTCGGGTCTTCGCACCAACAAAGAGACGCTAAGTTCAAATGAGTTGTGTCTAATTTTGTTTAGTGGCGGCCACTAAAATTGTTTGCCATCTGCCAGGCAAATGTGGTGTCAAAAACCCCTGGCCGAAGGTCTACCATCTTGTGGCAACTTCCCCGAAGGTCACAATGGGGCATCAGTCATCGGCAGTGCACCGCCAAAGTATTGCACAGTGGTTCCTTAGTGGGTTACATATGTAGCCTCAGTGACGGGGCTCCAACCGGTTTGGCATCACGTTTTCCCAGTTCTGTTTTCAGTCTGCCAAGTGATTCCCAGCCCAAGTGGGCTCTAGTCGCGTTAACAACAAAATAAAAGCCGATCTAGGCGAACATGACTAGATTTTATTGCTTTCGATTTCAATCAGCATAATGCGTCGGATTATTTTCGACACGTGCCTACTAAATAGTCATTAAAACACCATACTTGTGGGTCACTAACTGAACGAATAATAAAATAATAATTGTGAACCCCACACCCATCGGAAGTAAAGTAAATTAAATTAAATGCAATTTTTACACAAATAAATGCGTCACAAATAATAACATAAAATAAAAACTAAAAAAAATAAAGAATTTGTCAGAATTCTAACTCCCTTTAAATTAAGACTTCAAATTAGAGGAATTTCCTGTCATAAAAGTCACAGTTTAGTGTAAAAATATTACAAAGTTTTAACATGGGCTTGGAGGAAAATTACTCATACGCAAAGTAGTTTTTAATGGTAGTATCTTTCAAAGTAGTAAGAAAAATATGAATATTATAAAGTTGGTAAATAGTTAAATAGCTTACACAGTATCTGTAAATAAATAATTCAATGATGGAAAGTTTTTTCATATAAAAAATACCCTTTAACGATAAATAAATTAAGTAAAACTAGTTACACAAAGTATTGGCTTAAGCGGTGGTATAAATGGTGGAAATTTTGATTTCAATGATATTTTACATATACTATTATTATATTAATTAATCATAAACTGGTAGTTTTCAAAGTTGATAGGTTCACTGTGCATTTAAGCAAAAGTATGAAGTCAAGAGCCGAAATGCAGCTGAATGCCATTGAATGCCTTCCTTAATAAGTTCTTACACATGGAAATGTTTTTTAAAGATTAATTTTTAAATACTATACGTTTTAAGATATTTTCTTAAAACGGCATACATATGTTACTTTCAAAGACTACGTTTTGGTCATGAAGTCAAATGTGTTTTGGATAATTATTTTAAATAGCAGATATTATTTTTTCTTTTTTCTGTGCAATTGCAAACGTGTAAGACATAGTCATTGCGGTGTTTGTGGTTAAAACTCATACAAATGTGACTTGCAAAACGCCAGTAGCATCTTGAAGTTGGACAGGGAATTGTGTGTCGTGAGGCTCAGATCCCAAGGTCGTGTTCATGGCGAGTTCTTGAGTTCTCGAGAAAATTGCACAATTGAGTTGAGAGTGCTGCAGGCACGTTTAAACGCCTGATGGCTCATGTTAACCTGACCCTAACCTTTTGGGGCGTACCAACGCAACTTCACTTTAAGTTTCAAATTAAATTTCACTCATGAGGCAACTGTCGGGGGTGAGTTAAACTGATGCGATGCCCGAACTAATTGCAGCTAATTGAAATGCACGGCATTCGACGACGACAACAACGTATGTTGCGAAAACAGTGTTGAAATGACGCAGAGTCAGGCCAAAGCCAAAGCGATTCAAGAGCAAAGTGCGTGAAAAATCGAATCCAGATGCCGGCCAGGTGATCGCTTTAACCAAATATTTATGCAAATGCCAATTGTGCCGCAGGAAGAGCACAATGTCACGTCAACACACGCCTCAAATGTGCCATGAAAAATAATAACAAAATCAAACAAAAGCCTCATTACATATCCCCAGCGACGTGTACACTGTACAGTGTACACTATACCCTCCCATACAGATTTAGGCGCAAAAATGGGTTCGGATAAGGAGAACAACCTAAATGGTTTCCCATGGACTTTGCCACAGTCCATTCCTCCTTCCCCGATCCCAGACTCGATCCCATTGTCACATGTCACAACGCGAGCAGCACAGAATCTGCATAAAATGTAAATTGAGTTCGTTTTTTTTGTTTATTTTGAAGATAGAGTTCTCCCGGCACACGCGTGGCGAATCTTTTGGCGATTCTCTAGCCATCCGACTAGCCAATTTATCAAACATTGCTTTTACGACTTGGAGGTGCTTGTCAGGCGGAGTACAATCCGAATCCATTAGGGTTTAACGCAAGATAATAAACCTGTACCCCTATTTTTAGAGAATTCTTTTGGCCTTATGGCCCGCGCTCATTCATATTAATTCCCGTGGTCAGCACGTTTTTAGGTTTATTTCTTTTTGAATTTGAGTTAAAAAAAAAAGTTATAACTCAAAACCATAGATATTTAATGTTTTAAAAGACATATGAATTATCTTACAATCTAACAATCTACAAATAACAATTTTCATTTATGATGAAATTTTACATTTAGTTTTATTTGTTTTTTACTAGGCAGTTGAGCTTACCCTTCAGCCAAATTATTAAATATTAAATGACCCATTAAAGAAAATGAAATTAACTTGTTTTGGGTGGGTTGACATTGAATGAAATACTTCAAAGAAAAAACCTCAGTTGTGTGCAAATAAAAACCAGGTTTATGAGCCATTAAGGCTTGTTTACAACATGAAAACTTCAAAGTCCCTGTGGAAAAGAAAACCCCCAAGATCAGCGATATAACCCTAAAATATTTAAGCACTTCACAGGGCATTGCCCAGTCGATGCCTAGAGAAGGGGTATTCTTTTATTCACAAAAAGCATAAGAATAAGTAATGCTAAACATTGATAAGCCATAAACACGAAATGAAGACCGCAGAAATTAGCAAATTGCTCACGTGCTTAAAACTTTTTCTCCTCGCCCACACCCGAAAATATTTCGGGCTTTATTCTTTTTTTTTTGGGTTTTCTATTTTGGCACTACGACACCCGGTAGCATAAGCATATCCGTACACTCCAGGCCACAGATTCTCGGCCCCTGGACTGGGGAAGTTGGCTTAGCTGACCAAGTTGGCAAAGAACTCGTCACCAAGTGCTCGGGTCTTTTCATTAACAACTTGATCATGACCAGCATCGGTAAGGCCGAGAGCCTGCTTAGAATTCTGGGGGAGATCAGAAACCTGATTGGCGTTTTAAAATGCCTTCGCCTGGCCGCAGATTTATATATTTCGGGGTTTCTATTCTTGACTCTTGGTAGTGTGTAAGTGAATTTGCATAAATATGCATGTATATTTGAATGGCTCCGATTTCCACTGGTAAGCACTGGTTGCCGACCCGACACTCAATCCGTTCCTGGCCCTTTTTCAAAGCTCTTTCAAATCAAAACAGGTCGGGCAGCCCCATAAACCAGGGGGTCGCATATTTACCACCCATCTAATCAAAGATATGAGTCAAGTTTGCTTCTAAAAATATTCATCATAAACTAATCAAGATCTTTTGGAGACTAAACGAAGAATTCCAAGAATTAAAAAAGCATTAAATTAAAATAATTTAGACAACTGCTAAAAAGGACAAGATCGGTTAATAGACTAGGCTAGGAAAAGCCTCACACGAACCGCCTTATACCGGAATATATCAATATAATCGATTTATTTATTGCAAATCAAATTATTTAATAATTCTTTGAGACAAACCCAGTTTTGGGCAACGTGAGGCCAAAGCCAGGTCTGAGCTCATGGGATATAAATAAATATAATCCGAGAATCATATATTTTGTTCTTTTCCCGGTTCCTATTTACATTTAACCCCGTGACCTTTGGTCAAGGTTTGGCTCCTCCAATATTTGGTTTAATCGTCTTTAAATTCCCCCGCCTCATTACACATTACGGAGCCGGTGGACACAGACTTCCGGTTTAAAGACTTCCGCATAGATGTAACAGTAAACAAGTTGCCGATCGAACCTCTGCGGCGATCAAGCTGGCCCAGCAATAAAAATATGTAAATGGAAACAAAGCCAAACAAAAAGGCCAATGCTGCGCGAAAATACACACACACTATTTTGAAGCTAGCCTCGTGTTAGTCTACACTGCAGACGATCAAAGCATTGGAGTTATAATGTATATTAAAATAAATATTGTTGATCTTCAAATACACTACCTTTATGACAACATGACGTATACGCAATATTGAACTCAGACTACGAAGAAAACATGTCGCCTGCTTTATATTATTCGTTACGCGTCGTATGCGTTAACTGTTTAAATAGTTGAAAAATTCTATTTAAACCTAATTTCAATAAAATACTTTTCGTTTACTTAGACATTCAAGGCCACTTTTAATTTATGTCTAAAATAAAATTGTTAGCTCTTTGATCCAACAAGTCCAAATAGTCCAAAGTCCTCTCCAGAAAGAGCAGCCAAGAAAAGTGAACCCCGAAATCGATTGCTGTCTCGACTTCGTCTTCAGTTGGCTGATTAAACATCAGGAAATACAAAATGCTAAGCAGGCAAAAGCAAATTGTAACAGGGCCCAAAGTCAGCCGCGAAGCAAACGAGTTCTCGGGCCAAAGGCAACGGCTATAACGCTTTTGATAAGCGGCCAAAACTCGTTCGCATTTGGACCGTTGCACGAGGTGGGGGATGGAGAGCCAAAGGGTGGAGTGGCGGGGGTCCTAGCCAGGTAGCCCCATTGACTGATTATTGCTATTAATGCGAATGCGATGCTGCGAGTTGGCCGCTTGCTGGTTTTTGCCATTTGCATTGACATTGACTTTGACCGAGAAATTATAAATCGAAGCCAATGTGACGCATACTGGCGGTCAATACACATGAATGTATGCATCTGTATAATATGAATTAGTATTCGAATTTGGTGGGCTTTAAATTCTGACATTTTTATGCAACCACCACATAACATATAATTTGAATACAACAAAGCAATGCATTTTTAATAACGAATACAAGTACTTTATGGAAAATGGGTTCCTGACATTCGAGTGACAGTTTATTTCCATTCAGGTGATCCATCAAGCCGCTGCGAAAAGTACTTGAACCGAGCCCAATTGTTACCCTGGACATGCTCCATCGATTCAATCAACCTCCAAGACATGCAAGCACCCAACCACCCACCGCAGATTTTTCGGCAATCGGTCAAAGTCAATGGGTCAAAGACGCAGAGCGTTCAAGTTCAAGCCCCAAAGAGATTAGAAAAATTACTTAAGACTAGATCAAAAAACGGCATTGACCGTCATGTCATGGCACACAATTAAAATTAGAAAACTTTTGTAGCCATTAGCCGAAATCAGTTGGGTTTATTGGCAATATTTAGCATAGCTTTGCTCAGAAGTTTCGACCCCACCAAAAAAAATCCAATCGAATACGATGCGGTGTATCCAATGGATGCGACCGTCTTCGCATTTCGTTATTGTCTTCTATTTCCTGGTTCGCCGACGAATATTTCGCATTATCTTGAATTAATTGTTGCATATTATAGCGACAAGCATTGACCTCAATTGGCGAGGGTGCGAATCTGTGTTAGTGATAAACAAAGTTTGGATACTTTGGAACCTACGTGAAGCAGAACGCGCAAATAAATGCGAGTCTTAAGTTAATAATGTTTATTCGATTTCTTCTCATTAAAAACGGATATTTAAACATAACCAAAATTGAACCATCATCTATCAAAACCAAGTCACATGTGAATACATATCCGCAAAGAACTTGTTATTAAGGGAGGAAACCTGAATATGAAGATCTATCTTGAAGCCTGAATATAAATTGTTAAATATTTTTCATCTCTAAATGATGACAAGCAGCAAACATTTACGATTCGATGATTTGACATAAACTTAATTCGATTCCGTTCCAAATGGTATTTAACTTTATCTGCACACCTTCGCCTCTGAAAATCACTATAGAAAATGTAAATTCTTAACTAATATAGAGTATGATATCTATAAAATTTTTATTAAGAAACAGAATTAGTTCTAAGAACTTGTGAAGGTACACCTTTTAATTCGTTTTATATCTTTAATAAGAACATATATTTCAACCCAAAACTTGTTTTTAGTATATGTATTTACATCCAAGTTTTAAATAAGCTTGTAACTATTTATCATTCCTTTAAATATAATACTATAAAGATGTAAAACATGAAGGACCGATTAAAAAATAATTAAATGTTTTTTAATATTAAAATGGTCTTTTCTCACAAATGCTGTATTTTCGAAAAATGGTCAATAAAATTCTTATGAATAAGTACTTTTAAATAAATTTAAAACCGTTAAAAAAGGGTAGCCAATAAGGGCGTTGCCACGTTGAGGAAAAAAGGAACAGCGTTGCCAGAGTAGCTATCTTTTCTTGCATAATTTACTTATACCAACTCGGCCACACTGCTGTTATCAGCCGAATTTAATCAACATTTCTCATTGTTTGTGTTTTATTTTGGTGCCTCCTCTCTCCCGCCACTCCTCTTCTTTGAATCGGCTCATTGTCATGGCGACAGAGAGGTTCTCCATCCCAGTCCGCATTTAAGGGACTGTCAGCAACGAGCTATGACTGTGCGAGGAATTGAAGCCATCACGTTGAACGGATCGGTGGGCAAGGAAAGTGTGAATTTGAGCGACGAGCGGGGCATTCCCGAAGCCGGAGCAATGAACTCAGTGGAACGTTACCGACAGGAGTGGGCCCAACTGCTTAGTACTCTCGATGGCGAGCCAGAAACCCTGCGTCGAGCTGCATTCGCCGGCGACCTCAAGATGTCAAAGTTCCGGAGCATCCACTGGGCATTGCTACTCAGAGTTCTCACCTCAGAGCATCGAAGTTGGATCAGTCAACGCCTTCAGCAACGAGTGCGTTACGACAAGTTTCGAACCGACTACGTACGCAACCCACATCAAATAGCCCTGGACTGCAACGACGATCCTCTGTCCCAGGAGACGCAGAGCGTTTGGAACCAGTATTTCAGCGATCAGGAGCTCTTCGCAGTCATACGACAGGACGTGGTTCGCACGTTTCCGGGCGTTGATTTCTTTCGCAAGCCCCTGGTGCAGAACGCGATGGTCAACATCCTGTTCTATTACGCTCGGGAGCATCCATACATGTGCTATCGCCAGGGTATGCACGAGATCCTGGCACCAATCATCTTTGTAGTGTACAGCGACCACCAGTCCCTGTTGCACTTTAGTGAGCTTGCCAAGACAGACATAAATCCCACGCTGCTAGACGTCCTGGATCCAGCTTACCTCGAGGCGGATACTTAGTAAGGCACATACAAAATGCCTATACAAAAAACCACTAATTAAAATGTATTATTTTTAAAGCTCTCTATTCTCTCGGTTGATGGCATCTGTAGAGTCGTACTATCGCGTCTCAAATCTTGTCTCGACGCCCGGCGGCCACATAGAACAGCGCATTGAGGTGTGTCGAACCCCACACCAGATTTTCCATCTGTTTGTATCGCATATCATTTAATTTCGATTTCAGTCCCCCGGGGAAAACGAGCAGCAAACAAAAGCGGAGGTTATCAGCCAGTTGAACTTTATACGCGACAAGATACTTGCCAAGCAGGACCAGCATTTGCACCATTATCTCCAGAAGATGGAAATTCCGCTTCATATATTCGGCATGTGAGTAATATGCAGGAGTTTTAAATACAATTTTCATCCAAATCTTATATACATCTTAAAGACGCTGGTTACGCCTTCTTTTTGGTCGGGAGTTCATGCTGCTGGACCTGCTCTTGCTTTGGGACGCAATATTTGCCGATAGCGACCGCTTCGATCTGCCCAACTACATTCTGGTGGCTATGCTGGTGCACATCCGTGATAAGCGTGGGTATTCCCCAATAGTACTTCCTAGCTCTGACAAATTTAGTAACTCTTCTGATTGCAGTGCTCCTTAGCGACTACACCACATCTCTGACATATCTTATGCGCTATCCGGGTAATGTGGACGTCCATTTGGTGCTGCGCCACGCACTTTTTATGCTGAACCCCAAGGATTTTGATTATCCGGCCAACGCTTTCACTTGTGTGTCCTTCACAAACAACTCGGCGGGTAAAGAAGCAATTGTGCCAGCTGCCCGACCCCGTACCGTTTCGGAAACCTCATCAGTGGCAACCACCGGTAGTCAGATAGATCGGCAGATTACCTATATGCAGGAACGCAATGCGGCAGACTCCTCGGCGCTAGCCAAACTACAAGACTCTCATCGGGTAGCCATGGACGGGTACCTCGAAAATGTGGGTAGCCTTTCTGAATTTAAATTTTCTTATTTTAATACTCTTGGAGAGGGAATAATAATTTTAATCAAAAGTGTGCAACTCAGTGAAAGAGATATCTCCGACCCTATAAAGTATATATATGTATTCTTAATCAGGATGACCATCTGAGTTGATGTATGCATGTCCGTCTATCGGTCTGTCTGTGGGCCAACCCCATTTTCACGAAAAATGGGGAAAAAATCTAAAAAATATTTTGTGCCAAATATATTTTTAAAATGCCAAATGGTGGGGAATCGATCTAGAAATCGTTTAAGGTACTCCGCTTGAGAATCGGATAAGAATTGAGGAAGATATAGCCATCACTGTGGGCCATATAGGGGAAAACCCCATTTTTAAGGGATCCCATCAGAAAATTGGACAAAAAATCTGAAAAATATTTTGTCTCAGGGTTTTGATGCAGAAAGGTGGAGAATTGATCTAGAAATCGTTTGAGGTACTCCGCTTGAGAATCGGATAAGAATTGAGGAAGATATAGCCATCACTGTGGGCCATATAGGGGAAAACCCCATTTTTAAGGGATCCCATCAGAAAAATGGACAAAAAATCTGAAAAATATTTTGTCTCAGGATTTTGATACAGAAAGGTGGAGAATTGATCTAGGAATCGTTTAAGGTACTCCGCTTGAGAATCGGATAAGAATTGAGGAAGATATAGCCATCTCTGTGGGCCATATAGGGGAAAACCCCATTTTTAAGGGATCCCATCAGAAAATTGGACAAAAAATCTGAAAAATATTTTGTCTCAGGGTTTTGATGCAGAAAGGTGGAGAATTGATCTAGAAATCGTTTGAGGTACTCCGCTTGAGAATCGGATAAGAATTGAGGAAGATATAGCCATCACTGTGGGCCATATAGGGGAAAACCCCATTTTTAAGGGATCCCATCAGAAAAATGGACAAAAATTCTGAAAAATATTTTGTCTCAGGATTTTGATGCAGAAAGGTGGAGAATTGATCTAGAAATCGTTTAAGGTACTCCGCTTGAGAATCGGATAAGAATTGAGGAAGATATAGCCATCTCTGTGGGCCATATAGGGGAAAACCCCATTTTTAAGGGATCCCATCAGAAAATTGGACAAAAAATCTGAAAAATATTTTGTCTCAGGGTTTTGATGCAGAAAGGTGGAGAATTGATCTAGAAATCGTTTGAGGTACTCCGCTTGAGAATCGGATAAGAATTGAGGAAGATATAGCCATCACTGTGGGCCATATAGGGGAAAACCCCATTTTTAAGGGATCCCATCAGAAAAATGGACAAAAAATCTGAAAAATATTTTGTCTCAGGATTTTGATACAGAAAGGTGGAGAATTGATCTAGGAATCGTTTAAGGTACTCCGCTTGAGAATCGGATAAGAATTGAGGAAGATATAGCCATCACTGTGGGGCATATAAGGGAAAACCACATTTTTAAGGGATCCCATCAGAAAAATGGACAAAAAATCTGAAAAATATTTTGTCTCAGGATTTTGATGCAGAAAGGTGGAGAATTGATCTAGAAATCGTTTAAGGTACCCCGCTTGAGAATCGGATAAGAATTGAGGAAGATATAGCCATCACTGTGGGCCATATAAGGGAAAACCACATTTTTAAGGGATCCCATCAGAAAAATGGACAAAAAATCTGAAAAATATTTTGTCTCTGTGTTTTGATGCAGAGAGGTGGAGAATTGATCTAGAAATCGTTTGAGGTACTCCGCTTGAGAATCGGATAAGAATTGTGGAAGATATAGCCATCACTGTGGGCCATATAAGGGAAAACCACATTTTTAAGGGATCCCATCAGAAAAATGGACAAAAAATCTGAAAAATATTTTGTCTCAGGATTTTGATACAGAAAGGTGGAGAATTGATCTAGGAATCGTTTAAGGTACTCCGCTTGAGAATCGGATAAGAATTGTGGAAGATATAGCCATCACTGTGGGCCATATAAGGGAAAACCACATTTTTAAGGGATCCCATCAGAAAAATGGACAAAAAATCTGAAAAATATTTTGTCTCAGGATTTTGATGCAGAAAGGTGGAGAATTGATCTAGAAATCGTTTAAGGTACTCCGCTTGAGAATCGGATAAGAATTGAGGAAGATATAGCCATCTCTGTGGGCCATATAGGGGAAAACCCCATTTTTAAGGGATCCCATCAGAAAATTGGACAAAAAATCTGAAAAATATTTTGTCTCTGTGTTTTGATGCAGAGAGGTGGAGAATTGATCTAGAAATCGTTTGAGGTACTCCGCTTGAGAATCGGATAAGAATTGTGGAAGATATAGCCATCACTGTGGGCCATATAAGGGAAAACCACATTTTTAAGGGATCCCATCAGAAAAATGGACAAAAAATCTGAAAAATATTTTGTCTCAGGATTTTGATGCAGAAAGGTGGAGAATTGATCTAGAAATCGTTTAAGGTACTCCGCTTGAGAATCGGATAAGAATTGAGGAAGATATAGCCATCACTGTGGGCCATATAAGGGAAAACCACATTTTTAAGGGATCCCATCAGAAAAATGGACAAACAATCTGAAAAATATATTGTCTCTGTGTTTTGATGCAGAAAGGTGGAGAATTGAACTAGAAATCGTTTAAGGTACTCCGCTTGAGAATCGGATGAGAATTAGGGAAGATATAGCCATCACTGTGGGCCATATAATAGACTGCTTTTCATCCTATAGCTGTGCTCCGTTATTCCGTGTTTTTTTTGGAACACAGATTTTCAACAGATTTTATTTTGGGTCGGACTTTATGATGCGACTTACCGAATTCCATAAGGGTCGGTCGACTGATTGAACAATCTTCACCGCAAGGGTATATTACTTCGGCTTCGCCTGAAGTTAGCTTTTCTTTCTTTTCTAATTATTTATGTCTTCTATTTCAGAGCCCTGAACTCCTTCGTCTGGAGTTGAAGAACGCCCAAACGGTGATAAAAATAGCACGGAGCAAACTGCAAACGTACTTGGGAACAGTACGCCACCACGTGGCCAAGCAGGCCAATACCAACGAGGAGCTTGGCCGAACGCTGGACAATATTGAAGAGCTGTGCAGCTTTCTGGATGTGAAGTGTATGTTTCCGCTCCATACCAGATCCGCTCCCATTGATCAGGCTCTAGAGGCCAACGAGCAGAAGCAAATCAACAACTCCAGCCGGCCAAAGAAGGTTTCGCCTGGGGCTTCTCCCACGGTTACAGGGCCACCACCTTCAATCAGCAGTGGTGGCTATGAGCTGCCCGAGAATGCCTTTATGCACAGTTCCATGCGACGACTTCTGGGAGAGCTGCGGGAAATCGAGCTATCAACCATCACCAGCGACGAGAAGCCGGGCACCGATTCAGCTTCAACCCTAAACGGTCTTCCGGCAGCGGAGCCCCAGCAGCGTCACCCGAACTCACTAAGCTGAGCTGATACTTCTGAATCCTCTCCAATCGACTGACCATGAATTTAGACTTAAAACAAAAAAAAACAACCACCAAGTGGTGAATCAAAATAATTGAAAGACATACAGTTTAATTATATTTGGACTTCGCAAAAGTCAGTAAACTAAATAGGTTGATCCAATATTTTGAGTGCTTATAACAATTTTAAATTATTTTTACTGGGCGGGAATGTTTCTCAAACAAAACCCCGATGGGTTCGAAAAAAAAAAGGAAAACATGCAATTCTCCAAACAATTAGATTCATTTTGGTGGTCAAACTAGAAAGTGTGGATGATCGTGTGCATATTTTGTATAAATCTAGAAAGGATCGTAAGAAAAATACGTTTTTGTCTTTAAACTTAAAACTTTTGTAACATACACAAATTCCGAATCAGAATCCGCCTGGATTAGGGTAATTAAATAAATGACAGTGACGAACTTAAGAGCTATAAATGGGGGATTAACAATATATACTTTAAATTCTATGGCCTGCGGTTGTGGTTCATCATTCCCCTATATGGAGACAGCTGTGCTCCATTGCTGGTCAAATTGTTGCGTATCATGGGTGAAGATGATTGGAGTTGTTGCTGAAGTTGCGGATGTTGTTGCATTTGCTGCTGCATGTGCTGATGTGGATGTTGTTGCGGCGGCTGCAACTGTGGTTGTGGCATTGGTTTTGGTGAATTCATAATCTTGGAGTTATTATTATTGTTAACGCGTATCTGCCTCAGGGTGGACACGGCGTTGCCGTTACTCAAGTCTGTCGGTTGGTTTGAGGTTGCCTCTAATGAATGCCGACCGTTGATGCGTCCCATCGAAGTGAGCTTGTCTAGTGGCACACAACGAACAGCCTCCGGATCCTGTCGATTCGTCAACTTCACTTGGGTATTGTTCAGCATGCGCCGCAGGTTCTCTGCCACCTCGTTGTGGTTACCATTGAGGGCTACTGGGTGAAAAGTTCCTGTACTTCTCCTGTGTTTTGGGTGGCTTGCCTCCGGTTCATTGTTGTTTTGGGTTTTTTGATCATCATCGGGTATGGTTATAACATTGATCTGCCCTCGATCTGGATTAGGTGCCTTAGCAGCTACTGGAGATACAGCTGGTGGCGATGATTCTGTCGCCGATGCAATGCCGGACGATCCGGATCCAGAACTGCAGCCAGGTAAAGCGGAATTTCTTTGCATGGCTTTGACCTCCAACCCGCACACTAACTGCATTATCTTGGCCTTTCCTTCAGCCGCCAGATCGGCTGGCAGTGCTTTCATAGTGGGAGCAATACTATCAAAAAATAGATCCACTACATGTCGTTGCTCTGGAGCTTTAGTGGAGACATCATTCGATTGAATTGGTGGAGGGGGCGCTGCCTCCCGCTCGAGGGTTCTCAGGCGTGAAACTATGTCAAAGGATGAACAGATCATGTCCTTGGCCATGTCTAGCTGGCTACGCTCATCGTGCCGCTTCCCCATGGAGTCTCGTAGAGCGCGCAGAATACGGCGTACTTCCATCGACCGGGAACGTTTAGACGGGGGCTCTGCAGTACTGCCATCGGATCTGGAAAATATTGTAGGTTAGAAGAGGATGCATTCTCCTACAGATAAACCCTTACCTTAGACTCAGATCGGCGTCACTCTCCTTGTCGACTTCCATGCCGGACTCCGGCACCTCGGCCTCGGCAGTAGCCTCTGAGGTGGAATGAGATGCCGCTGGAGGGGGCACAGCGGCAGCCTTTTGCCTTTCGAGGTTTTCGGAGTGCTTACGCGAGGAATCGTGCTGCCGCAAAAAGAAAAGCTTGATGGGCAGACGGGTTTCACAAATGCGGCAGTGGCAATGGTTCTCGTCGTTGGAATCAGGTTCCAGCCAATTGTACTTGGCCTGTAGCTCCGCCATGGCTGCTTTGTGCTTCGCTTCGCCAGTTGTTAGCGCAGCAGCTGTGGCCACCGCAGCAGAGATGTTATCAGAGTTCTTTGAAGACGCAGGCTCAGGAGAACCTGCTCCGGCTTTCTTGCGTTCGATGCGCAAGCGAATGTGTCGGCTGGAGCGTTGGTGTTTCGAGGCAAACTTTGAGGTCGGTATGAATACCGAAACTTCACAGAGCTTACACCATCCATAGTTGCGCCGCTCCTCGCTCTTCTTGTACGAGAGCCACGGAAAACGAGCCTTCCAAACCATCACCTTACCCTTTATTGTGGCCGGAATGGGCTTCGCGAAGGCCTTGGAGGTAGAGGGTCTAACCTGCTTCAGTAGTTTTTCGGTGTCTACGGTGCCAGAGTCCGTGTTGCTCTGTTCCTCGTCCTCATCTTCCTGGGCATCTTTCTCAGCCGGTGGCAAAAGCGCCTGTCGAGCCTTATACTGCTTTACTAGCTTTTGATGTCGAGCGCTGAACTCGTGGCGCGCCTTGGCGGCATCATTGTGGAAACGCACGCGACAGAACTTGCACAGCTGGATTTTTCTATCCTTGGAGTAGCAGAGCCACGGATAGAAACGAATTCCGGCACGGATTTTCGCCTTTCTTTGTTCCCCGACGTTCCTAGAAGAATTCCTGTAAGATATTCATGTTTTTTACATAATCTTTTGAAAGTAATGACAGAGAATCTCACTTTTTGGCTCGTTGTGTCTCGGACCAGTTGTCGTCGGTGACGTTGTTGTAGTCCTCGCTGGCTTCGGTATCCGAAGGAGCTCCTATATCGGCGGGTACTTCGAACTCCCCATCGGCCACCGGCTCTTCTGCCTGATTCGCTTCATCATCACCTTCTTCAAAGATAAATTCGCGGGTTGCCTTGGAGGAGCCCACCGCAGCTAAGTGCTTTTCCGATTTCTCGTGATTCTTACGCTTTATTTCGGAGTTTCCGTACATAAAACGCTTTTGACAAACACTGCAGTAGGCGATAGTGGGCTCTTCTGGATCAGCTACCATCCAGGGATGAACATCGGCGTAGACCGACCAGATGCCGCGTTGCAAAGGACTATGGAAGTAATGAAAATCGTAAAAAATAAGACTTATATTGTAAATGAAATAAATTATTACCGCTTCTGTTGGTTTTCTAAAGTATTCTGACAGTGTATCTTGGCCTTGCAGTGGCGCAGGAAGCTAGTGATGACCATGCGGCAGTTACAGAGAGTGCATCGGCACTGCTGGGGACTGGTATCTGGAATGAGTTCGCACCACCGACCAGGATCATCGTTGGCATTTATCTCGCCATTCATCATCACAACAGTTGTATCTTCCTCCTCCTGCTCCGGTTCACCACTCGGCTGCTGTTCCGATGATTGTTCTCCTGCTTCAGCGATGCTACTCCGTTTTCGCTTGCGGTTGGGTTTATCAGACTCGTACTGTCGGACCGCCTCCAAATGACACTTGGAAGCCTCATGCCGCTTCCGCAAATAAACAAACTCCACATTCATACGCACGTTGCACACTCGGCACATACCGACAGTTCCTGTCGGCTGAGCTCTCTCCAGCCAGGGATGCCAGCGGAGCCAGCGAAGCCAGTTAAAGTTGTTGAAGGCTTCGATCTCACTTACGCGCTTCTGCTTCATTGCGGCCACGTAGCTGTTCGTTCCGAACTCATGCTTCACTTCGATGTCACTGGTTCTGTGGATAAGTTATGAGAGTTATATATGGTTCTTATCATCAGAAAAGCTTTAGTCTTGCAGAGGTCTCTTTCTTTAAAACTACAAGGAAATACAAGCTTCGGGGGCTTTGTTTATCAACTTATAGATTGAGAACCTATTACCCATCAATGGAAAGGACAAGTCCTATTTATACTCACGTTCCACGCGCCTGCTCCTCGCTCTTCTTGAAAGCAACGTAGTTGCACTCCCGCTCCTGATGGTATAGCGACATGTTATGTTGCTGGATGTGCTTGGAGCGGTTGTTAACATTGATGTTCATGTTGCAGTAAAGACAAAATGCATAGGTGCCATCAGAGTCTTCGTGCAGAATCCATGGCCAGCGCTTCATCCAGAGAAGCCATCGTTTGGCGCGGGGCATCTTCTTGCGGGTGATCAGTGACTTTTCATTACTGCTGTCGTCCATACTGAAGTCATCTTCGTCGTCCTGGCTTTCGGCGTCTTGGGTATCAAGGCGTTCCAACAAACCCATCGGATCAGCGTACGAGTGATTGCTTTCTGCATCGCTGCTGGGTTCCGTCTTGGTGGAAACGTTGTCCCCCTCCGGTTCTGGCTCTGCTGGTTGGTTGTCATCTAGTGGCTTCTCATCAGGATTGTTAAGAGCCGATTGAAGCTCTGCCACCATCGGAACATGATCCTCGTCAATGTCTGTATCCACCAAATCGTGCTCTCCTTGCGCCGGCCTTTCTTCAACCCTTTGGTCATCATCGTCATCGTCATCCACTAAAATTACCATGGGTACCCTTTCCTCAGGCAAGTCCTCTGCTATAACTGAGCCTTCTACATCCATGATTTTCAGCTCGTGATCCGACGACGCCGCAGAAGTCTCAATATTGGCATTTTCGCTACGATTCGCAGACGCCATTTTGTCACCGGTATCCGACGCTTCGTTAAAATGTTCGACCTGGCCGTTTTCCACTTCCATTTCTAGTAGCTTAATTAGACCAGACGGATACTGGGGCGGTATCAAAAGAGTCCGGAAGTCACAGCATTCGTTTTAAATTACAAGAAACTTGAAAAATTAGAGTACAATGAAATCAGCGGAGAGCGGTGCTGGTCGAAAACAATGTTCGACAACACAAAAAATACCAGTCTTAGAAACCGCGCAAAAACAGTGGTTGAAAACAAAAGAAAAATGTTTCATGAAAACATTAAAGGAAATTGTTTAATTTCTGATTTAAGAACATATATCTGATCCAAATATATATAAATAGTTATAATTTAGTTGATTTACAATTTATGTTGCTTGTTTTTTATTTTATCAAGGATAATATTTAAGTTCAACGAATAGTGTTTAGGTTCAGTGTCCAGGGTATTTTCTGCACACCACAGAACGGTCATACTGAACTACATTTGTTTATATTCTGCTAATTGGTTTCCCAAATGGCAAATCTCCAGTTAACTCAGGAAAAACTGTAAGTATTAATGTTCTTCAGGCCACTCGCCACACCCCATTCACGTTAATTTCACAAAGTGATGCCCTCCGATCGGAGTATCGGCCACGCCGACCGTGCGCTCTGCTGAAATATCCGCGGCCCAAGACGAAACCGGAGTACCAGGCGATATATCCGTGGCTGCTGCCCGACGAAACTGATCCGCACTTTGTCTTCTGCGCTGTGTGTGAATGCCGGCTAAGCTGCAAGCGATCTGATCTCGGAAAACACGAGGGCAGCATCAAACATACGGAAAATGCACAGCGAAAATCCTTGGCTCCCAAACAAGAGCCAGGAGCTGATGGAAGTGGCGTTATGAAATGGGAGTACAACGACGAGGAGGAGTGCCAGCTTGCCTATGGTTCCAGAGCTAATCATCAGGATGAGGAGGAGGATGAAGGCGACCAGGAACTCGACTCGGATGGAGACTGTGATGAGGGTGACGAGGAAGAGGGCGAACCAGACGGGGTTTCAGAGCCCCAAAATGATTTTGAGGCAGAGCCTTTGTCCAAGCAGCAGCGACGCATCTCTGAAACAGATTCGCAGCAATCAGGATTGCTGGATTACTTACCACTTCAGGTAACCATTAATGAATTGCCGGCTGGAGCCGGAACAATATCAGGACCTTCGTTTCCCACTTCTACATCCAACTCCACTCCCCAACCGCCCCCTTGCCGCATTACCATTAAAAAGGTGGCAGGGCCGTTGGCTAACATGGCTACTCCCACTACGCCGCCCAATTCTGGGCTTCCGCAGGAGATTAGTACAAAAGCTACCATCACACCAATAACTGGAAGCTGTTACACTTCTTCCCCTCGGGCTGCGCCCGCCTATGCCCCTCGCCAGCTGCACTGCTACCAACCGTCGCCAATCTCTTCTCAGTCTGCTCCGGAGCGTCCACCCCGCGATTCCGTGGAACTTTTCTTTGACAGCATTTGCGCCACCGTCAAGAGCCTGCCACCAAAACTGGCTACCGAGGGTAAAATTCGTGTGATGCAGCTTATTGGCGAGCTCGAACTGAGAGCTATGGGCGAACAGGAGTCATCTTCCCAGGTGCCCGGGCAACCCACCCACGATCTCGCCGGAAACTCTGCCGGATCACCTCCTGAAGCTTCCGGCAGCGGTCAACAGAATGCCACAGTGGCTTCCACCACCAAATAAATTACAAGCCACGCTCAAATTGACAAATTAGATCTTCTAGGGCTTTCATTTTTTCACATTTGTTAATTGATTTCCTTTAATAAAGTTATTTATTAGTTGTTATAGTTATTCAATTTGGGTTTCTTATTAACTTTTCAAAAGGAAAACAACTTTCGTACCTCAATATGTGTAAGATCTCTTGATGAAAATATTTTTCCAATTTTGTGATTTGAGAAATAAAGCCAAAAAGTGTATTAAAAATTACAAAACAATGTAAAAACGTTTTGGAGCTTGAAAGTGAAAGAATAAATGGATTTTGGAACAGTTCGAAAATTAAATATATTGCCCTTTCATTGGAAATTTATCAGATTTAAGATAGTCATTTTATTTTAGTTTAATAAGACTTTTTTATGAATGATCTCAACTACATACATACATATCTAGCAAATATCTATAATATTGAATTTTTCATGGTATGTCTGCCAACTGGAGCCCTTTTCCTCATTAAGATATCATCGAGATACCGTAGCACGAGTTTCTGAAACTAAACATTGTTTCATGATGTCATTTTACTCGCTGACGATCAGTCAACGTCTCGTATACACGATATTACAAATTGTTCAGATAGTGTGTTTGTTTTATAAATATTAGTTAGGTAAGCTTTATTGTAAAAAAATTATCGAAAACATGAGCTATATCAGTAAGGCACTTAGAGTTGAGATTGGCAGGGGATTTTCCACATTTAGAACGCCTGTCTGCCCTCCAGCATAGCCTTTCCACAGTAGAACGGAAACTGCACGCCTTGCAGCAAAATGTCCGCTATGCCCTGGAAATAGTATATCGAATCAGTTAGTTGGTTTTTGGGGAAGGGTGTGGGTGGGTAAAGACCCATTGCCAGATATCAGTGTTGTTCATAAGCTCCAGTTGTGCGGCTCTGATAAGTTAAAGTCCCCGTAATGACTAATTGCTTAGAAATCTACATGACTCGATAAGCAAACTCAAAGCATTTTCACTTCAACCACGCCAGTTCCCCACTTTACTCCTGGAAATAATACTTACTGTGAGGGCTGGAATGCAGGAAGCGAATGCATAGACCCAGATGTAGAAGAACGCACAGAAGAATGCCACAAAGAAGGAGACGAACCAGAAGACCAGCAGCCAGAAGATGAACCACAGTGGATTGGGCATCGTGATGTGTGGGGTTGTTTGTTCAGAATGATTCAAGCTGGCGATAAGATAGTGAAAGGAATCTTTTTAGTGGGTGGGAAACAAAAATCATAAACGCTTATCAGCCGCCCGTCTATATAAAGCGAAGTCTGTTAAATGTTAAGTCCCTGCTTAAAATTCTGGAAAAATAATACCTCTTATCGTGCAATATCTTTTAAACACAAATCGTATAAAATAGGTCATCGCTGTTGCCGTTTCCGATTATAGATGACTTATGGGGTAATATAGGTTGTAAATGTTGGAAGTATGAATTGTATATAGTCATTCATAAAAGTCTAGCCTAGTCTAAAGAGATAAAAATTCTTTGGACTTATGAGGGAAACATTTTTAAATTCTGTAATTGGAATTCGTCTTCCATTTTTAATAGTCTAATAAAAAATTTATGAAAAAATGTTAAAAAAACCTATTTATACGTATGTATTTATGCATATGAATAAAAGAAAAAATAGATGAATGTGTAGTCATAGAAATAATATTTAAATATTCCGGTTTTCCACTCCTCAAAAACTGCACTTGCATGGCTTTCTTCTGCATTTAGATTTCACTTTGGAGTTCGTGACAAAAATGCGAACAACCATATTGGTTGGGGTTCCAAACTGAATTTAGTGGCACTGACGTCAAAACTGATTGTGCCCAAAAAAAGTCAGCGGGATTGTCGCTGGGGGGGGACTCTGAGGCCGAGACCTCGACCGCAGCGATTTCGTTCAGAATTCCATGTTTGACACTGATTAAAGATCGCAAAACAAATCGCAATGTCGTCATTATGCAAATCGCATTACTATCCAGTATGTACTTGGGGTGTGTCTTCTTAAGTCATCTCTGGCTAGCAGCGGGTCATAAAAGTAATTGCGAATCACTAACGAACCGGTTGGCACAATTAACATGATTCTCGGAGAAATTCGCATTCTTTTAATTTGCCTCAACAAATATAAAACATCTGCACTTTGCGATAATGGGTTTTGCCGAACTATGCGTAGAGACTTTATAAATACTTTGGCGCGCGCCCACGTACGATTGAAAACAGCTTAACAGCCACCAAAACACAAGGTGATATATTGGTAAAGCAAACAATAACAAACCAACCAGAAGATCGGCAGCGAAAGTCGATGTACTACGTACGAGGCTCAAAAACAGATTGAGAACCCCACAAACCGGCGCAACAAGTTGCAGTTTGTCATGCGTCGCACCACGCTCCGCCATTTGGAGTGGAGCTTCCGTTGGAAGCTTTCGCTCAAGCTCATCTGGCGAGAGTGGACTTATAAGTTTTGGAACGTGATTAGATATTAACAAAGTTTAATAAAGAAATAATTTGTTATTTAATAATATTATTTAAAGAATTTGATTATTATCCGCAATAAAATCAGAGTCTGATATGTACTATTTTTTTTATTTCTAGGCAATGTGATTTTTAATTTTTATTATAATTGATATACATAACAAGGTCTATAACCAGACATTATTAAACCCCTCTTTAAAAAATAAATGATATCGTTTAAAAATTTTAATCATAGCTTTGAAAAAGAATAAACATTACTATAAATAAAAATTAAATTCCATTTGAATTGATAGAATTCAAGAAAAACAAAATATAGAAAAATAAACAATGGTTTTAGTGTTGATGTAACACAGAATATTGAATGAAGAGTTCTTTTCGCACATTTGATTCAAACGGGTGTCCGCTTTTATAAACAAATCAATGTTTTGAAATTTTTTGAAACGGAAACATATTGCTTATAAATCTATAGAAATTTCAATAATATTTGTGTTTAATCTCCCCTCTGTAACTATAAAAAAGTTTGAAGCACAATTAAATTTTGAAATATAAGAGAAATGCCTTTTTTTACTTGTTTATGAAGATTTAAACAAAATTATTTTGATATTTAATAAAGATGTCAAAGTCAATCTGAAAAAAAGGTTCAAACTGTTATACCCAAAACACTGCGTTACTAGCAACAACTTGGACACACAGCTGAAGGCTAAAAGCTTTCTGCGGCTTATGCTCAATGTTTTCATATCAAATTTCCTACTATAATATGGAGGCTTAAGCCGAGTGCGAGTGTATATGCGAGTGTGGCTAGAAAATTTTTCATCCCGGACGCCGACGCGGCTTTTGCAGCTGTTGTTGTGCTTGGCTGCTGCAGCAACTCGGCATTTATTTCTCAGTTCTCCGCATTCCGTTGAGAGTCGTCGGGCACGTTGGTTCCGTTCTTATCTGCAAATTTTTAACATTTTATTGGCGGTATGGTAGAGCAATTCAAAAAAATTTATAAATCGGAAGATTCGACTAGTTCTCATTAGCTGAACGTAAAGGGGTCCTGTGAACAAGTGTAGCATACTTCGTGGCTCAAAACAGCTGCGGTAGCCTTTGTGCCCTATATGTATGTGGTTGTGTGTGTGTGTGTGTGTGAGACCAAGAGTAAGATTTTGACATGTGTGTGTGGGTCTGTTTGAAATTCACGCTTAAAACGTGTGCGATCGATTTTCGGGGGTTTGCCAACAAACAAAAACATATGAGGATTTTAAAACGAATACTTTGTTACAGTTAGTTAAATGTTAAATAAGTCTGTAAATAAAAACATTTACTCAGCTGAGAGCTAAACGCACTCATCAATTTTCAAATAAACAAACAAAGCGGCCACTTGAGATAATGAAATTTTGGGCCTAACCAACAACAAAATCGGCAAGTGTTCACTCTCCAAAAGCTTTTTGCCAAAAATACGGAGAGCGGAAAGCCGTACAAAATATATAGAGAGTTCCGTTGCGGCTGTATAACAGTAATACCAAAAGCTGCCAGAGAGCCCAGTAACGGAAAATGGTCAAAAGCGCCGCATACTGTGAAAGTCGTCAGAGAGAAAGCCTATCTGTGTGTGAGCGTGTGTGTGTCTTTCGAACAGTTCAAAGTACGCATTGCGATGGCATTCGGAAGAGTGTTTGTGAGAGGACTGAAACGAACAGACACAGGGCGACTAGGGCCACAACAGCGGCAACAACAATTTCGGTGTTTTTGGGAGCCTGCGGGGTTGGAGGGTGGAGGAAAACCCCCCATATTCAGGAGAAGCTCCGGCCCAGGTGGCTTGGGGCTTCAGTTTAGCTAGAGACATCGTCGTGTTTTGATCGAAGCGGATCAAAGCGGATCGAGCGGTATAATCCAGTGGTCTTCAATATAGTGCGCATAAGAAGTATTTAAAACAAGAGGAAATTGTTCATAAAAACAGTTGTTAATTAAAATAAAAGTAAAATCTAAAAATATATAAATCAGAAGACAAATCAATATTTAAATCTAAGCTCCAAAAACACACTAACACTTTTAACACTACGCCACGCACACACCCATGCATGCATATGGCATAACACAAGCAGCAAAGGATGTTCGCTAGCCAGATTTGTGTGTGAGAAAAGTGAAGTGAAAGGAATACCGAATATAACCCATACCCGATATATTTGCAGTTCAAAGGTTAAAAGAGAAATTGGAAAATTTTTAAGTAAATAACAAACATAAACAGTGACATGTAGTTAGCGACCGAGGGCAGCATTCACAGCCCATCGCACAAAGAAAAAAAAGGTGAGTTTCGATACCTCATAGCCCTCCTTCATATAAAACACCCCGTCTCCTCCTTATTGTTTTCGTTCCCGGATTCCTTGTTCGATTTTCGCATTTAACGATTTTTGATGAGCTCCGTGATCCGTAACAGAATCAAGAGAGACAGAGACACACAAAAAACCGTCAGGGAGAGAACAACAGGATACCCGGGATTGGAACGGAGTCTTACAAATTCATAATTTGTCTGTTTACATACGAGGTCCTGGTCACTGGTATTGGTGGTTTATCGAGGTGGTTGTCGGTGCCTCAATAACCGTTCGCTTGCCCCACATTTCGCCGCACAACGAAAGCGAAAAGCCTGTTGGTTTTTTTTTTTGTGGGGCACGTAGGCTCCATAGCTTCCGCTCGGTCGGCTCACGCGCACACCTGTACCCACTCTCATACACACTTATACACACCATCTTTTTGGCAACTCACATCGAGGGCAAGCACATTTAAAATTCTGATGAAAAGACACTTTTACTTTATTCCTTCACTCGATGGCCGCACGGAAAAATATAATCGACGATTTGTAGGCTACATTTTATTGAAAGGTTTCAAACCATTATTTATTATTTGAATTCTAAAGTTATGACAAATATTCCCTAAAAAATATGCTAAAATGGCAATGAAGCCTGAAACTACAATATCAAAAAATTCCTATATATTTTTCTCTCCATGTAGATTCACTGCTTTCTTCATTTCTCCCGATTATTGTGTACCCGAGTGCGTGAGTGGGCTTAATTCGCGGTGGAGTGGGTGTAAATATTTTGCTAGATTCCCTGTCGCACCACATTGTCTGTTCGCCCTGTTGCCCACATGTCGTTTAATTCAACTGTCGATTTATCACACTTAACCCATACAAACTATACACTGTACACCATACAGTGTATATGTAGTACCATATGCCGCATGGTTATCATGCAGCATCATCATCATCATCTCATGATCGTCGCGTCATCATCTGGCTGCGGCTTATTAGATAAAAACGCTGATTAGTTGCTCAGATCCATGCGATTGCGTGCCGGGCTTAGTTTAGCTCGCTTTATGTGCAGTTCGGCTCTATTCAGATACTTTTTTTTCATATTTTGTTGGGGACTATTTACATATTACTACCAACGATACCCAGATACATTTTTGTGGGATGTATCTATGAGATAGATGCTAAATGGAATCAACTAGTTTGCTGGGCTTTGATGGGGGTCTGATAGGGGATTTTTTATGTATCTGTGAACTGCATTTTTGATTGAGATTTATGTTGTTTTCATGCATTTGCATTGTAGGGTTTGATTCACTATTTCTCCAATACAAAAATATAATATTTTTATAGTTGTTATTTTTCAAAAATTCGGTTACAAATATTCTATTTTTAAGTTTTTTTCGTCGTTTTTTGTAGGTCATAAGTCTCTGCCATTTCGTAAAACACTTTTTTCATTTTTTGTAGCCATATATAAAAGTCGTGATTTACTGCCGACTTGTAAAGCTTATTTTTAGGAAAGATAGAATAACCAGAAATATACGTATTACGTACATATATTTACTGAAAAGTTGTATATTGTTTGGTGGTATAAATGTATATTTAGTTTCTCGTTTTTTTGTCGTTAATAAATAATCCGGAAATCGTCCGAGGGGTGTCTACGAGCTGGTTTATGTTTTCTGATTAATGAAAAATCAATTTAAAATAAATTGTATTTTTCCTGATTAATGTATTTTTCCTGTTTAAATGTATATAAATGATAAATAATTATTTGTCATTGCATACTGTTTAATTTTTCACAATATGTGTAAATAGAGCGTTATTAATTCCGGGAAAACAATACACGTTCCAAAAAGCAACACAAAATATTTGCCAACCAATACAAAAACACACTTAAATGCAATTAATCCAATTTGCCATTTATTTGCCTTTGGGCGTGAGGAATTAAATTTAATTGAATGCTTCTGCTGCGGACTTCCGCTTATCAGTGGCTTATCCACTATCCAACCGAGCTGGCATGCATTCAAATCCATCAATTCCCCGCACAATGCATCCAATCAAGTGAACTGCAATTGCAGTTGGATCTGCAATCTCTTCTGCCACGAGGGACAGTGTCCGACAAAAGTGACACACAGAAATTCCTGGAGCCTCGATCCAGTTAATTGAATCAGCTACAAAAAAATGATTACCTCACAAAGGCAACCATCCGGCGTGGGAACTCCGGCAGCGAGTTCACTTTGAACATTTCATATCACATAATAGACCAGAACACAAAAAAAAAATCAAGCCAAACACAATCGCCAAACAACACTCCCGTATATGTACAAAGAAAACAACCCAAAGGCGCAAAGCTTAAAGCGTGAAACACTTGAGAATTGTTTTACACTTATCCGTTTGTGTTTGGGGGTTTTTGACGTAGGATGTGGGAATTGGAAAAAAAATATTTTCCGCTCCGTGAAATAATTCGGGAAACTTTGAAAGCCAAACGGCGAGAAAAATTTCCTTCACAGTGGTCCATCGAGGGGTAAGAGCTCGTTCACCGATCATTGCTGTTCCCCCAGCTCCTTTGGTTGCCGGCGAATCGACAAGCACATAAAATTCATGTACACA